CACAGAACAAAGCTTCCCCTCCATCACCTTAGCCTAAGGCAGTTTTCACTGAGTGGTAAGACAGGTTTAACAGCAGCAAAAATCACATGACCCATTTCCTACCCTAAACACCCCCCACCCCCGCAACCTGCCAAAGCTTCCAAACTGAAGTGTGTCCTAAGTAGATCTTGGCCATGTCTGGGTCAGGGGCTTGGGAAAATGAGGACTTCAGCCTCTGTGACCCCCATATGGTGCCCAGACCCAGCTATACAGTACTGCTCCGATTCAGCTCCTCATCACTACAGTAACACTCCATCACATTCAAAATGCCGTAGCCAAACTTGCCTTACTACCACTTGTCAGATCAGCTGGTCAAGCTTTCTTATATTTCACATATGAGACAAAGGTTCAGGAAGGCTAAGTGGCTCACCCAGTGGTCAATGTTTCATTGTCACGACTGCTCGTGCCAGGTCCAGTGCTGAGCTAAGGAAGTATTTGTTGGCATCATCTCATTTTAACTCACAGCTGATGAGACTCATTTCCATGTAACAATCAAGAAAAAAACTGTGCCTTGGGGACATGAACTTGCCTAAAGTTAAATCTTTTTTAAGTAGCAGAGGCAAAACTCGGACCCCGTGGATCACACACTGAAACATGTTTTGAGTGACTCGTGCTCTTGTGGTGTTTGATCTACCAGGGAAATTATGTCACATGAAGTAGTTATGCCACCCTGGAATAGGTGTGTGTGTGTGCGTGTGTGATGGAACCAAGGTATGAAAGCAGATGGCGGCATTGGGCCCGGCACATTGGAGGTGTGCTAAATTCTGCTAAATGAGGAGGAAACTTGCAAAATTATTTCAACTGGGCCTTTATTTGGAGTGAAAGATAGCTAATCTTGCTTGGACATCCAGAAATTATGAAAGACAACCAATAGGGAGAGGGGAGGGGAACAATTTAGAGGCTTACCTAGATCAGAGGTATTGTGAGCCAAAACCCACTGCCTTAAAGTCTAACACCCAAGCCATCAGGGCAGACATGATGGCCAAATTATCCATTTAGTTCCTCTGTATCCTTGGTAGCTCTGTGGTTTAAGAGGAGCTGTAGATTATTCACAAGTTGAGTTCCCTTTCATCAGCTAATAACGTGCATGGAAATAAGGACCATGCTTCTTGTCTTTGGGATTTATTTAAACATATAAACCAAGTCAGAATATAATATTTCTTAATGTAAAAAATCTTTATTGCTATTTCAGCTTAAAAGGTGATCAAAAATATTTATTCTTGCCTTAACTCATAACTTCATATTTGTCATGGAATGTCATTTCACTTATCTTCCCCTAAAGCAAGAAAAAGCAGAAAAATCCTAAAGGTGCTTTTGGTTAAGAAACTAATTCTACATACAAGTTAGAGAAAATTACAGATTCATGCTAAAATAAAGTACTTATAAAATAACAGGTATTCCATTTTAAAACAAAGCCATGAAAAAGATATTCCATTTTATTTTATTTATTATTATTGTTATCGTTATTTTTATTTTTATACAAACAATAGATTTGCTGCAACATGCTCTGGCTCATATTATTGAATTAAAAAATTTAACACATTTCAAAAATATCAAAAATACACTATAATGAGTCTTAGGACTACAATACGACAATGATTGCACAAAACCATAAGATATGAACTCACTGTCTGGATGACCTCCACTGGCAACAGTGAGAGAAAACCCTATAGCATCTGGGAGAAGTGCATGAAATTTAGAATACAAGGAGCTTATGTGTGATTGAATCATCACCAAATGAGGGAAACAGAGCAGGATTTACTGTAGCTGCTTTTCTCAGTGTAGGAAGTGCTTACCCAACTATGGGGCAAAAGTCACTAACTGGAGAGAAAGATTAACTTGCCTCCATGAACGGGGGAGTCTGAGGGGCCCCGCCCAGAGGGAAGTAAAAAAGTGACACAAGACAGTTCTAGAGTGATGCTGCAGACATCACTGAATGGCTTGGAGACTATTTAATAATTGGTATGTTTATCGACAACCACCAAGTGCTCCCTTGTGGAGGTCTCTTCATTAGTGATTATTGAGTAGACAGAGGAGGGGAGCCTGTGGCTTCCAAGTACCTGCTTTTGCTGAGAGCTGACATGGAAAGAATGGCATCATCTGATATTCAGCAGATCAGCCAAACCTAACTGGCTCCATCTCCTAGAAAATAGCACTCGCTACAAACAATTAAAATAGCACCCAATGATTACCAAGCTGCTCGTGCTGGCTCTTCTATACATCAGGAAAATGAATTCATCAACTTATTGCACATACACTCTACAGTAGTATAAGAAAGCCCTCACTTGAATGAGGAGTAATAATTCAATGACTCTATGGTATCACGGTAGCTTTATGACATACTAGCATTCAAATTTTCAAATACATTTCCAATCCATCTGGATAAGAATAAAAATACCATGGCTGCCAAGACTTGTATAGTTTTCTTTCTTCCATGGGACTCCTGGACTGCTCCCATAAGCAGGAGTGACATTCTTTCAGAAACTGTCTTAAACAACTCCATTAAATGGGAGGTACACCCAGTGACCTGAGAATCATGCAGAGGCCAGGACCTCTGGGCTAGAGATCAATGGGCCTCTGCCCACCTGGGGAACGCGTCCTCTGGGTAAAGTCCTAGGAAGCAGATTACATTCACCTGGAGACAGATTACTGGCTTTCACCACCTGACAACCTAATCAGCTCACACAGGAAGTGTAAATGACTTCATAGGTCAAGAGGGTTCTGTGTATTTTTGGTGATGGGCTATGGCCTTTTCATCCTCTGTTTTAACAAATAGTAATTATGGAGGGAAATGAATCAAAGGAAGTTACAAAAAAAAGAGCAATCAGTTTTGGTACAGCCTATATTAAAGATTTTCATACAACCTAATGTTTCCTGAACATAAACCTGGGACATAAACATAAAAGAACACTGGGAATTTGAAGGTTCTTTTGATTAAAAAGTAAATACATTTACTTTCAGTTAAGCAGTTTCATAACTGGGCTTTGTAGTGGTTCCAATTAGCATAGGGTGGGAAACAGACAAGAAACAGTTCACAGATAAAGGACAATTTTAAAAAGACTATTAAAGTGGTTTCGTCCCAAAATAATTTTCATCACTATCATCTTGGGTTTTCCCTTCATTTTCTTATTTCCTTCATCCCCCCCCCCATTTTCCCATAAAAAAATAAGGCGGCAACACACTATTGTTCCCATCTTTCTTACAGCACCTGAACTTTGTATGAACCATATTATGATCCCCACTTCAAATCAAGACCTGAGTTCTAAAATTTTTCAGTAGCTAACAAGTAGTTTGACACAGAAAAAAGTGTTCCTGACCATTTGGGGACTCAAATTCATATCTTAGAGAGGCTGAACACCAGACACTCATTGGTATGGAATCTTCCAAGAATGTGTACCCCACTGACACATACACATGGGTACAGGCCTCTGGGAAGATGAGGATACCTAACTATCTGTGGAGAGGTCATCTGATTTTCTACTACTGCTTCAGCAAAATAAAACCCCCAACATATGTATGTATAGATCAACCCTATCTTTAACATTTCATTTCTCATGAAACAGATTAAAAATGATTCTACTCTATTTTCTTTTTAATTGTCAAAGTATTCTAAAAATTCAAAGCACATTCCCCACTGGGTAAAATTAAGCAATGTCAAAACTTTGTAGGAAAAGGCAATGGAATAGAAATACAGAAGGAACTGCATTTTGCTAGGCTTACATGGGATGTGCAAGAAAGAAAAAAATCAGTAAACCAGGTTTTCTGTAAGCTTAGGATTTTCTCAATCAAGTTTTTCAGAAATTGAGCCCAGTACTGTGAAGCCATGTGAGGTGGATAAGCATTTTCAGAAGACTGTGTTAACCATTAAAAGTCGAAACTTCAGCTCACTCCTAACATTTTAGAAAACCATCTCTAGGCTCGAGAATGAGAGAAGGAACTTGTCTAACTGGAAGCTCCATCCATCCATCTGTTCTCATTCAGCCTCAGTCTGTTCAGTCGTCTGCTGTAACTCAAGGTTACTTGGATGTGAGCAGCAGCAGCAGCCTTGGCCCTGCGTACTAGGAGGCTGACTGCCATCTCCACCTCATGTTATGGAAAGACGCCAATCCTCAAATGCTTCTTTTGTGATCTTCTGGGAGATTCCTAGCAGTTATTCTCTTTTTGTGATTTGGGGGAAGTAGTCTTGTTCCTCACCCCTTCCCCATCCTCATCCCCCAAAGAAGAACTACTCCCCTGTTTCTCAGGAACTTTCACAATCTGACATCCAACAGTCCATTTCCCAGGGCCCTTCCTCGTACCCTCACAGCTGGCCCCAACTCCTGATGATCATCCTGCCTATGGACAAAGGATCTGGGCTGCCTCTAAGAAGACTGGCTCGAGTGCAGATTTGAAAATAAAAAGTTCACAGTCAGTGGAAAGTGCTCTCATTACATCACAAACATAAGTTATCTGTTTGATTGGTTCTACATTTCCAATAAACATCATTTCAATAGGCTGTATTCTCGTAGAGAAGAAGGAAAAGCCATGTGACTAGTCACATCACATCCCATCAGGTTGAGACAGAAGGTGATTTCTCTGTCGCAGAGATCCATCAGCAGCAATCAGTAAAAGGAACCAATCTTCTTCCACAGAAATAGTCCCTTTCCTGCCCAGGCAGGCAAATCCTCAAAATCATCCTAGGAGAGAAAGGGTTAATGGCAGGTGGTAGGAATGATACAGAGTAATGCCTGCCTGCTCCCCAGGAACCCTGGGGATCCCGATGCAGGTTAAATGTGAAACTTAACACTGATGGTGTTGACTAGCTTATCCAGAGCAAGACCCTGACAGCTCTCACCATTTCCACCCCCGAGATCCAGCCTCCTCTCATCTGTGGTTTAGAGATACAGAGGCAGAACGCCCCTGGCAGGGTCCCCTACCCTACACCATGCAGCCTCGTGCGATGCCATGGCCCTGGGGGAGGACTACAGCGCCGTGTCAAACTCCTCCGAGAGCTCGGTCCGATCCTCTTCACTGGGCTCAGGCTCGTGCCTGCTTTCCTGATGGTGTTTCATTTGCTCCTTCACTTCTTCTTCTAGGTCATGAGGTATGACAAACTGGTCCTCTGGCTCCAGCTGAGTTGGGGCAGCAAAATAGCCGGTCTTCTTCTTGGGTGCTTCGGTGGCCACCTCGATGAGGTTCAGGCTGTCTTCCAGGGGTACGATAGAGCCATTGGAGAGCTTCTTTCCATAGAGACAGGAAGTGGAGGGAGACTTCTGTAACTCCGTCCGGTCTTTGCTCACTGGCAGGAGGATGCCACTGTTCACACTGTTCTGTCTTCGGATCCCAAATAATGATCCTCTAGCACGGTCCTCAGGGCATGGGGCAGGAGAATTCTCTGGAAGGGTGGGTGAGTTCTCAAGATCCCTCCCCCGACAGCAGTGGATATCTACTTCTACTTCCACCTTGCTGCCGTTTGTTATGACCCCTTCTACTGGCTGGTCATCATCACTGTCCAGGCCATTGTCAGACTGGTTACTTGAGAAAGTCGCACAAGAGGGCTGGCGCTGGAACACCCCCGAGGTGGGTGCTGGGTGGAGACTGCAGCGCCTCTCTGGCCTTGGAAGTAAGCCAGCATCCAGGCCAACAGTGTTATGTTCATCAGAAGCAGTGGACCCCACCTCACTGCTCACCTCTGAAGTGGACATCTCGCTACTGAACTCAGAGGCAATACCACTGCTGGAGGAAGGAGTGGTCGGCTTGGGTGGGTCCTTGATGATGGCGGTTGAAGCAAATCCCATAGGACCTGGCAGCGTAAGCCCATTCATTTCACAAGTACAGCCTTCCTCACCAATGTTCAAATAAACCACCATCGCCCCCACATTGTCCTGACAACCATAGCTCTGGGCTAATGTGCACAGCTTCTTGGCAGCTGCTAATGGGTCTTGCACATGACGTACTGCATTGACCGCTTCTGTATATGACAAGTGTTCCCACAATGCTTTGTTTCCCAGAATCAGCAGCTCATCCTGAATGGTGAGTGGAGTGGAAGATATGTGGGGCTTGGGGAGGATCCAAGGGTAGAGGTATGTACAGCCCAGCAGCCGGGTACAGCAAGTCACCCCATTCACTTTGTTGTCCTAGAGATAAGCAGAATGCAAACTTTGAGAAACAAGCAACAGTGACACACAATTTTATGTCTTTCTAGATCACAACACTTAGGGCTCTACAATAGAATAGAACTGACATGTTATATGGTTTTCTCCTAGGGTCTGTGTAATTTTAAGTGGATTTACAAAAAATAAATGTATAGAATTCCAAAAGGACAGAATATCAAATAGATATTATACCACAAATAGTTGAGAGGCCTGAGTTAAAACCAATGAAAATCAAGTGGCTAAAAGGCACCTCCATCTCAAAAGATATTTGCTCTAACATTAAGTATAGGCCTCAGCATGTTCTTAAATAGAGAAACATCTGTTAGGAAAATAATAAGCAAAACTATCATTAATTCTCCATCACTAGTATTCTGGCAGGGGCCAAAACTCAGATGGGTCACTAAAAATGACTTCTCATTTAGAAGCAGAGTTGGGGGACTTTTCTGGTGGTTCAGTGGTTGTTAAGACTCCACACTACCAATTCAGGGGGCCCAGATTCGATCCCTGGTCAGGCAATTGGATCCCATATGCTGCAACCAAGACCCAGCTCCCCCAAATAAATAAATAACAGAGGCAGAGTTGGGACTAAAAGTTGGGACTGAAGATATTAACTGGGTAAGAGAATCCTTATAGCTAAAGTACTGAATAATCCCTGAAGTTATTTGGCCTAGAAAAGGAAAGTCTGAAATCCATGGCATAATTTACTTACTCTCTAAGGGTTATATCAAGAATGATATAATTCTAAACTCAGAGGAAAAGGAATAACCCTGGTTGCAGGCTGGGCATGTTCATCTGCCAGATGCTTCATACTGATTTCTTAAGAAAAAACCAAACATAACCACCAAAGCCCTCAATATATTAATTTCATAGCTGCAGTCATTCTTTGGGTGAAAATTCTGGCACTCTTATTTATCAGAACTTGTCACAAACTCTCAAAATTTGTAATTTTATTTTCCTCATCTGTGAAATAAAAATAAAAGCACTTCTCTCATGGGGGTTATTGTTAAAGTTAAACAAAACAATGAAAGTACAATGCTTAAGCAAGTAATAAGCAAACAACACATGTCTATAATTATAAAAATGTTTCCTACTTGTCTAGGACTCCCTAAGAAAACTCTAAACAGCATTAATTAAATTCTGTAATAGACTAATCAAATAAAAAGTTATCTTTTATCTTCATTTGTTCTGACTGAAAGACCCTCCTAAGATCATAGTTCCAGAATCTTCACAGCATCAGCCACATTAGAAGGATAATTTTTGGTTTTGTGCTTCCTTGGATGGAATCTTTTAGACAGTCCTTATTGTAAAATTCTGACAAGACAGCCCAGAAGTGGACCCACACATATGAGAGTCCACGGATCTTTGACAAAGGAGTTAAGGCAATTTGCTGCTGGGACAATTGGACATTTACATGTCAAAAAAAAATCTGGACACGGAGCAACCTACACCTACTAAAAAAAAAATTAATTCAAAATAAATCACAGATCTAAATGTAAAAGACAAAACTTATAGAAGACAACACAGAAGAAAATCTAGGTGACTCTGGGTTTGGCAATGAGTTTTTAAATACACCACCAAAAGCATGACCCATGAGGAAGAAAATTAGTAAGTGGGACTTCATTAAACTAAAAACTTCTGCTCTGCCAAAGACACTACTAAAAGAATGAAAGACAAGCCACAGACTGGGAAAATATTTGCAAAACATTTCTGATAAGGACTTGTATCCAAAATATACAAAGAACTCAACAGTCAAGAAACAATTAACTATGGGCAGAAGATCTGAACAAAATTCTGCTTTGCAATAAACAGTGTTTACATGTAATTGCTAAAGTCTCTTTGAAAGCAAAAGTCCTATGCTAACTTCTGAAAAAGGAGAAAAGTTATGAAATACTAGAAACATTGATGCTTCTTTATTTAAAAAAAAAAAAAAACAATACCAGAATATATTCAGCCATAAACAGGAAAACTATTGTGAAACTTTGCACTTCAGAAGAGGGATGTCAAACCATAAAACTTTTTCTTCTTGTGTTTTGGAATAAGAAACCAGATGAAAATTAACCAAGGGGGACATTTACATTTATTTTACATGCTAGGTATAAGTCCAAAGACCACAATTTAGGCTTTTTCATCTCTAATTAATTTGCTCTTTCTTTCTGCTAATCATTAGCTGCTCATTAGATTTTCTTCTATTACTATTATCTGGATTGAATACAATTTACAAGGCTTGATAGGAAGAAAACAGACTTTCATTGTTCTATGTAGAATAGCATTCATTAGATTTGAGGAGTAGAATGACTGGTGGAAAGTAAGATTTACCTCTGTTATGATGGCTTTTTGGTCCTTCACCCTCTGAGCCTCCTCGGGGTCCTGTTCCAGGCTGAAGACTTTAGAGAGTGGCACTGGCTTCCCACCTCGACACAGGACTGCTTGGCATGTGCCAACATTAGCCACAGTCAAGCTAAAGCTACTCGTTGGATCGGCAGTGTCAGGACGGATATAACAAAGGAGAGCCGAAGAGCCTAGTTTCTGGCCAGCCATTCCTAATTTCCTGTTTAGAAAGAAAAGAAAATGAAAACACTGTAGTTTTAGAAGAAAGCAGCGGTCCTTCATATCCAAGGCTTCCTCGTTTATCTGTTGACCATGAACCCACCTCACGCTCATCCATCTTGATATAAGTGATGATGAAGACAGCTTTGCCTTCTACTCTTAGCTAAGAAATTTTACCAAAAGGGTGGGGGCAAAGAAGACAATGAAGAGGCAGCTTTCTCTGCTGCTTCTGATTGATCATAATCTGCAATAACCTAACCCAGTGGCTTCCAACTGAAGCAAATCAGAATCACCTCAAGTGCTTGTTAAGTTTCTGATTCAGTGGGGAAGGGGTTGGCCCAGTAATCTACATTCTAACAAGTTTCTGGTGATGCTGAGGCTTCTGGTCCTAGAACAACACTCTGAACCACTTACTTGTGTTGTAAGTTCCCAGAAGTAAGGCCCATAGTTTTCCTTGTATTTCTCCCGTGCACATGGTGTCTACCCCCAACCCCCAGCACTTGGTACACAATGCTAAGCACAGAGCAGATGCTATCAGAGAGATCTGGTTTCAGATTCCAGCTCTCCCATTTATGGGCTATAGATCTTCAGTAAGTTAATGCACCAAGAAATTTTTCCGATTAAAATACTCACCTCCTTGGCTTACTTAGAAAATTAAAGATACAGTATGGAAAATGCTTGGAACTGTGCCCAGCTCTTGGGAAGTGCTTCATAAATTGAGTTTCCTTTCCCAAATGCTTTGTTTTGCTAAGTCCCTAGGCTCAATTCTATTACTAAAAAATAGACTTCTTTCCCAACATCTTTGTGTTATAACGACAGGTGAAACCAGCTTGGGCTCCAGGCTGTTCCATCTGAAGCTTGATTATGCAAAGGGTCACTCTCTCAGTTGTACGAATGCTTTAAGCAGCCCAACTGCTGGGCAAGATGCTCTATTAGCTGCGAAGAGATTTTTAACAGTTTGCTTTATAGGGTGTTTGCCTTTAAGTGGCTTAGGCTTCAGTGAGGAGATTAGTTGGTAAATCCCCAATAATAAGTATTTTAAAAACAAGAATCTGATGAGTGCTTAACCTCTGTAGGTCACTGACCCTTAGGAGAATCTTAATAGAGGCTTACCACCTTCCTTCCCCCAAATGTACATAACACATACACAACCTATTACACATGATGTCTGGGCTTTCCAGATTCTCAGCAGCCTTTGGTTTCAAGAGAGAAAACAGATGGCTCTTTAAAGAGCCACAGTCCCCATGTTCCATGCTGATGGACAGAACGGTCATGAGACAAAAAGCAAGATCTCACCGTGTTGCTGAACTTACAACTGAGACCCAGACCTTCTGGCTTAGGCAGGGCCAGGTTAGAAATTATTCAACCCACCTGCTTACCTGTGAGATACCAAGAAGGTGTTAGCCATGAAAACTGTGTCATTTGTTGACTGCTGCACCTCTTCCAAAAGCACGTCCGCCATGGTACACTGGAGGAGGCGAGGGAGCTCCTCGTTCCGGTCACCATCAAACATGCCATACACAGCTCCCACCCCCTCTGCAAAGTTATCCACAGCTAGAGCAGATACACATAACCTTTCACAGAAAGAGAAGACAGACAAAGTCAGTGGCAAAGCATTCTTCTCCAGGGAGCCTTCTTTAAAGAAGGAAGCGAATTCCCTAGCAGTCCTGTGGTTAGGACTCACTTCCAACACAGGGAACACAGGTTTGATCCCTGGTCAGGGAACTAAGATCTTGTATGCCATGTGGTGCAGCCAAAAAACTAAAAACTTAAAAAGTAAGTGCTGATTGAGAGTGGAGAAGAATAGTGGTAAATCCCCATCTATACATGAAAAAAGTGTTATAGAAGATAAGTAAGCAACATCTTAAAAGAGTTGATGTCGTAAGAAACGGGGGAAGTCAGCGACATTCAGGAGCAGTACGTATTACTTTGCAATGTTACAGAAGGCTAGAAAGATGTTTTTTCTCAGTAGTGATAAAGGCCTACTATCAACACCCTTCAGTCAAAGACTTCGCCAAAGTGTACAACACACTTGTAGCTCAACAAGTTGGGTTTATCATGTAACAACAAAAGAAAGCACACCATGGGACTCAGGAGTATATTAGTGGGTACTGGAAAAAACCTAGTACAGGATTTGGGTTTGGCTGGATCACTTTGGGGAAAGTCTAACAAAGTGGGGGGGTCATACTAGATTGGGTGCTGTCAGAAATCAGGGCTATTCTGGGACTTCCCTATTGGTCCAATGGTTAAGAATCTGCCTTCTAAGGCAGGGCGTAGAGGTTTGAGCCCCAGTCAGGGACCTGCCTCACGATGCAGCCAAAAATTTTAAAATATACACATTAATAAGAGAGAAAAAAATGTTTTAAAAAAATAAAAAGAAAGCAGGGATATTCTATGGTTGATAATCTCAACAAATCTTAACTACAGGGAAAGAGGGTTAGTATGGGGACAAAGCTGTGACTGATAAAGAAAGGAGCAGTCACCCATCTTAGTCATGAGGTGGGGTGTGAGTGTTCTGTGCACATTCACCTTGTTGCGTCTTACTGGATCATGGTCTCAGAGGAATCTTATCTGATGTTGGCATTCTGTGATTTGTTTATGTCAAACCAGGAGAACAACATGGCCTAGCTTTCAGCATTAGATCTGTTCCCAGATGTCAGGAGAATTTTCTCAGCCTTCACAGCCATGATACTCACTTGTTTCTCTGCCCTGCCATCTCAGCCAGTCCATGGCTCCAGAAGGTTGATGTAACTGTAGAATCAGTTGTTGGCAAAGGTTTCTGATCAATTTTCAGGGTGGTGATATGGCTGTGGGAAGTGGAAGAAGGGAGGTTTAAACGTTACATGTGTCTCTATTTTACAAAAGCTATCCCAACAATAATTTGTTTTTACAAAATAATCTGTTGACATACTAAGATTCATTTCCAGAGAGACCTCAGAAAGCAGTATGCTGACCCACAGACCAAGAAGGAAGAGAAAGAAAGAAAAGGGGTAGGAGGAAGACATGGGCCAATTTTGTAATAACTGATGCCATTCATTTCAACGAAAAACTAAGCACAACAAAGGTGTTTAAGTTTCAACCAACTGTCTACTTAGTCGAAGTATTTTGATACAGTGAAGTCGTGGTACAATGAGTGATTCTGCACTGTCTTAGATGTAACACAATATAATCTGTGCCACCTAAATTACCTACGCCTGCTATGTATCAGACCACTCAAGACAGCTCTTCTCTTGCTCTCTGTACCGCCCCTGCTTGACCAACTCCTGCCTCATTCACACCCACTCACCTGACTGACCTTCCCTCTTAATCAGAGAGCCTAATCATAAACTCATACATAATGCCCCACCCCACCCCCCGACCTCCCACCACTTCACCCAGCCCTAGCTAGTGACTTTTCTGATCTTTAGATGTGAACTATCTCTACTATGACAGTTTATCAAAGGCACGGTGAGGGGGCGTGCTCCTCTGCTGTTTCCCAAGTAACCGATGCCCTCCCCCTCCACAATAGATACTACCATGTCCTGCATGCCATCTGCTGCACATGGTGGACTGTTGCTCTAGGACCTTGGTTCAAACAAGCAAGAACCCCCTACCCTTTAAACCATGATGTCTCTGTTGCCGCCTCTGGGCTCTTTCTTCGGTCGTGAGGCTGGGCAAGTATAGCGTTTGCAGGCCTGTGGGATGCAGCCCCACACGTGCCCTGTAAAGGTACTGGGGTGTGGCTGAGCAGCAGTCATGATGCTGAGCTTGACTGCTGGGCAGAACACCCAACACAAACTGGATTAAAGAAGAGAACCGAGGGGCTTTATGATCTAAGTCATCCTACAGCTTTAATAAACTGAGGTCTGCACGGTCATTATGAAGAACCACACAAGGCTGGTGGGAGTAAGAGCACATGTGGATTCAACTTCAGAAGCCTTCCTACCTAAATGTGTCCAGTGTCTTGTGTTCCAGAACCAGATTTGTATTTCCAGTCAGGTCCAGGTCTTGTAAAGTAGCAGGGAGAGCCTCTGGAATCAGGATTTCGGTCAAGTCATTGCAACTTAGGTCTACAAACTGAGAGGAAAAGGGAGAGATTAAGTTAATTCTTAACTCCCTAACGTTCAAACTCCTACTATATCCTCAAAGGGAATTTCATTTCTTCCCAAGAGTCAATTAAATATACTGTGATCCCAAACTGCCACTTTCTTAGGAGTCACACTCCAGCCATCACCCCAAGACACAGCACACAGAAGTACCTGGATCTGAGGCAACTGCAGTATTTCCGGAAAAATACTGATGTGGTTGGAGTGGGCCACCAGAGTGTGCAGCCTTTTGCAGTTCGCAATGGTCGTGGGGATGGTTTTAAGCTTGTTACCACTTAGGTTCAGTTCCTCCAACTGCTCCAATTTATTTAGTTTGCTGAAAAAGAAACACCAAAATACCATACTGCACTTAAACAAGCAGCTGCCAAGCAAGTTCTACAGCAGCCAGAGTATAGACGGGACCAGCCTATGGCCCGATAACTGGCCAGAATGAACAGCCACCACGGTGAACGAATGTTCCCACTGATGCTCAGCCTCATCTGCCTCCCTCTCAGTGCACTTTGAGGGCTGGAGTGTCCCATGGTTCTCCTGCAGCTGCTGGATCTTTGGGGCAGGAACATCTTCCCAGGGTTAACTAGTCGACTAATTATGGTACTGCTTTGCCACTAACTAGTAGCAAAATACTGGGTAAATAAGTGTCAGTGGACATCAATATCCTATAAAATAAAAAGTTGTACTAAATTATCACTAAGATTCCTTTCAGTTTTAAATCTCCACAGTTATTCATAACATAATCCAGCTTCCATAAACATTTATCGAGTGCTGAGCATAGATACAACCCCGTGCCATGGGCTGTGATGCAGGCCATTCACACTGTCCCATTGGAGTAAGCCAAGCTTTCTATGCAGTAAGCAGAATAGCTTCAGAGGGCCTAACACCTTTATCTAGATTTTAAAAAACTGTAAAGAGAATAAACTGCTGTAACAGAAAGTTTGTTATTGCTGTTTACTTGCTAAGTCACATCTGACTCTTAGTGACCACATGGCCTGTCCTCTCCCAGGTTCCTCTCTCCATGGGATTTTGGAGGCAAGATTCACTACAAAGACGTCTCCTGCATTGCAGGTGGATTCTTTACCACTGGTCTACTAGGGAAACCCACAACAGAAAGTTTAGAAAACAAGAAAAATAAATCCACAGTACCACCACCAATCTGAAAAAGTTATTTTCATTTTGCTGAATTTCCTGTCAATTTTTTCACATGCAGATTTTACATTAAATCTGCCCTTTTCATATATCACAGATAATTTCCATTGCTAGACTACTCATAAATACTTTGTAATAATTAAGTTCCATGAATTAAAACTGTTCTTATTACAAAAGTAATACTAACTGAAAAATATTAAAAAATAAAGCTGAACATTAAAAAAAAAAAAGAAAAAAACTTTTAATCCCCACGACCAGATTTAATCTCTGATGACAATTTGGTGGTGAGTATTTTTGTCCTTTCTAAGGCATGAAACCCTTTTTTAAATTAAAACATGGTGCTTATTACATGTACTGTTTTATAAAAATTTAATCATATATATTTAAGGTGTTCCCATGTCCAAACCTCATGCTTTTCTCTTACACAGAGACACAGCATCTATATCTCAATCAGACTCTTACTGGGCACCCAGAACTGTGCTGGATTCTGAACACAGTCCAAAGGGAACAGAAGCCTTGGACTGTGCCCATGCAATTATAATGCTGTTCAGGAGATGACAGCAGACTTACAATTCAGGTTAGAACACACATTTTCCTTGAAATTCTGCTCCTCAATTCCATTTATTTATTTATTTATTTATTTTTTTAACATTTAGTTTTATTATCTGTATTCAGATTACTCTAGTCCGACAGTAAGTGTCATCAAATTAGGGGGACTTCATAAGTTTCAAGAGTATTACATCTGGTATTTCCCAAGAGTTTCACAAACTCGTATAACTTATCAGTGGTGTGTCATTTTCACTTTATCTGAACATACTTGAGGTCAAATGAACTAATCTGCTAGGATTTCAAGAGATCTATCACATCTTGAAATTAAGACTCTGCATTCACTTTAAAAGCTATCGCTCAAGTTCTTACAAGGAAGCAATCAAGTTTATTGCACTAGTCTTCTGTAAGCTCCAAATATTTTATCAACAATCACAAAAAATTACAATCTCTATGTTTTTTGTGTTTAACACATTTCTTAGAAAATTTGTAAAACAAAACTAGAAAAAAAAGTTTTCAAATTGTATCAAATATGATATAATTTTATGATATATATATAATTTCACTCAAATTATATCAAATGTCATTTTCCTATGTGTTTAGGTTTTGAAAACATGATTTTTAATAACTACCTTCATGGATTTTTCTGGCGTCAAATTTTCTAGAAAAAATTTTTAATCAAAGGTATCTTGGAAGATACTTATTTCTCCACTGATGCTGTTTAAAACTTTGACAACACCAAATGTCTCTCTTATGTCTTATAAATGTAGCCTGGCTAAATTCAACTCTTCAGTGCAGCTACCTGTGCATATCTTTAACACCCTGCATTTATTACACTGCACTGCAACTGCCAATACACTAATACTCATCTATTTCCCTAATTTAAATGCAAGTTCCCTGAGGAGAGAGACTGCAACTTAATTATCACTGTCTCCCTAATATGTACACAGGTCTTGACATACAGCAGACATTCAACCTATATACTAAGAATTAAACACATTTTAACCACAACCTCTGTGGTTAATGATACTTACAAAAGGGTACAAACAGACCTTCTCATTCAAGTAAGGGATCGGTAAGCTGGTCAACATAAAGCAAGAGCACCCAGTAAAAGAGCTGTGATGTAGTCTGACAAATGTGGAATCACATTACATGTCTGAAACGATCAGAGTCTGCATCTGTTTACCTTGCAGGAAACATCTGTAGCTGGTTGTTTGCAAGATGCAGGATGCGCAGGCGCGGATGCCCCACCAGGACGGGCACACACTGGTCTGTCAGGAGGTTGTCGGTCAGGTAGAGCAGCTGTAGCGCACTCAGACTCTCCTCCCCAGCACAGGCAGATGGCAGAGACTCCAGACTATTTGCGGATGCATTCAAGTATCTGAGACTGACAGACACATGCAAACCATCATTTCCTTTATGGCTATTTGCCTCCTTCTGATGTGGAAACCATCATGCCATCTTAGTATGTAACAGTGCCTTTCCATGCTCCCACACTGAGGGCAAAATGATTTCCTCCAGGGTGTTTTCTCTGCTTGACTCCATCCAGTGAAAGTTCCTTTTACTCAACTCATGCTAGTTAAGTTCCTGGGCTTCTGCACTGGCTTGATTCTAACCCAGCTTCATATTTTTCTGTCTGTATGTCCACTGAAAAGATGCTGCTGAGTATCACATTCACAAGTATGTGAACTGTGAAGTCACCCTTTGGAAAAATTTTTGTCTGATTTTAATAGAATCATTTATTTAGCCAATCCCTCTATAATCCCCTAATAATGGGCATATTGGCTGTTTCCAATTGTTTGTTATTACAAACATTGTAATGAATATATTTGAGCCCATACCCAATTATTTCTTTAGGCTACATTCCCAGGAGCAGAAGCTATGGAGTCAAAGGCTACATATATCTTTAAGATTTTTATACATATATTGCCAAAATCAGCTCCAGAAAGGCTATAACAAACTATACTCCCATAAGAAGGATAAAAAGAATGTGTTGGCTCATACCTTTGTCAACAATGAATATTATAATTCACTTTAATCTTCACCTATCTTATAAGTAAAACATGGTATGATTTTAAAAATCTGCCTAGCACAGCGTTTGGTACATATAGAACATGCTCAATAAAAAGAGCTAATATATTATTAAACGTATGTGTTCTAAGTCATCCTCAAACTGTGTGATCTGTATGTCCAGTTAACTTTTAAGTTATTGAGGGTACTGTGTGTCTATATCTTTGTATGTCCCAAATTCTCTGTGCAGAGATACTAGTAAATATTATTGACAGTTTGCTACAACCTCTAGGTAACTTCCTTACTGCAGATTCTAAGGCTGCAAACTAATTTTATTCAGATTTCATCAGAATGAAATGCATTGTAATGCATTACTAACAAATACTTGCTAACTAACAAATGTTACTGCCCTAAGACTCCATGTAAACTTTTCAAAGAGAAAATATCCTTCATGCATTTTTTAGAATTTCCAAAGATTTTTAGGAAAATCCAACCAAATATATCATACATTAAGAGATGTATAAGCTGCCAAAAGCCTGGCATGCTGCAGTCCACAGAGTCACAAAGAGTCTAACACAACTGAGCGACTTAACAACAAAGCTGCCAAACAAAGAACAAGCCAGACGCTTGTGGGCTAAATGCTTTTTGTATGTGTCCTGCAGCCTTATGTTAATTACTACTGCTTCTCTCTGCTTTCTCCATGTCTAAATTGAAGACAATACTGCCTTCTCCATATTGCAGAAGACTGTAATTAAAAACTAGTTTTCATTGAATGGTGACATACGTGTTAAATAAACCTGATTATGGGTATTAAAATAGGAAGATTTACTATCTATTTGTTAATTTACAGTGAGAAAGCAAGTAATACTTTTGGAACAATGTTGCATTTAAATGCACAGCTTTCAAAGCAGGGAGTAAAAAAGGCCGGCAGATAAAGAGTGTAACTCAATGATAGCTTGGCAACGCTAAAAGCAAAAACTAAATTAACTTCAGTGGTATGTCCTTTTCTCCTAAGGCAAAAGCTGAAAAGTGCCCAAAGAAGCTGTATCAGAACACTGGAGCCTCTCTTTGAAGATCATAACTGTATTCCTTTTCTGAGATGAAAGCCTGAACCTTCCCAAGCTCTTGAAACTTGTTTACAACATCATAACTTCCCAAGTATTTGATGGTTATTTCACCTTTTGAGTTGAAGCTTCCTGCCTCCTAAGACAGTGTCATATTTTATCCCATACAAACTGCAAATAAGTCCACCCATAGCCGGACTATGAAGTAAACACTCTGTAAAGACAGTTTCAAAGGTCACTCCGATGATAAGTCCAGGTAGTTTGCTTAGCCCATGGTTCTGCTCTTCTCAATAAAATCTATAGCACTTACTTTAAGGCCTTAGAGAAGAAAGTATCTGGCAGCCTGGTGAGCAGGTTATGCTGGACATCCAACACCTCCAGAGGGATGTGCTCCACCAGCATGGGAAGGCTCTGCACGTGATTGTGTCCCACCATTAGTTTCCTAAGACTCAAGCTACTAAGGATTCTAAGGGGACAGAGCACAGAGAAACACCAACAGCAACAACAAAAAAAACAGGCTTAAATCTCTCTTCCTGAGTCTGCCCTTGGCTATCTAACTAAAATCAGTAAATGTACAGAAATGTGTTCTTCTAGACAGTATCATCACCGACAGGTGCCTGAGCCAAGAAAGCAGCCACGACCATATGTTTACCCACCACCCACCAGGAAGTCATTCAGGTCATTCTGGGGAAAGATGAACTAATGAAAGCACACAGCCCCAAACACAAAAAGCCCCAAACAAAAAAAGCAATTTGTGCCATAAATCAATTTAGATTTTAAGTCTAGACAGCACCAAAAATTCAGTGAATTTATTAACATGAATAAAATCGATTATAATAAATTAATTTAAAAATTTACTGTAACAAAAACTATGACTTATTCAGTTCTTAAAATGTGCCAGGCCATTTAACGATTAGGTTAGAAGGGTTAAGTGACTTTGGTTTGCCAAAGATCTCACATCACATGTAGTAAATGATACAGTCAGCATTTGGATTAAGGATTGACTCCAATGCTGTGTTCATATCTACTATGTACAAAGCCTTCCGTATACTTTTAAAGATTCTACTAGATAATGACCTCACATTACACAACTTGGTACCACCCCTCACCCCCCAGTGTCTGTATATTTCCCCTCCACATACAGAAACCCCACCATCTTATAAAGGTCAATTCAAACAGGTATTCTCCACACAGCATCCCCTAATTATTCAAAGTTCTGAATTTTTAAGGCATGTTATTTATACAGCGCAGTGGCCAAAAGTGAGGCTCTGGAGTAAGAATGACTACATTTAAACGCCAGCTCCTATCACTTCCTAGTTAAGTGCAACATTGGACAAACTATCTAACCACTCTAAGCTTTAGTTTCCTTATTTGTAAGATGATGATAACAGCACCTATAAAATAAGGTTAACACAGGATTAAATAAGATAATGAAAGTAAAGTTCTTAGAACATTGCCCAGCTCATAACAAATCACTCAATACAAATGTTCTATTATCAGTAACAAGTCACTGACCTCTGCCAGCAACTCTTGTTACATTGTATCACAGTTATCTCTGCACAGGTCACCCTTACTATCTGCTTACTAAGTTCCTTGCCGGCCAAGACTAGGCCTGACGTGTTACTGTATTCCTTACAGCACTCATGCTGCCCTGCACTCAACAGATACTCAATGTTTACCAAACAGATGAATCAAAGCATCCTTGACAGGCAACCCAAATATAGGAAATTATTTAATTAAATACATACATAATATATTTATTAACACATGAATACCTCATGGGAACCTCTGTCAGGAGATTATAGCTCACATCTAATATTTCTATCTTCTTTGCTTCACAGGCCCAGTCAGGGACACACTCTAGCAGGTTTCTGCAGAAAAGAAATAATTAAAGGGTATCATTTGGGATAAGGAGGAACTCACACCGCTTCACCAGTCTGTAACACATCCGCCCCTGTGCTCCCTGAGGGCAGAAGCACAATCCCCAGGGCACCCCTGGTGTGCTGCCTGGAATACAGTAGATGCCCAGTGAATGTCACTGACAGAAAGGTGGAGAGAGAGAAAGCCACACACACGTGTGTGATACTGGAGCAACTGTGCTGCTGGCTCAATGAAGATGGGGCACCATAGACATATCTTCAAAGCTGAGGAGGATATCCCCAGTTGAAGACTGGGGGAGAAGGGAAGTGAATTCTGGGGGAAAAGAACGAAAGGAATAAAAGTGAGGAAGCAAGAACAAAAGGTAACGAGCCAGGGGAAAGTGCCAGATCATTTAGAATGTGAATTCAAATCTTCAGTAGAGTACTGGCCAGATCTTCAGTCACAGGAATTTTATTTTCAGATGTTACCTAGCCTCCCTAAGCCTCAAAGTCTCTACTGATGGATGGATCAGTACGATGAGGCAGAGTGAAGTAAATGCTGCAAGAGAAATGCAGATGTTGCTCTGACTACACAGTGAAGGAAGCCCTTCAAGGCAAGTCCCCTAAGAAATATGACATCTGTGGTAGAATGGTGCACAATGCCCTGAGGTGTGGCGGGCACGTCAAGTAAGAGGTGAAAACATGCGCTAGAGCACAGAGGCAAGAAAAGAATAGTAAGTAGTTTGGTGATGCTGGAGCGGCAAATATGGAGCAGTGTGAGAAGAAATAAGGCTGGAAAGACTTAATCATGTCTTGGAGGCTGTGACCTTATCCTGCAAGTGTAGGGGGATCACTGAAGAGTTTGTGAGCAGCAAGGACACAATGTCAGTTTTGCACTTTAAAGAGCTCACTCTGAATACACAAGAGGTCTCCTGAGGTGGCTGTATTAGTAAAAGGAAGCGTAATCAAGAAGCTGTGAGACAATTTTATCCCGAAAGGAAATGATAACGGCCTCAATGAGTAGTGATACACCTGGAAGGGAAGGGAAAGGAGCCAGAAACACTTAGGAGGCAAAAATTAAAATGACTTAGAGATGGAGTAAACATGTGAGTAGAGCAGAGAGAAGAATCAAAAGTGACATTTAGGCTTTAGCCTAGATGACCAGAGAGGAAATCCTATCCAGAGAAAGGACTGAGAAGCTCCAAATGAGGTTAAGAATCATGAATTTCAGTGGTGTCCATCTTGAGCTGATCGTCTCACAATAACACCAAAAGCTGAAACAAAACACAAGACAAACAAGTTAAAGTGCTGGTGGAGGGGTGGATAATAAATCTCATTTTGCAATATCTGAGGTATTTGGAGACACGCAGGAGGAAACATCTATTATCAAATTGGACACACAGGTCTGAGGCTGAAAAAAGGGAGTCTGGACTGGTGCTCTGAGTGATGCTGACACTGAAGTGTAGTGAGATTCTGGGAGTAAATGAGATTGTGTCAAATGAGAAGTGCAGTGGCCAAGGACAGACCCTGAGACAAGTTACCTTTAAAGGGCTGGCTAAGGAAGAGTACAGAAGACAGAAGAAATGGTCAGAGGGGCATGAAAAAAATCAGACTGTATCAGCCAGCCAAGAAAACAGCATGTCTGAATAAAAGAGAGCAAGGTGAACAGTGTCAATACAGAAAAGTTCCACAAGAGGAGGTCTAAAGCCAGCTGTCGTGGGGTGAACAATTGGGAACAGGAAAATGTGCCAAGAAATACAGATAATTCTTGAGAAATGTGGACAAACAAAGGGATGAGCAAGATGAAGGAACAGAATAGTAGCTAGAGGGGGTGCAAGATAATGGGAATGTTTATTTGTTAAGACAAGAGATATAAATGTGCATAGAGACCAAGAAAGACACTGAACTCATGTGAAAGAAGAGAAGGAGGGGTGACTAACAGAGCAAGGTTCAGGGCAGTGGGAGTGGATGTGATCAAAGGCACAGATGGCTGGGCTGGCTTGGAATAAAGGAAAGCTGAGAATGCATATGGATCTATGTGAATTTTAGCACGGGGGTAGGAAGCTAAGGGAGATCACCCATGATGACCTCTATTTTCTCAGTCAAGTGGGAAGCTGAGCTCCAGAGCAGAGGACATAAGAAGGGGAGGGGTCGAAAGAAGCCAAGCAATCTGGAACAGATTCGAGGACCCTGGAAAGAACTGACAAAAGAAGAAACTCCAGATGAGGCTGGAAACTGAATTTAGGGTGGGTCCACATGATTTTCTTCAGTAATGACCAAGTTCAGTGCGGAAGGTAAATCTTCATCCTGAACCATACAGAGGTTTTGCTGACAGGAAGATGACAGAAAGAAATGGATGGAAGACTCTAGAACAACAGGTTAATAATAATAATGATAAAGTCACAACAACAAAAGGAAACCTGGCTATCATGGCTAACTTTTCTTGAGAGACTATTTTATGCAAGGTACTAGGCTACATATGTTGCATTTATTGTCTCATTTAAACTTTGTGGCAACTCTGACAATATAGGACTCCGTCCACTGCCCATTCCACATGCTGCTACCACTCTATACTCACAGCACTTATGCTGCTGCCCTCTTACTGCTTGTCCGATTGTCAAGACAAGCTAGACTGTAAAATTAGACTGTAAAACTCAGCCACTGACTCCTGAATGCCTAACACAGTGTTAAAAAACGAATGAAGGAAAGAAAGCAAACCTCGTTTATGTTTATTCTTGACCACTGACAGAAGAAATAAAATTCCAAATATAATTAACATTGCTCTGCAAATCAGATTGACATGGCTCACAAGAGTAAGAGAATAACATTTTAAGTCACTCAAAACCAAGAATTATCTGATTCCAACTGGAAAAATCAATGCCCATGGAAGGGAAATAGGTCTTTGTTTGCAACTCATTATAAATCCACAAACTGTAACAATGAGTAATTCAGAGGCACCTTTCCTTTAACTAGATCAGTTCAGTTCAGTTGCTCAGTCATGTCTGACTCTTTGCCACCCCATGGACTGCAGCACGCCAGGCTTCCCTGTCTATCACCAACTTCCAGAGCTTGCTCAAACTCATATCCATAGAGTCAGTGATGTCATCCAACCATCTCATCCTCTGTCATCTCGTTCTCCTTCTGCCTTCAATCTTTCCTAGCTTCAGCGTCTTTTCCAATGAGTCAGTTCTTCGCATCAGGTGGCCAAAGTACTGGAGCTTCAGCTTCAGTACTTCAACTAGATAGTATGGCCATTAAACATACTCCTTTAGCCAACCTTCTGCATTTCTCTACGTAACCAAATATTTCAACATACTGGGATTTCCTATACCTCAAAACTGCCAGAGTGCCCACAGACATCCCTTAAGTACAGGAATCAAACCGCCACCACTCCAATGAGACACACTCACCGGGAGAGTTCGAGAGACGTGAGCAGACTGGGTACTGGATAGACACTCACTGCTGTCAGTCCTAGCCGGAGAACAGACTGGTGTTAGTGACATTCTCCAAAGAAGAATGTAACTGAGGAAACATGGAGGGAAATCGATAAAAATTTGTGTCATCTACTGAGATGAACTAAAGATTCAAAACCAGTAAGTAGGACTTCCCCAACAGTCCCGTGATTAAGACTTTGTCTTCCAATGCAGGGGACACAGGTTTGATCTGTGATTGGGAAGCAAAGATCACACATGCCTTATGGCCAAAAACTCAAAACATAAAACAGAAGCAATACTGTAGTAAATTCAATAAAAGACATCCCTGATGACCAGGGACTTCTGTGAAGCTGAAAGTTGAGCTCTTTACTCTTGAGGTGTCAAAACCTCAAGTGTTGGTATGAATTCTTCTAGGTTGTAGAATTTAAGGATTCCGTGAACAGAACAATTCTTTTGCTCTGTTCTGTGATAGAAAGGTATTACCTAAATTTGCATTTCTTTGACTGACAGTGAAATTGAGTATCTTTTCCTTTCTTCTTTAAACACAGAAAAGCAGTTACAATTGACCCTTGAACAATGTAGGGGTTACAGGCACTGACCCTCTGAGCAGTTGAAAATCCATACAAAACTTTGTATAGTGTTTTATATATACATGTACACACACACATTCATATGTATGTATGTACATATACACATACATATATGTAAATACTACAATACTACACAATCCATGATTGGTTGAATCCACAGATACAGAATCATGAAAACAGAGGGCTGGCTGTAAAGTTACACAGATTTTTGTCTATAGGGTTTGTCTGAGGTGCCCCTAAACCCTGCATTATTCAAGGAGCAATTGTATTTACTACTGAAAAAACTCCATGTTTAAGTATACCTGTACAGGGAATTTCCTGGTGGTCCAGTGATTAGAATCCAGTGTTTTCACTGTCATGACCCCAGTTCAATCCCAGATCAGGGAACTAAGATCCCCCAAGCCCCATGGCATGGCAAAACAAAACAAACAAACAAAAAGCAGACCTGTGCATTTAAAAGCTATGCTTTCCAAGAGTCAACTGTATAACTTCTTCAGTAAAGAATTCTCTATAAACAGAATAACCTCAACAAATAAGAGGCCTTTTACATTGAAAAATATCCCTAAGGCAAATAAATCACTATTGAAGTGAAGGGCTTCTCATTCTGGAACTAAGGCAGCATAAGATTTTAGACTAGAGACTGGTAATCTTCTGTAAAGGGCTAAGCATTTAGTAATATTTTGGCCTTTGCAGGCCATGTGGCTTCTCTCAAAACTACTCAATCATTTTGCCACTGTAGCAGGAGACTGGTTAATATGCAAACAAATGTGGGTGTGTTCCCATCAAACTTTATTCAGTTAAATTTGAATTTCATATGACTTCCCCATGTCAAAATTATTCTTCCTTTGATTTTTTTAAAAACCCAACCATTAAAAAACATAAAAACCCATTCCTCAAGGGCCACACAAAGCGAGATGTAGACCCAATTTAGCCCCTGGGCTGCAGCTGGCCAACCCATGTTGCAAGACTATTACTGATATTCTCTTTTTAAACATGCTTGCCCACCCTAACATCCTGGCATTTTGCAAAATGCCTCTGATTATTATAACTTTCATTTAGTGGAGCTCAAATAATCCTGCAATATTTTTTTATGCATATCTCAACCACTGAAGTGCTGACTGCAAACTTAAAGCTAGGTCTCCGTGAACCTCAAACTCCACTTGGCAGAGTGACTGAGGAACACCTCAGATGCCACTGTTCTTGGACAGCTCGGACAGGAGCTACAAGAGGAAACACACGAGGCTGGGTAGAGAACTCACTGTTCGAACTGGCGTAGAGAGTTCGAAGGGAGAAGCCACTGAGCGTCAGCTCCCTCAGCTGGTTCCGCTCACAATGCAGCTGCTCCAAGTTGCACAAGGAGCTAAGATCTAAGTCAGTCAGCTGATTGTCCCGCAAATCCATGTGGGTGATGTATTTATTTCCCTCCAGATTCTCAATAATCATGGTTTTTAGATGGTTCATCCTTAATATTCAGAAATAAGAAAATCATTAGAAATGAAGTCTACTAAACGTGCTTACCAAAATAAAAAAACAGGAGAAATCCGTTCCTCTTGTCTCTTTCCTAAACAACTTAAGAATTTTACTCCTTGCCTCATTTTGCAAGGTACTAAGTAAATAGCCACAGATAGCTGTACCTTGGGTTCTTTGTTTACAAGCTAAGTTAGAGACTGTGCAGACTGGCAAATACATGCACAAATTAAATGAAGACAAAGAAAAGGGGACCATGTCCATAAACAGTTAGTCTAAAACCTGCATCCAAATACCTAGTAAGGTTAGGCAGGGATGAAGGAATAAAACAAAGATAGGAGAAGATGAGCATAACCTTTGGGGCTGGGAGTAGCAGGACGGTCACAGAGTAAGTACCACATAAGAGCAAGAGGAAGCAGCCACACTGCCTCTCACTGCTCTGCCTACTCTCCAACGCCAAGATTCCCATTACATTAATTAAGGGAGAGGAAAACAGTCTGTATCTATACGGAATAGTTCAAGGGCAAGTAAAAGAAAATGATGACTTCTTTGGTTTCTTCTATACAGGTATATGATTTAATGCACACAGGCCTGTTCTCATTTTCCTATTCTTCAATAAATTTTTGTTACCATGTCTTTATGAGGGATATCAATGGCTTAGTGTAAATGACAGAACATTCAATATGTGTGTTTTACTATCTTCATTTAGGAAAAGATTACGAATAAATAAATAATTTTAAAAAGGAATAAAACTCTCATTAAAAAATATTACTGGTAAAACTGGTAACATTTCAATTCTAATACCACAGATATCAAGAAGAAACCCAATGATTCAACAGAAAAATGGTCAAGTTTATTATGGAAAAATACAAACCACCAATAAGTATACAAAAAGATACTCAACCTCATTCATAATAAATGCTGATTAAAATGATGAAATACTATTTTCTACCTACTACACTAACAAGGAAAAAGACTGCTAAAATCCAAACATTGGTAAGGATGAAAGGAAATGGGAATTCTCATAAAAGGCTGCTAGGAGGGTAAGTCAGAAAAACCTTCATCTCTACCACATGGTACACCTACCTCATTCAGAAATCTCTCCGCCATTAAGTGAAAAATGAATCTTTACTACAGCTTTAAAAATATACATTGTTCTAAAATCCTAATGGTTTCAAGAGTCTTTATTTTTAAAAAGAAAATGTAAAGGAACATCAGAGGTCAGGCAAAAAGAAAGCGCAGTGAACAATGACCAAAACAGACTTCCCCGGTGATGCAGTGGATAAGTATCTACCTGCCAATGCAGAGGGCACAAGTTCGATTCCTGTTCTGGGACACATGACACAGAGCAGCTAAGCCCGTGCACCACAACTACTAAGCTGGTGCTCTAGGGTCCACGGGCCACAACTACTGAGCCCGCATGCTGCAACTACTGAAGCCCATGTGCCTAAAGCCTGTGCTCTGCAACAACAGGAGCCTCTGCTTGCCGCAACTAGAGAAAGCCCACAAGCAGCAGTGAAGACTCAGTGCAATCAAAAATGAAAAAGAATGACCTCACCTCAAATCCACATGTTTGACATGGCTCATCCGGTTCAGCACCCCCAGGTTTAGCACTTCCACTTGGTTTCCGGCCATAAACACTTTATCTAACATAGTGAGTTTCTCATAAACCTCGGGAATTTGACTAAAGTTGTTGAAGGAAATTCCCAGGGAGGAAAGCTGTTGCAGATTTCCCAGTTCTTCAGGTAAAGTGGTCAGGAAGTTACCATCAAGACAGAGGGTCTGAAGACTGCAAGAAGAGAACAACACAAAACAAAACTCCTTGATGAAACGTTTTAATTGGGATGGATAGAACTAGAATTATGGAATTTTACTTGTCACTAATTTATTATGAGTCCAATATGATTAAGTGCCCTCAGTCTATCTATAGAGATTTACTAAGATGACTTAAACACAGATGGTGCCTCTAACATCAAAGGTAGTCAGAGCCTCTGCGGTTAAAACGAGGGACCAGTCTCTTCTGTAGGCAAGTAACTGCTGCTGACTAGAATTCTCATAATTACATTATCTATTTCACTGCAACAGCTCACGGAACTACCTTCATTCCAAATGCCAGAAAAGTTCCTTACACTGCAAACAAAAGAAAACACAAACCCAGTAAAAATCAGGTACTTACTTCAGCAGACTGCCAATCTGACTCGGCAGGTCATGGAATCCATTACAGGAAAGGTTGAGCTCAGTGAGGGTAGGAATTTCACATAACAATACAGGAAATGACCCAAGCTTATTATGGGACAAGTTCAGGCCCTTCAGCTGAGAAAATCTAAAAGGCAAAGGCACATTATACTACTGAATGAAAAAGTGATGTCATAAATGTCCATCAAAGAATCTGTTCTGCATATATTTACTGAACACTCAGTATGTGTCAAACAGTGTGTATGGCACAGACACTAGGATGACTAATGCCCAGTCTGAGCTACCAAGGAAACCAGGTCTGGTGAGATGGGAGTTGTTCTCTCTTCTCCTCAGAAAGGCAGAAACTCTTGAAAAACTCACAATGGTACAATTATTTTCTATCAAGTTAAATCAATACCATTATTGATATGCTTCAAATAATTTCCTTTATGAAATTTCTACATGCAATATACAAAAGCCTTACAATTAATCAATTCATGGACACAGGACTAGCTAGCAAACCTGTGGATCAAATCTCATTACAAGCAATTTCTCTTTTTGTAGATGACTGAGCCAGTTAGTTAAAAAATACACAGGTGACATGCAGTTTTACTGTAATGTGATGATACATAACACAAAATAGTAATTTTTAACACTTCAAATTTTTATAGAAGTATCTACATAATGTCTCACTGAGAGATAGTATCATCATAAATTGGATCCTAAAGAGTCACTCCTATAATTCTACTTAAGAGTATTATACTTCATTATTATACTACTGCAAGATGGTAAGGCTAAGGTGGTGATCTCCACAATGATGAACCACATCATCTGCTTCTAGACTTGAATCTATGGTAACCCTCTCTAACATTTCTCTTTGAAAATTTCAACTTTTGACTTCCAAATATCCTGACTTTGAGTACTGATTGTTCCTTTGGTTTGGCACCTTGACTTCCAATTTCCTAAGCCAGCCCTCAAATAAGACTAATCCTATTTTCATAGAAATTCAGAAGGAAATATTAGAAGTCCACTTCCTTAAAATTATAGCTTGTTTTTATTTATAAACATCAATATTATTAAAATAACTATCTCATTACTACACAGAGGCTTACGTTTGAAAACTTTGCAAAACATTTCAGATGAGGTAAAAATCATACATTTTTTGAAAATTATGAAATACTAGTTACTAAGTATGTAAAATATGTCATTTCAATGTACATTTAGCTTTTTGATTACCATGTAGTTTGAACGCTTTAACTTTCAACTTCTCCCCTCCCCACAAGAAGCCAAATTACTTACACCACATATTTATTCACTTCTACCCATTTTTTAAAGAAAGGAAAGAGGTGAAGTTGGTGGAGGGTGCGAATGGGGAATATATTCTAACAAAGGAGATGGAAAAATATATGGGTCATTGTCCCTTAGGACTGAAATGGTTCCTTTATTAGGAGAGAGAGGTTTCATCGCTGACAAAAGGCTTGTGAGTTAGCAGTTGCAGATGCAAAGGAAAGATAAAAGCCCTAACCTGGGAGTGGAATTCTTGAAATTTGGCCTATTTCCTTTAAGTTATTTAAGTCTGAAACTTTTGATTTAAAAACTTCTCAAATATGGACTCTCTCTATTTACCCTGGCTGCAGATCACGCTCCACCATCAATGACTTATAGAAAAAGATTATCCAGATCAAGGGCAGCTCGATGCTGCCTCCATGTCAGAAACTTTACATCTATCATACCTTGTACAGAGGGGGAAGGGGGAGTGGGAAAACTGAACAAAAATTCTTACTTCTTCAAAAGGGAGGGGAAATTTTCTAATATGTACACAATGGGTAAACATGCTTATCTACAGATATTGACTACAATTAGATTTTAGTAAGTTGGTCTGGAAACCTGTGCCCCACATACTTGTAGAAAGTGTCAAGGCCCCCTGGTCTTTCTAACTGCATGAAGTTGTGTCGCAAGTTGAGGTAGGTGATATCTTGACTGTAGAAGAGATGCTCAGGAACCTCCTCAAGGCTGTGACACGAGAGGTCGACGGTACTGATGCGCTGGGACACCACCTGGACGAGGTCACAGAGAAGAGCCATCTGAGCCAGTGCTGAATGTCTCCCACCCAGCGGAGGATGGAACAGCACTGACACAACAAGGAACCAATTAAAGAGATGGGGAAGACAAAGGTCACAAGATCTGAGTATTCATTTATAAGCAGCAGTGAATTTTACCTTTTTCCCCAAAACCGTAAGATGCTTGAAAAACAGAAAGGTATAAGCTAGTAAAGTGTAAAGGTAAAGTGTTTACAAGTTAAAAAAAAAATCATAAAGATGGAAAGTTAGTAACAGCTCATGCAGGAAGTAAAGTCAAGATGATTCCAAGTAACTGTTCAAAACATTAGGAGGGAATGTGATATTAAAAGACCTTTTAATATGGCCTTTTGCAGCCACACAAGTTCCTAACTTGCAGTTTCTTCATCTGTCGTGAGGAAAATTAAAAAACCAAGTATGCAGCACTGCTGCTTAGCATGCAAAAGATGCTCAAAAAAATATTAATTTCTCTTTACAAGGGCAGAAGAATGGAGAAGCTGTTTAAAATTGAAACTAGATTTATCCATAGCAGATTTTATTACTATCACAAATACAGAAATAACACTGAAACAAGGTTTATATTGCTATAATAGTATACTAACAAAACATGGGCTGTGAAAACGGATCTTAAAAAAAAACAACAAAAGTCATTCATGTTTTGGTGGCATGTCATTATACTTAAACAATCTTTAATGCAACTACCTAGCCCCATAAAGAAAACTGTGTTTAAATCCTGAAAAGATGGCTAAGAAGACAAGAGAACTTGGAAAATGAAATATAATTTAAGAGCAATTCATCTTTAAAGGCTGGGCTAAATACAGACAGAAGCATCAGACTATGAGTTAGGGGACAGCTCCATCTATCACAGACCACCACAGTGGGGGGAGAGTCATGTGAACCTCATTGTGTCTCTATTCCTTCAAGCCCCTACCTTCCTCACAGAGTTGGTACCTGAAAACACTTTTGTAAGCGGTCTGCACTGTGCCAATATAAATAAAAAGTTAAGGACCTGGGAGAATTCCATTTCATTCACTATGTATTCAGAAAAGCCTGGAGTGATGTACATAAGAATTATAATTCAATCTCTTGGGAGTAAGTTCAATTTCAAAATATCTTTCTGTTGGTTTCTCTGTTCTCATCTCCCCATGAGGACGTCTGACAGCTTTTCACCTTGGAAGCTTGCCGCTGCCACCTCTGGTACTCAGCCAAAGTCTCAAAGCTGACAAGATAGGTCTGCGCTTGGGCTCCAGCTGAGCTGAATGCGAGAGAGTACTGACGTCGCTTCACTTCTTCTACCTGAAGAAGCGGGGAGAAAACCAGAACCAATTAAAAAGAACAATCCCAATCTAAAAAATCACAGGACAACAACAAAGACAAAAAACTCAAGTTTTTTAAGTAGGCAAAAGATCTGAAAAGATATTTCTCCAAAGACAGAGGAATGACCAATAAGCACATGATACGATGTTCTACATCATTGAGTGTGTGCTCAGTCGTGTCTGACTCTTTGTGACCCTGTGGACTGTAGCCCGCCAGGCTCCTCTGTCCTTGGAATTTTCTAGGCAAGAATACTGGAGTGGGTTGCCATTTCCTATGCTAGGGGATCGTCCCAACCCAGGGATCGAACCTGCCTCTCTTGTGTCTCCTGCATTGGGAGGCAGATTCTTTACCACTGCATCACCTGGGAAGCCCTCTATGTCATTATTTATTAGATAAATGCTAATCAAAACCACAAGGTACCACCCCACATCCGCTAGGATGGTTAAAATAAAAAACACAGATAATAACAAGTGTTGGGTAACAAGCATTAGCAGGGGTGCAGGGAAACTGAATCTGAGAATGTAATATGGTACAGTCACTTTGAAAAATAGTTGGGGAGTTCCTCAAAAGGTTAAACATACAGTAACCATGTAACCCAGCAATTCCATTCCTAGGTATATACCCAAGAAAAAAATGCATCCACACAGAAAGTTTCTGTGAATTACAGCAGCATTATTCATAACAGGAAAAAGTAGAAACAGCCTCCATGTTCATCAACAGGTAAATGTATAAACAAAATGTAGTACATCATACAATACTATTCAGCCATAAATGAGAATAAAACACTGATACACACTACAACCCACATGAACCTTGAAAACATTACACTAAGTGAAAGAAGCCAGTCACAAAGAACCATACGTTGTATGATTCCATTTATATGAACTGTCCAGAATGAGCAAATCTACAGAGACAGAAAGTAGACTAATGGATGCCTGGGGCTAGAGAAGGAATGGGGAGATGAAGGCTAAGTGGCACAGGGTTTCTTTTCAAAGGGTCATGGACGTATTCTAAAATCGATTATGGTGACGGTTGCCCAACTCTGTGAATTTACTAAAAGCCACTGAGTTGCATACTTTAAATGGGTTAACCGTACAGTATATGAATTTCATCTCAATAAAGCTGTTTAGAAAAAACCAAAGGGGGAATTCTCTGGTGGTGCAGTGGTTAGGATTCTGTGCTTCCACTGCAGGGGGGTTTCAGAACAGGAGAGTCTGCAGGCCCACAAGGTATGAGCCGAAGTTTCCACCTCAAAGGTAAGACTGCTCCAAACCTTTCCGCCTCCACTGTGGTACACTGGAGATAGCTGTCCGCCTGCCTGCAAGGAGTACCCTGGCCTCTTTTTGGACTCACCCCCTCTCTTACTTTCGAGGTGATGGGCTAGAAGCCATTTCTGACCCTGTCCAGCACAAACGTGGGGTAGAATGAAGAACAGGGAACATGCAAACCCAAAGGTTGTTACTAAACTAGCAGAGTCATAACCTGACTTCACACTCTCTGGACCTACTAGATTTTAAAGGAGATGATCTTCCTCAATAGGTCCTTTTGAAGTTTATTTGGATACCAGCCCCCTAATTCAACCAATAGTGGCTTCTCACCTACAGATTCCTTGACCAGGCTAATGCATACTATTCCAGTAGGTCACCACTTCCTCCCCAGACGAGAAGGAACCTAGTGGTCCACTGACAGCCCGTCCTCCAGTGACGTCTGTTGGCCTCTCCAGGTGGCCCCACCAGACATGAGAATCCACCAACCCACCCAATGGCTCATGTTCCCTCTCAACCCAATTGGGTCACATACTAACAAACCCAAGGAATACACAAGAATCCCAACACATGAGTTAGGCTCTGTGGTCTATCAATCACCAAAGCAGCCTATCTCATCCTCAAGACTTCTGATCAGAAGGCAAGATAACAGTGTACTATGTCCCCCTTTCTGCAGGGAATGTGAATCAGGATTCCGTGGGTTCTTTTGAAACCTCTTTCACTAGGCTTGAGGAAAGAGTCAGAACGTCCTCCAGTCCCATTTGGGGTGATGGTAGGGATTCATAGCACAACAGCAGCTTTCTTCAACAACCCAGCCTATATACCATTGATGAAGATGAAGTCTTTTTATAGTTATGGAACCACTTACATCTTTGTCTGACATCTCACTTCTGTATGTCATAGCTACTGAATCTCGGTGAGTCAGCTGGAAACTTCCAAGTTATAAATCATTAGACTTCTGGTGCCAAGTAAAGACTGAACCAAATGGCAGAAACACAAAATACTTTTAAACAGATAAGAATCATATTAAGAAGATCCAATAAAATTAAATAATATTCATAACATTCAATTGTGATGCTTACAACTAAGCTATTTTTATTAGTAATAAATCACCACAATTCAATGAGTTTGTGTCAAAATAAAGGACTTTGTTGAAATGAAGAACAGGCATTATTGATTGCTTTAGAATAACCTTTTCTTCTAAATATTTTTTATGGGATGTTTGACACAGAAAAATAGTCATATAATGTCAAATTCTGAGAAAGGCTTGTAAATCTTCCACTAGAAGTTAATTTGTCAAGTTCTGAGTAATTTTGTTAAGTTTTGCAATATGTATGTTGAGACTACATGGTAATACATGGTAATACTCTCATCAGTTTGCAGTGAACCTCCTTATCCCTATTAATGCTTTTGCACATTAATGTCTTTCTCAGGAGGCAAGTTTTACTGGGTTAAAATTTACATTAAATTTGTGATTTTTTTTTAATTCATAAACTGTAAGTGAACAATTTGACGAGATGGAACAAATATAGTTGGACAACCCCATCACCCACAAAACGTCCCTCATGCTGTTTTGCGGCCAATCCCCTTCTTCCATATCATGGCACAACCACTGGTCTCTTTTCTATGACTACAGTTTTTTCTTTTCTTTTTTTTTAAGTTTCATGTAAATGGAATCACACAATAAATAGACTTTTACATCTGGCTTTTCCCACTGAATGTTCTGAGATGCACCCTTTTTCCTGTGTGAATCAGCAGCTCATGCCTTTTCACTGCTCAGTGGCGCAGTGAATACAGCACATGTGGATGCAGCACACCTGTTTTATCAATTCACCACTCAGTGAACATTGAGTTGCTTCCAGTTTGAGTCAATTATAACCAAAGTTGCTAGGAACATTCACTTATACTTTTTGTAAATATTTGTGTTCATTTCTCAGTATCTAAGAGAAATGCTCAGTTTTCTGATAAGCAGATTTTTAACTATAAGAAACAAAAAAAACAGGTTTTCCAAAGTGACTGTGTTCCCAGTCGCTTCCCAACTTTGCCAAAATAGGTTATTTGTCTATTACCAAGTTGTAAGTGTTCTTTATGTAGTCTTGACACAAGTCCTATGTTGCATACAAACTTTCATGTACTTTGTATGTTGTTAATATAACCACACCAATTTTCTTTTGGTTGCTATTTGACTAGTGTGATTTTTCTATCATTTCATATTCAGCCTTCTATTAGGTGTGTCTCCTATAAACAGTAAGTAGTACAAAATATTTGGATTTATAATTTACCATGCTAATTATTTTGCTCCTTTTTCTCAATCCTTTACCTGCCTTCTTTTAGCATTACAGAATTTATATTCTCTTTTCCCACTCTACTTTTAGTAGTGATCCTTAAAATTTTTAAGTTTGTACTTCAGCATTTTTCTAACAAAACATAAAGCTATTTGGTGGTGGCTCAGAGGGTAAAGCGTCTGCCTGCAATGCAGGAGACCTGGATTCGATCCCTGGGTTGGGAAGATCCCCTGGAGAAGGAAATGGCAACCCACTCTGGTACTCTTGCCTGGAAAATCCCATGGACGGAGAAGCCTGGTAGGCTATAGTCCATGGGGGTCGCAAAGAGTCGACACGACTGAGCGAGTTCACTTTCACTTCCTTTCTTTCCTCTTATCCAAAGACTGCATCACACGTTCCTCATTGAACACATCACCACATCCTGACTGCTGTTCAGGAGTTTGAGCTTTAGTTGTTGAAATTTATATTCAAAATATAAAAAAATTTAAATATTTTTACAATCAGTATTAAATTTACTACCATATTTTATCAGTGTTTGCACTCATCATCTATTCTTATATCTTATACCTTCCTTTTGAATTTACTTTCCTTTGTTCCTTTGTTGTTTTCTTCTTTTTTTCCCTGTTTATTTGGAGAGGTGGTGTTTTTTAGACATACATCTTCAGTAGTTCTTTCAGTGAGGATATATGCCAGCTCATTAGTTTTATGTTGTTTTTTTTTTCCCCTTCAGCTGTGCAGCATGGCTTACAGGACCTTAGTTCCCTGACCAGGGATTGAACCCAGTGAAAGCACCAAGTCCTAGCTACTGGACGACCAGCTAAGTCCCTCATTAGTTTTTAAATGTCTGAAAATGTTCTATTTTGCCTTGATTCTCACAAAGTAATTCAACTGGATATAAAATACAGGTTGACATTTATTTTATCTCAGTAATTTTGCAAATACTCTTCTGTACATATTGTTGATGAAAAGAAAGCTGTTGTCAGCCTGTCAATTATTTGCAGGTTCTTTTCTCTCTTATAACTTCCAATAAACAGTAGCATTATCTGTTTCCAATCACCTATCACTCTGATGACTTCGAACTGCTTTTCCTATCATGGGGAATTCTCTTGTACAGATGCAAAAAATGCAGGTCTCTCTAGTTGCCTGACAGGAGTTTATGAGCACTCCAGACTCTGAATTTCAGTCTAACGGGGGAAAAGGAGAAATAGGAAAGAATCAGTTTTGGTGCTGGATGCTAAGTTTCCAAAGGCAGCCTAGTTTCCAAAAGGAGCCACTACTTCTAGTTTCCAAAGGCAGCTGCTAGTGGCAGCAGCCCCTGGTTACTCTTGGTGGTATTACTGACAGCATTTAGTGCCTAGCAGTGGAAGCAGGGGTTTCTTCAACAGACGGGTTCTGCAGCAGAACCTGGGGCATGGATAAGTCTCCATGAACATGAATTTGAGCAAACTACAAGAGATGGTGGAGGACACAGGAGTCTGACATGCTGCAGTCTATGGGGTCACAAACAGTCCGACACGACTTAGCAACTGATCAACAACATAGTCTTTGGACCTCCAAGGGAGTCTGTGATGTAAAAAACTTGTTTTATGTGTAAATTAGCCTGAGTCCGTTTCTTTTAAACCTAAGAATGCAAAAACTTTGTGATGTAATCTTTAATAATGTTCAGAATGGCTTCTTTGAAAAGATGTGGAAAAAACTCTGAGAAGCATATGTGATTTTTTTTTTTAATTAAGATGACCAAAGAAAGAATAATTTATCTTTGTGGGTCTTACCTTTCCCCCAACCAGAGGCAATATGTGCATTTTCCCAGTCTGACAATCCTTCACTGAGGACACAATGAGGCAGGTGCCACAGAGAACAACCAGGCGTTCGGCCCACTTATGCAGCTGGGTCTTTCCCTTGCGTACATTATAGATGCCAGACAGAAGGATTCGATCCAGATGATCCATCTGGCATGGTTTTTCTGAAAAGAAAAGAGTATATCAGAAGCCACCACTAAGGTGGTACAAAAATAATGAAAGGGAAAAAGAAAGCATTACATGTTAACATTCAGCAATCCTAATACAGATTTACGTAACCAAGCAATGTAAGTACTACAAAATAAGCTCTCAGTCTTAAAATGTTGCCCAGCCCTGAAGTTATATGATGGGAGCACTATGAATTTCGGATGCCACTGTCAATCCTTCCAGTCACAGCCGCCATGTACACAAAGAAAGGCAGTATGACAGAGTAGTTAAGATCATGGACTTGGGAGTCAGACATTCAAACTTGAGTCCTGCTACGTACTTTGATTCCTTGAAGTATGTAACCTCCCTGACCTTGACATCCCCTGTTTTCACAGCTCAGATCTTAACACTACCTACCTTTGGAAGGTCCTCATAAAAAATCAAGGTGATGAATATAAAGCAGTAAGCAGGGTTTCAGATACAAAAGAAGTATGGAATAAGAGGCAGCCACTATTGTTGGGCCTAGTCTACTGCAGAAGGAAGAAATTAATAACTACTTCTGTACACAATCCTCCATCTTCCTGCTCTTTGTGTGGAAAAGCTTTCGGCTGATATTTCAATCAATTATCCCAATCACGGTAGCAGAAGCTGATACAGACATGCAAGAGCATCTCTCTCTTTTACCACCCTTTAGAAAACTTTATATGACAGGTAATAGTGAACAAAACAGAGCATTATAACAGAAGAAAGGTTCTTGGTTAAAGTACTACTGGAAACAGACAGTAACTCTACACAGAAATGAACAGAAGCAGCAACAGTATGAGGCTGAGCAAACAGCAACAGACTGGCAAGTGAAAAAACTGGGTTGTACCCAATACTATTACATAATTGATTAAACCCTGGGCATCATGGTACCCTTTTGACTGTGTTTCCTGTATAAAAAATGAGGAAATGGGCTAGCTTACTTCAAAGCTTTAAACTTTGTATGTTAACACCACCATTTCTCCTTCTAGTCTAGGCCAATCCTTTCATCTATATTCTAAATTCCACCTTCCTTGGGGAGTTTGGTTCTTCTTCCTTCTCACTCTTCATCTCCACCCTCCCTATTGTTTCCATCAAAGCTACAAAAGCACTCAAGTTTTCTCCAATTCCCTCTCAGTCTCAACTGTAGAATTCCTTTAGATCAGGGATTCTCCAATTTCTATGTGCCCAAGAACTATCTGAGAATTAGTTTACAATGCAGAAGGCCAAGACCTACCCACAGAGAGTTTAATTCAGAGGATCTGGGATGGAACAAAGGAAAGTATGTTTTTTAACAAGTATCTCAAGTAATTTAAATGCAGATGGCCCACAAATCATATTTTAAGAAATTTTATAAGTTTATCCTTTTAAGGCTCTTTCCTTCTCATCTGTGTTTCTATAGTAGCTATCTGTAGCTACTCTCAGAAAGGAATATTCAATTTTGGGGGGAATAAGTTATTTATACATAAAATAGTATGCTGTCTTATTATTATTTTTGGAGAGTTTGCTAGATATTCAGAGTGCCTCAAGTCTCTGATCTTCTGAAAGTGGTAAAAAACAGAATGAGGAAGTTCTAATAAATGTTTAGAATGACTAATAGTTCTAGTTAAAAACAGACTTATAATCTCAAAAGTCAAGATTCTAAGTGGACAATTACGGATAATTTTAATTTCCCTATATATTTATACTTTGAAATGTTCTATAAAGAAAATAGAAAATAGGGGCTTCCCAGGTGGCGCTAGTGGTAAAGAACCCACCTGCCAATGCAGGAGACATAAGAGACACAGGTTTGTTCCCTGGGTCAGGAAGATCCCCTGGAGAAGGGCCTGGCAACCCACTCCAGTATTTTTGCCTGGAGAATCCCATGGACAGAGAAGCCTGGTGGGCTATAGTCTGAGCAACTGACACTTTCATTTTCATAAAGAACATGGATTGTTTTATAATTAAAAAAAAAAAGTTTCTAAAAAATCAAGGAGAATTCTCTAACAATGAGTACTTCTACTGCCCATAGTATAATCTCTAAGCATTATGTTTCATTAAAATGAACCAGGAGTCCTTAGAAAAATCACCTATTCCTGGTGTGAGTTAGATGATGAAAAGATCAGCTTAGGACATCTTTTTGTGTAAGAACTTAATGGAAAAATCTAGAATGTTACCAAAGACTGCTGGGCTAGGCTCAGTCACTCAGTGACTCTTTGTGACCCCAAGGACTATATCCCCTCAGGCTCCTCCGTCCATGGGATTTTCCCAGCAGGAATACTGGAAGGGGTTGCCATTTCCTCCTCTGGGGGATCTTCCTGATCCAGGGATCGAACCTGCATCTCCTGTGGTCCTGCACTGACAGGCAGATTCTTTACCACTGAGCCACTTGGATAGCCCTACTGCAGTCATGCTGGAAGGACACAGAGGCAACCTGAAAGAGCTCCCAGGAACTGAGAGGCAACAAATTAAGCATCAGAAAGAAAAAGGGCTGCAATGAATTGAAACAAACATACATAAGTTCATGAGATCATGATGATACTCAAAACAGACAATAAAAAATGAAGTCACACAGACCTTGAGAATATAAACTGAAAGGTAAAGCAATATAGTTTCTAGAAAATAATAAAGGGAAGGACTACTAAATTGGACTCCATCAAAAGGAAATACTTCTTTTAATCAAAAGATACCATTAAGGCTCTGGTTCTGAGTTAGAGAAAGCATATTCGGCCCTGTCTCTCCCACTGAATGAACCTATAAAACCTGGACAGAACATCTGGAATGCTGGAGAACCCCAAATAGGATGAACACAAAGAAAGTCAAGCCCAGACAGTTCATAATCAAATTGCTGAAAATTAAAGACAAAGGAAAAATCTTTAAAGAAGCCAAAGGAAAATGAAGCACTGTTTGTATGGGAACAATTGCTCGAGCAACTGCATGAAGGCTGTGCAGGAGCGGTCTGTGCTATCTTTCCAACTGGTCTGAAAATCTAAAGCCAGTTCAAAATAGAAAGTTAAAGGGACAAATAAACAAACACTGGCTGATATTATTGGGGATAAAAATGAAACATTTACTTACATTGCAAGAGTAAAACAGGAAACTTCAAAACAAATTTCAAACTTGGAAGCAGTGGTTGGTGAAGTAATCCCACCATCTGGTTTTGTGACCCTGAACAAGTTCTATTAATGTATTTTTGGGCCTTAATTTCCCAAGTTAAAGACCAAGGAGCTGGATTAGATGATCCCTAGTCCTGCCCAGGTCTCACATTTTATGGATCCTTCTTATTCCTCTAAACTGCTTCTCTATCAACTAAAGACTAAGGGTACCTTAGAGGTTAAGAAGATGAGATTTAGAATCAGTTAAGACCTCTCCCGAGTAATATCTACCTGAATGCTTGTAAGGATGAAATGAAAAATAGTACGCAGAGTGCTCAGCACCTTAGTATGTGCTCAGCACATAGTGAAGGTATATAATAAAAGACAGTCATTATTAATATAATGAAAGTCCTGCCTTAAGTCTCCTTCTTTTCCTATATTTTAAGTATTACTTTCAATCTTTAACAGCCTCAACAGATTTAACACTCCCATGTACCTGACTCCCAGATCTGTATTTCAAAAGCTCCTGGTTCCACATATCTGACTACCTGCCAGACATCTCCAACTGGATGTCTACCACTGCTTACAGTTACACTTGCCTGAAACCAGATCCTTCTCACAACTCAAGTCCTGTCATTCTCCCAAAGCCACCCAGGCTCAAAACCTCAGTCACTTTTGCCTCTTAGGATCTCTTCAACTCCTATCTTGATCAACCACCAACACTTACTATTCCTTCAAAAAGTCTCTATATGAATGATTCCTTCTCATTCCCCAGTTCAGATCCCTAATACAAGCCTGAATTATCCATTCTGGTGCCAGATTCATCCTTCTCAGCCCCACTTGGATCCCATCACTTCCTCTACCATCTGCCAAATGAAGGGAAAATTTCTGATACTGCACTCAAGGCCTAGAACAATCTGGACTCAAATTATCTGATTCACAGAACATACACTGAAATTCCTAATACCCTTCCCCTGTCCTCCTTTTCCTTTGTGATCACTGAAATTGTGCCCATTTTTAAGAAACCAACTCAAAAACTACTTCTTCAGAAAGATTTCTCTGTGTCTAGAGACCTCCCTGATTTTCTAGAAGAACAGTAAAGGGGAACTGCCCCATCGTCTATTACAATCTATCACGTGGGTATATTAATAAAAAATAGTGTTGGTATTAGCATTAGACAAAGAGATCAATGTAATAGGATAGAGTCCAAAAATAAACCTCTGCCTGTATATGAACTTAATAAAGGCGATGCATCAGATCAGTAGGAAAAGGATGAGCTTTTTCATAAGTATTGTTGAGACAACTGGCTATCAGTAGAGAAAAAAAAATAAAGTTAGATTCCTACCTCGTATCACATTTTAAAAATATAAAAATACTGGAAGAAAATATAGAGGATAATTATGACCTAGGACAGGAAAGGAATGTAAATGTATTAAAGGAAAATATTCACTAAATATGATTAAGTAAATCTTCTGCACCATAAAAAAACAATAAATAAAACTACAAAACAAGTTACAAGTTGGAAGAAAAATATGTCACAAATACAGCATCCAGAGGATTTATATTCAGAATATATACACAAGTCTTTCAGACAAGAAAAAAGATAAACAGAAATATATAAAGGCTAATTCAAAGAAGAAAATAAGATCTAATATAACTATGAAACAATATTCCACCATTCTAGTAATCAAGGAAGCAAAATTAAAACAATGAGACCATAAAAAAAAAAATGAGACCATCATTTAATCTGTCAGATTAGTAAAAACTTTAAATGCTAATAGTATTAAAAGTCCCAATAATTTCATGTTTAAAGATCTACTCTGAAGAAGAACAGGTGTACAAAGATGCAATTTTACCATAATACTATGTAAAATAGCACATCACTAGGGAAACTGTTATATAGACTATAATACATACGTGACATTCAACAGTATGCAACATAAAGAAATGCATATAGAAGAGTTAAGAAAAGACCTCCAAAATGCTGCTGGGAGAAAAAAAGCATGAAGACCAATACCAAATGATAGGATTTATGTAAAAAAAAAAAAAAAAAACATATTTCTACAAATACACATTAGATAGGAATAAAAGTTAGAAAATTCTCAACAGGTATATACCAAATTGATTAGTATATCATAATTATCACACTATATGTCATTGCTTAATAGATAGCCACTATTGGTATATACTTGTACTGACTCAAAAACACTACTTGTAGGAATCACTTCCTCCCTCAACCCTAGAGGTCAGCCATTCTCTGGACTTTTAGAATAATCATTTCCTTGTTTTCTTTGTATTTTTGCTACTTATGTATTAGTTATAGCAGTTTTAACTACTGTAACAAAAAGAATGTATCTAATTCAATAGAAATCTAATTCTCTGCTAGGGTGGGCAGTATGGGTTGCCAGGAGTCAACTCTGTCGAGAAACATCAGCTGATGGGTCTGCCATTTCAACACATGATTTCAACGCTGCTCGGATGACTGCCTCCCTAGCCTACAGAAGAGGAAAAGAACAAGAGGTCTGCATGGGAAGGTTTAGGAACCAGGTGTAAAAGTGGCACACAACAATTTCATTCCATACCACTGATGAAAATTTTGTCACAGGTGCACATCTAACTGCATAAAAGATTGAGAATGAGGTATAGCTGAGCAGGAAACCTCTGACTTGTTATGGAAGAAGGAAAGAGCAGATCTTGATGGGCAAACAGTTGTCCTGTCACATGTCTCTAAACAATATGGCTGAGTTTTGCTTGTTTTCAAATTTTAAATGAATGGAAACATAATATGTGATTCTTTTGTATCTAGTTTCTTTTGTATGTGTTTATGCCCCTTGGATGGAAGTGTCTCAGACAACCTGTGAGAGAATATGGGACATAAAGAAATGCTCAGGCTGGGTGCTATGTTACCTGAACTATCCAGTCCCAGCAAATCACACCTCCCAGACTCCACTTCCTCATACATAATAAGGAGTTGATTAATTGACTCTCTTAATCTCTGTGATCAATCATAATACCCACTCATCTTTAGTCACACATGTTATTTCAAGGCTTTTATACCATGAATCTGCACTGAGTCACTCTACTCATTTTCCCCCATCACCCACACCAGCAAGACTGATAACTAGCACTTGCACAACGGCCCTTGAAGTACTGAGCAACTTTTATATTCAGCAAACACAGCAAAACTAACTGGCCTGAACTTGGGCCCCTCTGACCCTCGACTTATTAAGACTATATTCTAACCTAAGGTAACTCACCGAAGGCTCTACACATGAAACATTGAAAGCTGATTGATAAGCTATTACTATTTGCTTCAAAAAATACTTCAAATTCTTTAATACTCCTTTCTTCAAAAGGTGAGGCCTAATTCCCTACTCAACAGTGTGTGCTGTTTTTGGTGACACAATTCTAATGAACAGAAAGTGGTAAAAACAACAGTGACTTATGAAACTAGGTCATAAACAACTGTGTGTGTGTTTGCATGTACATGTATGCACACTCATGTGCACGTGTGTGTGTCTCATCACTGGGGGCAATCAGCTGCCACAACATGAAGATATTTACGCAGCTCGAGAGAGGGGTCCACAGAGTGAGGAACTGAGATCTCCTGCCAAAAGCTGGTGAGAAAATGGGGCCTTAACCAACAGCCACATGAGTGAGCTATGTTAGAAGTGAATCTTCCAGCCCCACTCAAGCCTATACAGCTTCAGCCAATATAAAGAGTACTATCTCAGGGCTTCCCTGGCGGTCTAGTGGTGAAGAATCCACCTGCCTATGGAGGTGACACAGGTTCAAGCCCTGGTCCAGGACGATCCCACATGCTGTGGGGCAACTAAGCCCATGCACCACAGCTACTGCGTCTGCACTCTAGAGCCTGTGAGCCACAACTACTGAAGCCTGCCTGCCTAGAGCCTGTGCTCCACAAGAGAAACCACTGCAATGGAAACCCCCACATCACAGCTAGAAACTAACCCCTGCTCTCTGCAACTAGAGAAAGCCCGCACACAGCAACGAAAGGCCCAATGCGACCAAAAATAAAAAATAAATATAAATTAAAAAAGAATAAAGCACTTAGGATAAATTTAACCAAGGAGGTGCAAGACTCATATACTGAAAGGAAAAACCCTAAAAAAAAATAAAGCTTACTAAATTCAACAATATACACATCTGATGAGTCCATCAAATGTTAAGTCATATACAATAACCACCTACTTCTTAACATTCTCGAACTATCCAGAAGTTCATGAACCTTATAAGGAATTTGAAAATCTGAAACTAAAGCTATGATTTGATCGAGATGTTGGCAAAGGTACATAATAATTCAGAAGTCGGCAAAACACTAGAACAAAAAGAGCAAAAATAAAAAGAGAAGACTTTTGCTGTTGTTTTCTGACTGCCTAAGTTAAGGCAGCTTTGAATAAAATATTTTTAAAAGGCTGAAGTTACAAATAATCAATTAAAAATAGTTAATGCTATATTTAAAATGGATAACCAACAAAGACCTTCTATAAAGCTCAGGGAATTCTGCTCAATGTTATATGGCCGCCTAGATGGGAGGAGAGATTGGGGGAAGAATGGATACACGTATATGATTGACTGAGCGCCTTTGCTGCTCACCTGAACCTATCACAACATTGTTAATTGGCTATACCTTAATACAAAACAAAAAGTTGTTTTTTTTTAAGTAGTTAATATATTCACAAAGCCACTGAAAAATTCTTACCACCATAAAATCGGAGCATACAGCCAAGGTCAGGATTTGCTGCCTCCTCTTGTATTCGTGCAGGGTCGTCAAACCCCAGTCTGGATAAGTAATCATAAACAATCTGAAGAGGTCGTTCAGTAGGTTCCAGTCTCCTGCTTACACAATTCAGAAGAAAAATATTTGGTAAGTTATAAACACACTTTATTTGATTTTTAAAATCTTTCAATTGCTCTTGATTTTTACTTCTATATCAATTTTCTTTAATATCTTATGATACAACTAGTGGTGCTCAAAGTTTTTGATCTCAGGATCCCTCTGTAGTCTTTGAAGCCCCCAGAGCTTTTGTTTACATGGGGTTTATCTATTGATAGTTACATGGGGTATACCTATTGACCTTTATCTACTTATTTACTGAGAAACTAAAATTAAAAATTTCTAAATATTTATTCATGTTTAAATAACAATAAACCCATTACATGTTAACAAATATTTTCTCTAAACTGTATTTTCAAAATAGGACAAATGTAGTGATAAGACTTATACTGTTCAGCACTTTGTAAATCTCTTTAATAAAAATTAAATTAATACCCCATTATTATTTTGAAATAGTTTTGACCTCATGAACCTCTTTAAAGAATCTCAGAGACCCCCAGAGGGTCCTTTGAGAATCTGTGGTTCAAACTTAAAGGCATCAAAACTATGAGATGTAAAAGATATACTCGGCCATAACTGATTTCACATAAGCTGCAACACAATTAAAAATGGAGACTTTGGGTTGCTGACCTCTAGCTTCATAGATGGATTTTTCCAAAAAAGTTAGGAATGAACTGCCCAGTAATTAACCCAGAAATCATTCTGTTACATGGTTCTGACTGAAAGCAAGGAAAAGTCGGAATGTCAGTAATCATTTGTGGCTTCTGGGGATATTGCATATTTTAAAATCACACGAACTTAATGCCTCATTTACAATTATTTTAGGAGAAAGCAAACAGTTATAACAAATACAGCAGCTGAGAGCATGAACTCCAAAAGTCAGACTGCCTGGGTCTGAGTCTTACTTCCGCCACACACTCACGTGTGTCCTTAGACAATTTATTTAACCTCACTGACTTATTCCTCACCAGCATAATGGGAATGACAACAGTGCCTAACTCACAGGGTTGTTACTAGAAGTATTTATTTATTTGCTTATAAGAAGATATCATACAGTACATAAAGCAGCTTAGCACATTATTTCACATGTAGTAGTGTTCAATAACGTACTGACAATTATTATTCAAAAAAGTATTAGGAATGGAATAAAATTTTAATGAGAATAAAAATAGAATGTCTCCCCACAACTGAAGCAACAATCAAAAAACAAGTATAGGAACCACTTGTATTAACTGCAAGAAACATGATGCACTTTCCAACAAGGCATAAAGACATGAAGGATCTGTGTTTTGTGGTTCAAGAACTAGAAAATACTAGTTGGCAATAAGATTTACTTTTTAAAAACATGAAATGAGAATACTACAAAGGGAAATATAAACAACTGTTAAAAAAATGATAATATAGAAATGGAAATCACACTGATGCATACAAAAAAAAAAAGACAAAAATAAAAGCCACGTTGTGGCCCCTCCTGACCCATCTGGCTCAGTTCTGACTTCCAGCTTCTGTAAACTCAGAACTACTACATGGGGAATGACCAAAGAACTAAAAGCCTACAAAGACCAGCAAATACTGAATTTAACAGAAATGGAAAATATACTTTTCAGAATAAAAACATCAGCTACAATGAATCTCTAATCAAAGAAAAGAAAAGTCCACAAAGGGCTGTGATGATATTGGGCACCTTCCTCATACAATGGTAGAATCCTTCAAAGAAGGGTCCATTTTAAGAGAGACTTCTAAATAAACTATCCTGGAGGGGTCAATTAGTCATGTAACAGGAAGACTGCCTGAAGGATTAAGCTGAAGACAAGGTGACCAAGGACATAAACAGCTCCGTCTTTCCATGTCAAGAATGGTTATTAGATTTAGTCTAGATTGATCCAAAGAAAGGGACTATGACCAGTGGGAAGAAGTTGCACAGGTAGACTTGGATTAAAAAGGAGGCAGAACCTTAATAATTAGAGATGCCCAATAATGAAACAGGCTGTCCATCAATATAGCTCAGAGAGAGCCACCTGTCACAGACAACTTAGAAAGTCTGCTCTAGGAAGTCAGGCCAGATGATCTTTAGGGTCTTTTTACAACTCAGGGGTCTATGATGTATCTAAGACATCTTCCTAGTATAATACAAATTCTACCTAAACACTGCTATTATTTTTGGATACAGAGTTCAATGTATTTAACTATAATTATACATATATGGTGTATATATATGACTACATATATACTATAACTATAATGATCACATATTCAAGACCAAGAAATTTTACTTTCAAGCTCTATCTTACGAGCTTGATTTTCTTACTTCTCTCTAGAAAACGAAGAGAATTGGAAACATCCTAACATATTTTGCATCATCAGATTTCCCAATCTAAAAAGATTCTGTAGATTTTGGAAACCCTCTTTAACTATTTCCACCAAAAGAAAGTATTTTCCCTGGGAGAGAGGGAAAAAAACTAAGAGAATCTCCACATCTGCTCTCATCAATTTAGCATAAATGAGCAAACAAGAAATATTTCAAGAAGTGCAAAAACAAGTAAAATGAGGGACTAATTCCATTTACTCATTAAACTCATCTGCTTAAGGGAGTAGAGAGTATGGGGGAGGGAAAATGCTATAATATGCTTACGGATCAATTCTGTGTTTCAGAGTTCGAAAAAGTTTAACAGGCTGCTAATTAGCTATGTGTTAAATCTCTCACAAATCAAAGGAAATACATCTATTGCAAAACAGGTGTAAGACAGAATATTTTAGCAAAGAAAGGTTCCGTTCATCATTTGAAATACTTCCGTTAAGGCTTTAAGAAGAGACAATAAGACTATTGTTAACAGTGTGCTTCTCGGGCTTCCAGAAGCTACAATAGTCCTTGTAAACCTGAATATAAGTGCATCTGCTTATTTTTCTCCAAACCAGTCAACCAATACAGTAATGCTATCAACAATGTTTGTAGCTCTTGCGTGCTAAGTCACTTCAATCATGTCCAACTCTTTGCAACCCTATGGACTGTAGCCCGTGTAGCTCTTAGCCAACAGGTATTCTCAACAGTGCCCACAGTTAAGTTACAAGTAAGAGAACAGTAAGTTTCATTTCAGGGATCACTCCACATCAAGGAACATGAAATTGAGCAAACTCCAGGATACAGTGGAAGACAGAGGAACCTGGTGTGCTCTACAATCCATGGGGTCCCAAAGAGTAGGTCTTTAGTGACGAAACAACAACAATCACTCCACAAGAACACTAGTAAATAGTGGAAGTGCATTCTTGCAACCCAACACATTGTATCCAAGACCCTAACACAGCACAGAGCAGCATTTTATACAGCAAAGTCAGGTTAAAACTCAATCTCTGGCCAATAAGGTAAAATCTGCAAACTTTTAAGACTAACAATACATATAATGATATGGAAAACAAGGATACTTTGATGAATGTCTACGCCACATCTGACACTATGCTAGAAGTGTCTCACATTTTACAAAACTAGGAAATAACTAAAAGAGAGAGTCACGTAATTAGTACATATGGCATCAGGGTTTGAACCTGTGCCAATTTCCTTACAAAGCCTCGCCTTTAGGCAAACAGTATTATTTTTAAATGTAGCTGAAATAATTTATGCAGAAGAGAGCTCAAAGTACTTCCCATGTTAACTTATACCAAGAATGTAAAAAGTTATGTTTTAAAATTACCGTACATCATTAGTCTGATACATCATCATTTCAAAGATACACTATTTTTATATATCACTGTTGTATAAGAATCCTGTAGTCCCTGGTTTCTGTGAGGGGGATTCTAAATTCTTGAAATTTCCTGAGTAATGGAGTATCTCACTTATTCACAAGCCCCTTGGATCACCTCTCAGTTTATGCTAAGAGATAAGCTGACACAGGATGGGGGCTGGTCACAGAAAGACCAACCTCCTGAAGAGAGGCTTGGGGCTTGACATGAGCCCGATCTTGGGGGAGGAGAGGGCTGGAGATTTAAATTTGAGTTCAAGCACAAGATCAATGATTAAATCAATCAATCCTACCCTATAACTCAACAAAAACTCTGTACTGAAGCTTCCTGGTGGATGAACACACTCAAGTGCTGGGAGGGTAACACGGATGCTCCCTATGTGTGTATTCACTTGGCTCAGACAATAGAGAGTCAATCCCTGGTTTGGGAAGATCCCCTGCAAAAGGGAATGGCTACCCACTCCAGTATTCTTGCCTGGAGAATTCCACAGACAGAGGAACCTGGTGGGCCACAGTCCTTGGGGGTTACAAAGAAATCAGACATGACGAAGCAACTAACACCTATACTTAAATAGTAATCTTAAATACTGCTTCCTTGAGTTCGGTGAGACATTCTAGTGAATTACTGAAACTGAAGGGGCGCAATAACGTTGTAATAGTTGCAGGAGTAATGTCCTTTAACTTGTGAAGAAGTCTGTGCAAAGTCTCGGTGGTTAGTGTCAGAACTGTATCGCAGTAAACCAGATGGCACTGCAATAACCATTAAGAAAAAAGCACTGCCAATTAGACTATGACCTACCAACAAATGCAAAATACACACTGATTTCAGAAGTGAAAAACTAAAATGTAAAAACAAAAGTTTCAATAAAAGACAAATTACTTAATGTATAACACATTCTTTTATAGTTTAAAATAGTACAGAAATATGAAACAAAACAAAAATGTTTTTCCTCAGAGTTAATCAGCTCAGTATGTATTCTGAAACAGGAGTTTCCACTCCCCCTTTTAATGTTAAGATATGGTAAACGAAACTTCAGACACTTGTAAGAGGTCACCCAGCAAGTCAGTGATAGTAAAGGAATTACAACTCAGAATTCCAAATCGCAACGGCATAACTTTCTGCTAGATATATCTTATCAATTATTAACTTATCTGAAAAAATGGTGTATCAGCCACAGAAATCTTAGTCATTTTGATGACTAAAAATAGAAGTAAATATATGACCAAGAGCCAAAGGGCATTTCATTTTGTTAAGGTAATGTTGTTACAACTTTTCAAAGAGAAGGCAATGATTACACTAAGCTTCGCTAGTCAGTCATTTATCACTTAAACAGTCCAATAAAACAGACAGACCAAATATTATGTAGAGAACACTGGACTTGGAGACAGGACACCTGTGTTCCAGCTATAGCTCTAGCACCAAGCAGCTGCAGGAATGTGCTGTGAACCTGACCTCTCCAGACTCGGTTTCACATCTATTAAATGAAGGAAAATGGTTTTTGTGACTCCCATGGGGAAGTTGCTAGCCTTTTAGGCAGGACAATTTTTGCTGTACAAGACTTTCCCCCACTGAGGATATTAAGGCTCTCTGGTCCTTGTTCCCTAAATGCTGGTAATTCTCTCCTGTAGTTGTGACGACAAAAGCGAGGCCCCCACACATATTCCCAGATGGAAAGGGCAAGAGGTGGTAGGGCTGTTAGGTCGGGTTCATTTTCCTAGTAGGTATCTCTCTCAGGTTCCTTCGAGGGCTAAAATTCTATAAATTCATAACCCCTCAGTTAAATTCAAGTGACAAGTCCATAACTAAAAAAGAGTAAGGAAAGAATAAAATCATGGATGATTTAGGAAAAATAATGGGGTAATTTTAGTGCCAATAATCCCATTTCTAGGATCCAGCCCACGGATATCAACAATTTAAGATTCATGGGGAGAAAAAGAAAGATTCATGGGCAAAGTTTAGTTATTACACTACTTCTGAGTGTTGAATGACTTGAAGTAACCTAAAGAGGTTAACACTAACTAGGTCCAGGCATCATGTTAAGTACTTTACTTCCTTGCAACTCAAAATGTAGCACATCATGCAGGAGCTTAACAGGATACACACAGACCCCAGAGCCACGGAATGAATCAAGAATCTGTATTTGAACAAGCTCCTCAGGTGGACATTAGAGTTTAGGAAGCCTTACAAGTATAAATTCATTTAATCTTCATAACATGTATAATTTACTTAACCCTCAGATAACTCTATAATATAAATATTATCATCCCCCATTGTACAGATTAGTAAACTGAAGACAAAGCATTAGGTCACTTGCACAGTGAACAGTCTGAGCCAGGATTTGAACCCACAAGCTCTCAATCCAGAACCCAAGCTCCTAAGCCATTACTGCATATTAGTTCTCAAGTTTTAAATAAGTTGCAACATATGCATAAAATAGAGTACTATGTAGCTATTAAAACTGGTATCTAAGGGATTTTTAACGACACAAGGAAATTAGTTGAGGTAAGCAGTAAATAAAACTGAATAAATAAATGGTATGGGTCCAACTATGTAATTTTTAAAAATTAGACACACCTACTCATTTCAAAAAAGATCTGAAAAAAAATGTCAGGGTGTTGAGGGAAGGGGAAGGCAATATATGGAAGCTAGTGTCAGAATCTAGAGTTCAAATTCCAGGTCTCACTTACCAGCTGAGTGATTCTAGATGAAATGATTAACCCTTTTAAGACTCATTTTCCTCATCTATAAAATGGGGAGAGTATTTACCTCATAAAATTGTCATGAGGATTAAATGAGATAATCTACTAAAAGTCTAAGCATTGGAAATTATTATTTCTCTGTACATTTTTTCATTATTTCCAAAATCTCTACAGTGATCATAAACTACACTTCAATAAACAGCAAAAAACTTATTAAAGAAGAGATAGTGCCTGACCTTGAACACACTACCAGACCTCTCAAAAAGCCTCAAATTTCCTCACTGAGAAGGAATAATCCTACCACTCTTACAGTTACTGTGAGGAGTTAAGGAGAAAAAAAATGCATAAAGCAGTAAGCCTGCTAACTAGCAAAAGAAAGCACTTAATATTAGCTAAAATCTATCATCATCATTATCATTGTTTCTTTGGCTAACTGAGACTTCTTTATCTCCTACTCCAGCAAAGAAAATACATTCGTATCTCAAATACTGTATGATACCACTTATACATGGAATCTAAAAAAACACAACAAAAATAGTGAACGTAACAAAAAAGCAGCAGACTCATAGATGCAGAGAACAAACTAGTGGTTACCTGTGAGGGGGTAGGGGGAGGTAAGGCAGGGCAATATAGGGGCGGGAGAGTAGGAGGCACAAACTATTGGGTATAAGACATGCTATGAAGATGTATCGTACAACACACGGAATACAGCTAATATTTTGTAATAACTGTAAACAGAGTGCAACCTTTAAAAATTGTATAAAACATTTAAATTTTTTTTTAATTTTAGAAAAAGGAAAAAATATATTCATATCTTCAAACCACAGTTCAATAGTGTTTTCATTATTTTGTAATCAATTCATTGTTTTGTTTCCAAAGAGCTATTTCATTACAAAATTATCAAAGCTACACTCTCCATTTTAAGAACAGTTTAGGTTCACAAAAGTAAATTGTATTGCATTTGGACTCTTAACTAACAATACAATTAGTAGTAGCAAGCCAATTCTGGTGGGCTTTTCTCCACTTTTCTAATATCTCTGTATACATACACACTGGAATACAGATGAGTAAGTCTAAGGTTTAAACACTTGAACTCCCATCAGTCACTACCAGCTATAATGTAGGTCAAGGCTTTCCACCTGATAAAATTAGATCGGAATCAGTGTTAAGATTTAGAAAAGCCTAAGGATCACCCAATCTGATCCTGTCGTTTTACAAATGGATTTAGGAAATGTAGTTAACTGGTGAACAAGGAAAACACTCAAGTGCTAATCTACTTTTTCAGGAATTAGTCCAATTTCTAAAAGGAACACATAATAAACCTCAGTTTAGACTTTTAAAATGCTATCAATTTTTAGCTCAGCTAAATGTGTTACTATTATTACCACATTTTTAGGTGGAAGTGGGAGCCTCCTTTCTCACTTTCAACAGTATTAAATCCACAGTTTCAAAATTCTGTTTGGAGACATTTACTTATTACTGAGAAAGAGGAGGTTAGAAAAGCACTTAAGGAGCTCTTACCTGAGGTCTAACTCAAAGAGCTAACAGTTTTTTGGGTTTTTTTTAAAGCTGAATCAAAGAGTTCACACGCACAGCAGAAGACTACTGTGAGACTACTTTGTTTCTTTGCATTTATATAAGATTTTAAGGAAAACACAAATGTCTTTTAAACTTATCAAAATATGTTCAACCTCACTCTATCACATAAATGAAAATCAAAATAACAAAATTCCTATCAGATTTCCAAACATCTACATTTTTAGGCTTGAAAAAAGATTTGTCCTTGGAATGCTGAATTTACAATTCTCTAAAAACTGTTGACAATCATTTCTATTCACAATCAAGTATGTGTTCATGCGTGAGGATGTCAAAACATGTAAAATTTAACACTAACGTGTTCTGGAGAAAGTAAGGGGGAAATAGGTATACTTTTACATTATTCATCAAAGTATAACTTCTATGAAGAGGAATTTGACAATATCTATCAAAATAAAAAATGCACATATCCTTTGAGACAGCAATTCCATTCCTAAGATGACTTCCATGTGGGAAAAATATCACAGATACAAGGATATTCACTGCAGCAGTGCTTGTAGTAAAAAAAACTGCTAACAGCCTACATGCCCACTAATAGGAGACTGGCTAAATTTATGGTAGACTTGTGGAATGGAATATTATATAGCCATTACATAAATGAAAATCATAAAGTATTAATATGGAAAGGTATCTAAGATAGTAAGCTGACAAGGTGTTGCAGATAGCACCATCAGTTTTAAAAATTTATATACAAATAGTGACACATACTCATGCATAAGCATAGGTACTTGTCATTCTTTATTTCCTTTTATACCTTTTTATTTCATTCTATTTACCTGTATCACTTAAAAAAATAAAACTTCAAGGACTTTCCTGGTGGTTCAGTGTAAGAATCTGTCTTGCAACATAGGCAACACAGGTTCTATCCCTGATCTGGGAAGATCCCACATGCTGCGGAGCAACTAAGCCCACGCACCACAACTACTGAGGCCATGTGCCGTAGAGCCCGTGATCCACGACAAGAAAAGCCACTGCAATGAGAAGCCCATGCACCGTTAACTAGACAGTGGCCCTGGCTCGCCACAACTAGAGCAAGCCTGTGCACAGCAATGAAGATCCAGCACAGTCAAAAGTAATAAAAATAAATTAACAAGTTTTTAAAAAGAAAATAAAACTTAAAAAATTATTTATTGTTAATTCAGATATTCAACCTATGATGTAACCCAAATGAAGTAACTATCAAATTTTCCTCTTCTAATACTTTTTAAATTCAAGGATTCTAATGTCAGCATTCTCAGGACAAGCCTGTTTTCAAGCCTTGCGACTATAACCATCATCAGCTCCAGCATGAATAAAATCCTAAAGCCCACTTCCAAGCAGAAACACATATGACTTATACTGCAGTAGAATTAATGGTAAAACTCTGACCTCACCTGACCAGGTCTCCATGAAGCTGCAAATAAAGACTTTCCCTTCCCTCTCCAGCACAAATTTCTGATGCCGGTGTCTCTACTGTGCAAAGGACAAGATGTAGGTCGGAGGAGGCGGCGGCGGCAGAGGAAGCGGAGGTGGTCGTGGCAGTGGTCGTGTCCGCTCCATACAGGTAAACACAGCCTCTCTTCACATCTTCTCTCAGCCAGTCTCTCTCCCGTGAACCAAACCTACTTCTCCTATTCAAGCAATTTCTGCTCCCATTGCGCTTCATATTTCTCTAAAAAAAAAAAGTCATGAAAAAGAAATCGTTAGCCCAACTGTCCGACTGAGTTAGACATATTTGGTCCTCACCCCACCTTTCCACTCCTTATTCACCAATTCTCGGCTGGGTACCACTTCCTCTCATGGAGCCTTCTGCACCTGCCACGCCCATCCCTAAACTAGCAAATTTTATTCTCTTTACTGGCAGCTGTTCATGTCTCTGTCCATCATCTTCTGACCCTTTTTTTCTTTATGTTTTCAGAAAAATGTCAAGAACAACAGTTGTAGGCCTACTACCTAACTTTCATAAACTTTTATATTTTGCCAGATTTAGTTCAGATCATTATTTTAAAGAATATATATATGATACAACCTTACATATATAGCTAAAGCCACCCACTACCTAAAACCCCATTTCCCTTCTCCCTCCCCAGAAACAAACACTCCACTATACTTAGTGTTTATCATTCCATGCATTTTTTTACATTTGCCCTATATGTATATGTCTATAAACTCTAATATTGTTTTACATAATTTAAAACTGTATCTAAAACCTGACATACATATGTTTCACCCTGTCATTTTTTCCCTTGATTCAACACTGCTTTAGAAATACATCCGTGATATTACACCCAGTTCATTCTTTTGAATACCATTCCACTGTATGAACACACCAAAATTTATCCCTTCTCCTGCTAAAGGCATTTAGTTTGTTTCTAATTTTTCACTGTTGGAAACAGTGAAAAACAACGCTGCAATAAACATTTCTGTGTATCTCCATCTGAAAACTTCATCTGAAAAATATCATCCATCTGAAAACATCTTATACCCCAAATAAGCAAGTACAGAATCAACACAATGCTGCACAAATATTCTTTCCATTCTCATGTTTCAAAAAAAAAAAAAATTCCTGTTGCATTTGAGAACTTAGGTATGCATATACATTGCAAAATCACATCATCTCAAAGCAAAAACAATTGCTGCAGCAACATAAAAGTCTCTAAAGATCAATATTTACCTGCTCTATTTTTATAATGGGCCATTTCTATTCCCTTTAATAAAAAAAACCAATTTCCACAAATAGTTACACTGTGCACCTCTCCTGGTCTACTCCCCACTGCATTTCACTCTGTTTCAGTCATATCCAGCTCCCTCAAAACACCAACTATTTCACAATTCCATGACTTATCTGAAAAGTTCTCCTCCATCTTGTCCACTTGAGTAGTTATTCCTCAAAATTACTCAAATGTCACCCTCTCTATGGAGTTTTCCATGTCTCTCATTCCCATTTTCTCCTCCTATCTAGAAAGAAAGAATTACTCTCTCCCACACACTTCCACTGCTATGTAAATCACCATGTGTTTTAAATTATTTATTTGGTATTTTCTCCTGTTATACACTGAGAACCTATTATAGTGCCTTAGAGCCTAGGTGGCAGAGAGATGCATGCAGAACTCAGCTGATATCACAGAAATTTATCCCCAGTCCCTACTGAAGCTTGACTAGCTCTGGCAAGAAGCTGAATAAACTTGGGGGGAAAAAAATCTCCATTTTTTAATAGGAAACCTTATAATCTTTTCTTTGTATCAGCCACAAAGCAAATACTTTTGCTAATATTCCTCATTGGAAAACAGAAATATCTATAATAAAGCTGATATTATTCTTGTACTTACTGACATTAAATATTTGAAAATAACTGTAGCACCTAACGGAGAAGGCAATGGCACCCCACTCCAGTACTCTTGCCTGTAAAATCCCATGGATGGAGGAGCCTGGCAGGCTGCAGTCCATGGGGTCGCTAAGAGTGGGACACAACTGAGCGACTTCACTTTCACTTTTCACTTTCATGCATTGGAGAAGGAAATGGCAACCCACTCCAGTATTCTTGCCTGGAGAATCCCAGGGACAGGGGAGCCTGCTGGGCTGCCATCTATGGGGTCACACAAGAGTCGGACATGACTGAAGTGACTTAGCAGTAGCACCTAAGATTCAATCTCTGAAGTTGATAAAGAAAGGGGAAGAAAAAGAATGTATTCCCCATGCGGAGAGAAAGAAAAGTAAGAAATGACAGTGGCTTCATTGTTTAAGTTTAGGATAACAGGTAAACTGACCATTTTATAGATCTTAGGGATTGCGGTATGGCTAATCAAAACCAGGAGGATTATTACTAACTTTAGATAAATAGAGTAAAGCCCTGCTACAAGTGGGAACTAGGTCTCTCTATTCTCATGGAGAGCATTCTTTCAAAGCTGAACATGTCACAATTAACAGAGGGCTCTCAAGCACTTACGAGCACAGGGACCACCATACCTGCATGACTAACCTAACCAGTGCGTAACTAACCAACTGGTTTAAGTGTTTCCTACTTTTATTCTTTGGGGAAGATGAACTGACCCTCTGAAAACAGTGTTCCATATGGCACAGCTACATTTACACAAAGAAACCCTGCATTCTCAGTGGAGAGAAAGTCTGCTCACTGCTATTGACAGGGCCATGGACACTACTCCACAAATCTATCAGAAAGAATCCTTAGAAAAACTTAAGGTCAAACAATATCCCACTAACCTTCTCAATCTTAGAAAAGTCAAGGCAGACCCCAGGAGGTTATTACCCTAAGTCACCCATGATTCTTCTTCAGTGAGAATGTTTAACAGTCATTTTTTAATGTGAATATCTATTTCCCTTAAAAGACTATACATAAATTCTTTAAGAAAGTTACACTCTTTAAACACATGTGTTGTTGGTCAAAGAATGTATCTCCTTTTATATGACATATTCCAACCTATGAAAATAAACTGCTGAGTTAGAACTTCAGTAGATATCATTCTCTTAAACCTGTTCAATGGGCATTCAAAGGCCTAGATACCAAGTCACAGCCTTCTGGGAAAACTCTAGATTAAATGGTTAGCTATAATTATTGTTTAGTCGCTAAGTCACGTGCGATTCTTTTGCAACACCATGGACTGTAACCCACCAGGCTCCTCTGTCCAGGGGATTTCCCAGGCAAGAATACTGGAAAGAATACTGAAATAGATTGTCATCTCCTCCTCAAGGGAATCTTCCCAACCCAGGGATTGAACCTGAGTCTCTTGCACTGTAGGCGGATTCTTTACTACTGAGTCATCAGGGAAGCCCTTAGCTATCATTAGTCACTGCTGAATTACCCAGTGCTCCCTTCCCCACTACGTAAACCATCAAGGAAGTGTTGGAAAGGTCAGTTCTCTCCTCTAAGATGCTTGCAGCTTTTTAAATCACTATTCCACTGGAATTGCTAGACTGAAAATACTTTATTTCCTCACTTACTCTTCTTACATAAGAACTACTGACAAGCTTCTCTAGAAGGGAACACAACCATAATCATCCTCCCAACAAACAAGTGTATTAAGAGCACATTTAAGATTTAAAGATATTTCTAGACAGCAGAAATCTTCAGAGTAAGCAATGAACTAAGTACTTACTTCAGTTTTACACTTTCCACCCTCTAAAAATTGAAGACAACATTGAGGGCTGGCTCTGATTAGTTCAAAGGTGATAAACTATTAAATGCTCACACACAATTAACTCTAAGATATGCATGGTAGAACAGGGTCTACTGAAGTAACTCTCCATACTCAATGAGTTCTAAACTGTGAAATATCCTAAAGTAAGAGATGTGTTCCCACATTCAAAACTTCAGAATGATATGGGCTCATCTCGGAATACACATGCTAAGGAATATCTTGAAATGGATGGAAGAGATAAAGAGAGGAAGAGTATTTCAGTTCATTAAAATCTTTTTGGTAGTGACTGATTTTAAAAACCACATGTGTACATCATTTTGATAAAAACTTGAAACTACTATTGAAAAAACAGGTCTCATAGCAGTCACTGACTTGATGAACCATAACTTCATTTATTATACAGACTCAGTTAAAAAAAAAAAGTAAAAGAGTTGGACACGACTGAGTGACTGAACTGAGAAAAAAAAAAAGCCAAACTATAGCAAACATCTGGAAATTTTTGCTTCAAGGATACTCCTGATAATCTTAAAAAATATTAAAAATATCATACTTATATTGCAACTACAGTTATAAAGGACTATATTCTAAATAGCAATTTGCTAAGTAAGATTCTGAATCAAATTTTCCAATACGCCATACAGTGGTGTGTGCATGCTTAGTCACTTCAGTTGTGTCCGACTCTGTGACTCCATGATCACAGTGTGCCAGGCTCCTCTGTCCAGGAGATTTTCCTGGCAAGAATACCAGAGTGGGTTGCTATGTCCTCCTCCAGGGATCTTCATCTCCTGCATCCTGTATCGCAGGCAGAATCTTTACCGCTGAGCCACCCAGGGAAGCCCTAGATCTAACCTGGCTAAGTTACACCAGCTTAGCTATAATTGATGTTCATGATTTGATATTAAGTATTAGAGAAGGGGGCAGCAGAGGAGATCATTAGATGGCATCACTGACTCAATGGACATGAATTTGAGCAAACTCCAGAAGACAGTGAGACAGAGGAACCTAGGGCGCTACAGTCCATGGGGTCGCAAACAGTTGGACACGACTTAGTGACTGAACAGCAACAGAAGAGTTAGAAAAAAGAATGATAAGTCTTTCAAAGGGTTTTCGGAGAAGAGTATGTAGGAGACGACAGATTCTCAAAGTCTTCTACTTATATATTCCTTTCCCATTTCACCTGGCACAAAATTCAACCACTCAGCTACTGAAGTCAACTTTTGTTTGTAAAAAACACACAGCACCTATTCTTCAGTCGATCCCGTTTATTTGCAAAGATGCAAAGGTCTTAAGACACTGTTAGCCTCCCATATCACCAGATCAGCACTAGAATAAGTATCAATTTCTGGAATCTTTCTAATGGCCTCCAAATTGGAACCCCAGTAGTAGTTTGGACCACTTCCTGGATCTGTAGGATGGTGGGAATCCTCAATAAAGATCCTTATTTCTCAATTCCTTCCCTCCCACATCTCATTCCCCATGGAAAAATAGTTGCTGTAAAAATAGCAAAGGCTGTTTACCTTCAAGGCCAGAGGGCATTTACCTACCTCTCAGACTTGCCCTTTCCTGATAAGCCAGGCAGCAGAATTTTTTTAAAGTTCATTCACAATTTACATTTTTGTGACCTTACAGTTTTAAGTAAATATCCAAAAGTCTTTGAGTAATTAAATTTAAAACATGATTAAATAGTTTACAATAAATATGTAAAAGGTCTATGTGGAAGTGGAAGTTAACTATGAAAAGTTATTTCAAGTTGCTGTATTAAGATTGGGAGGTAGTAGCAGAAAAACTTTTTTATTTTACAGAGTTCTAATTTATGTCATTTCGTGGATTCACCAGATGTTTCAAATCTACTATTTTTTTCAGTGTTGCCATCTTTGTGATGTCCTACGAATAACCTTAGTAGCGAGTATATGGTGCTCACTCTCAATCCCAACGACCATTACTTAATAAATTTTTCAACATAATGTATTTTCATTGTCTTTCAAAGTATTTTCGAAACACGCCAAATCTAAATTTTCTTTGCTCTCTTCCTTTTCTCTGGCAAGTTTTAAATCCTGCTGCTTCCTCTTCTATAACTTTAGAAGGAATTCCATTCCTTCTCCAGGACCCCTAGTTTACATATTTGACCTACGAAAAAATTTCTCTCCAACTACATATGTCGAAGGCTAAAACTCCCTCCAGTGAATCCACAATCTCTCCTCCTAACCACCTTCACTGTCCCCACCCCACCCTACATTCCCTGTGCATTTTAACTTCTCGTCATCACCTTGAAGACTCCATTCCCCCCCCCTCCACCCCTTGCCGGCATCTGCCTTCATTTCCTCCTACTCCCCTTAATTCCAATTTCTGCCAAAAAGCCCCGTTAGCTGCCTGTTGCATAACTGCTCCCCCATCACCTTCTCCCTGGATTGTCAGCCCCGCTCCCGCCAGCAGGAATGCCCCCCTTTTGTCCAACCCCTCCTCCCTCCTGCAACACGCCCAGCGCTTCCCCGAGATTAAGCTGCTCCGGGGATTCTCTCAGCAGGCGGGGCAGGTCGTGCTCCCAGGCCGGCGCTCTGGTGCGGGGAGCAGGTCTTAACTTCGGTGGGAAGCTCCGAGGGCAGAGGCTGCCGCGCCAGCCGGCGCAGCCCCGAACACCGCAGCGCCCGGCCAATCACCGCCGCCATCCTCCCGCTGGGGTGATGTCTTCAGGTGTCCGGGGAGAAAGCCCTGCGTACTTCCAGCTCCGCTCTCGGGCCAGGAGACGCCGGCCCCGGGGCCGCGAGCGCGGCCGGTGGAAGCACAGGCTGGCCCCCTGGTCCCGAAGGAGCCGAGTGGGCGGCGGCGGCCGGGTGGACGCCAAACCCAAGGCGTGGGCCTGTGAGGCGGGTGGCGCGCGGCCAGGGATGGGCAGCGGTGGGGACGGAGGCGGCCAAGACCGCGGCCTCGGCGGGGGCCCGGCCCAGAGGCCTCGGCGGGTGCAGCGGGCCCCCCAGCCGGGTTTGGGGGCAACCGAGCCGCGAGGCTGACTGACCGACGCGAGGCGGGGGTCGCCCGCTACCTCAGCCACCAAGCGGGGCAGGGGCGGCCTCCCCCTGCTCTCTCTCCCTCCCCAGCCCGCCCGAGCACCTCACCTTCAGGACCCGAATCCCGCCCGGCCGACGGCTCGCGGGCGCTTCAGGCGGCTCCGGGGGCTCAAGCGGGCCCGCGGGTCCCGGCTCCACCTCCCCCATCGGCGGCTAGCGGCGGCTGCACAGGGACGCCCGGCCGGCGCGACGCCGCGCGGAGCCTCGGCGGCGCGCGCGAACACCCAGCAGCCCCGCCCCCCGCAGCCCTCTGGCCCCGCCCAGAGGCCCGCCCCGCCCTGGCCTGCGTAGCTGCGGGCCGGGTGCGTCCCGGGCGCTAAGGGACGCAAGCCGCCGGCAGTCGGCCGGGGACTTCACGGGCGGAGCCCGGCGCCGCCGCAGGGCTAGGCCTTTACTGTCAGCTGCCCTCGGTTTGGAGGACTGAGGCGCAGGGAGAGTTATTTTCTGAGCGACTCCTAAGTAGGGGCTGGGCAAGGGGCAGGGGAGGTTTGCACCTGTCAACAGAGACGGGAGGATGCTGCCTTCTGCAGAAGGTGGCTTTCGTAACTTAACCTCTCCCAGACGTTTCCTCTCTACTCCAAAACTGGCCCGTCACCCTCACAAGTGCAAAGCCATTGAACGAATTGTTGAGAATACCCACTTTAGCAAGGCCCTTTCTCTTCTTTGTTGTAGATGGTCACAGGCTTCTTCAGAAAATTCGACCCCACCTCGTGTACAAAAATGTCATCTCACCTCCCAGCCACATTTGAATTCCCTTTCTCTTCATGTAGTAGAATTTTCAGAATATTGTTCTCTGGTTCAAGCAGTAATGTGGTCTGGACTCTAAGCTAGATTATTTGCAATTCTAATTCAGAAATTTTTTTATTTTCTTTTAGTTGCTGCAGTGATAGTTTTGTGGCTGGCCAGTGAGCCAAATCAGAGCGCCTGATTCCAAATTTCAGGTCTATCTCTCATTAGCTCTGTACCCTTGTGCAAGTTATTTGACCTAAGCCTTTGGTTCTTAGCTGTGAAATAGAAAATAGTCTGTCTAGTAGTCAAGTCTGAAGATTTTGCAAATGCATACAAAGTGCTTGACACATAGTAGTGATTCATAGCAGTCACTATTATTCTGAATTTTCAAACTGAAGATACACTCAATACCTGAGTCCTATTCTTAATTCTGCTCTATATTTTCCTAGGAAACCTTCTAGACCTCTGAATTTTTAGGTCTTCCCCTTCTACACAGGTCTGAATCGTCAAGCAACTGCTAAGGAATGAAGCAGAAAAAAGTTTCTTACACTTTGAATGATCACCAATAATCCACTCCTTCGCTTACCTAGCCCAGACCAACTGTATGTTAAGAATATTTTAATTACAGGTTTAGTACAAGAGAGTTTGAGGTCTAACACTGCAAACTGTTCCCCTCTCTTCCAGGAGATTGGTCCATTTATAAATTTGACTCAAAGATTCTGACTCTGTACAAATTATTTCTTCTGTGGAAGCTTGGTCACTACTCTCTCCCTTCACTTGAGTTACTTTATATATATATATATATATATGTATGTATGTATATACACACCAAAATTCAAATCTCCAGTTATCTTCATTTGTTTCATTTTAGTGAATTTAAAATGATGTCTCTGTCAGTCTGGCATAAAGTGAAAAAAGCTTTTATGTTGTCTGCCTCCTGAGTTTTCCTTCTATCCTGAAATTACCTTCAAGAAAGCTACTCAAAGTTATTGGGATTTCCATTTCAGTGCTTACTGAGTAACTTGTTCCAGCAAGGACACTTGTATGAAAGGGATAGGCACCAATATGAGGACAGAAGTGGACTTGACCAAGGGAAAAAGAGGCAGAGGAAAGAATGAAAATGCAGCTCAAGAGTGTTTCTAAAAGCCCATTTCTTGAGGTATTACACATTACCTTTTCCACATTTCATGAGCAAAAGGTCTTTATTAGTTTATCACCTGATGGTGAAGTATCTTGTTCCAGGACCACCAACATTAGAAGTCATGCTGGGAAACAGCAGCAGTTAGATGATGGGTTTGCTGTTGTTGTTATGATTAATGGGCTAAAGCATCAATTCAGAATACAAGCATATGCTGAGTTATGTATTTACTACTTCTTCAGCAGCAACAGTAGTACCTTTTTCAAAAGTAGAACAGCAAAAAGCTACGAGCCCAGATGTTGTAGGGGTAACTTATGATACAGCTCTCTTTAAAAGTCTCCATTGTTTAAGATCCAATCCAGTTGAGTGGTGATGACCAGTTGATTCTGAGTTTTCTTTTCAAATCATGTATTGCCATTAACATTTTATACTGTTTCAAGGGTCACATATTCATGTTCTCCCCCAGTTCAAGGCAGTGTGCATTATGTAGCCAAGGGTTATGTAACTACAGTTTCTGGAAATGGTAAACAGCTAAGACTAACCCTAAAAATAAATTCCTCTGGGATTTTTTGTGCAAAAATCCATCTGCCCTCACTGCAGGTTCATCATTATAAAAATCAGTTTGAATCAAGCCAAGAGACAGAGAAGTTGTTAGACTACCTCCTTTCTGTATTCTTCCTCTAAGCAGCTATGTATAACGCTCTCTACCTGAAAGGGGTTGGGGAGGGACACACACACACACTTTATTCTAGGAGCCCTTCCTAATCCTCACTACAAAATGGAAAGAGAAGTCTGGGAAAGGAGAGTTCATGTCTATCAGAGTTTGGTAAAGGAGTCATAAGAGCTTTCTACATGTGCTTCTTATAGCTAGTTCCCACTCCTTCAATGATCACAAGTCATCTTCAGGCCTCAATCCTTTGTTATTTCTACCATAGGCTGAGCAGATGTAGATATTCCTTCTTTTAGTTTTGAATAAACATGGTGGACTTAACCTGGCCTCCAGGTTTATAGGACTGTTTTTTCCTTTGAACATTTCTGTATTTTTTGAATCCAGAGACAACTGAACTAGGGCAGGAAATAGCATGAAAAATACTTAAAAGTGATAAAAATTAATTTGGTCCTGGATGGAAGTTCAAATCTGCTACTCTTCACTGTATTGTTAGGGAAACGTCTGGAGTCTATCACTGGCTAACATTTTCTATTGTAGTTCTTATATTTTCATCTCATTACATAGAGATGAAAATGTGAAGTAAATTTAATATTAGAAACAAATATGAACTTTAACTAAGCCACATACAAGGAAAGATTATAGAAATGTCACTTATCAAACAGCACCAAGGGGCACTTCTGCGTAAACCAGATAATTGCTAAGGCGTACCTCCTTCTACTTTTCAATTAGGGGACTATCATACTCTCCTCATCTCAATCAAGGTCAGAGATCATGTATAAGCTCCCAACTTTCAACCACTCTCACTTCTATGGAAGAGTTTATATAAAATAGATCAGGAAAAGAATTCATTTTGGCTGGTCAAGGCTTCTTCTTCCCAGTCACAGATAAAAAAATCCACAAACAGAAGCTTATAGCTAAAAGTCCATGACCACCTCAAATACATACTTATCTTGACATGATTCAGTATTTTTACTTTGAGAATTCACCCATGTGGAGAACATCAGTATGAAAGCAGTCACTAGTTAAAATTTCCAACTGCACTTTTCACTGTTAACTACAAATTTTGAGCGGGGGGGGGGGGGGGGGGTGCTTCTCTTGTGGCTCAGCTGATAAATAATCTGCCTGCAATGTGCGAGACCTGGGTTTGATCCCTGGGTTGGGAAGATCTCTTGGAGAAGGAAAAGGCTACCTACTCCAGTATTCCGGCCTGGAGAATTCAGGGTTGCAGAGTCAGACACAACTGAGCGACTGAACGGAACAAAATTTTTTTAATTTGTTTGAATTCCTCTCTTGGTAAGTTTTCTGTGGAAAAGGAACATTAACTGGTTAGTGGGCTTAGCTCAAAGCTCTGGAATAAGAACCCATCCAAGGCTTCTCCAATCCACTTGGAAGAAGTGAGGAAGCAAAATTTAAATCATTGAGTATTGACTTTTTATTATTAGTCACTGTCCATAATTTGTTTCAACCAAAAGACAATACACACAGCAGAATCCTAATGCATCCCATGTAAATGTTTACACCCATTTTATTCCTCACTCGCCTCGAAGACTTATCATTTAATTTTAAATTTTTTTTTACATCTCAAAAATATGTCTGCAATAATTAGAACTTCATTAGCCATCCCACTTGGAAACAGCCTTTTAATATTTTTACAGTAAAGAAGATGTGATGGGGCTTAATGAAAATGTAACTTACAACATTATGAAAGAAAAGGGACTATACAGGGACACACTGGGAGTTCACAGAGGAAAGAGTTCAGAAGCTCTTTCCCATGAGGCCCCCAAAGAGAAAAAAAAACAAAAATACACAAAGCGCAACAGCAGGTTCCAAAAACAAAACAACAACGAAAAAACCTCCAATGCTCCATCTGGAAGCCAGAATCAGCCTCCTGGAAGTTTGTGAAACAACTCTGCAAGCTGCTTCAGCCTTTTCTTCTGTTTCAATGTTTCAGGTCCTGGAACCCTGTAGATGGGACCCACTCTCTGCTATTGCTTGAAAAAAGTTATTCACTTCCAGTTCTACAAGCAGCCCCACCCTCCTGAGCGAGAGACAGTCAAAGTGTTTTCAACTTCAGGACTTTCTGAGCTAGTCTCTTTAGTGATCTTCCCCGTTCCCAAACCCAAGAGCACAGACATGTACCACCTCTCCACCAACCACAGAGTACATGAATATCCACTTTTTGCTCTCTAGCTCCCTCTCTGTTTAGGACAGTGGGGATAAGATACATTCACTAGAAAAAAAATTTACTCATTCAGACTTTCCTTCCCTTAGTTCTCATAGCCCGGTATTTTCCAATGCAGAAGATAATGAAGTTGAGCCTCAAAAACAGTGTCCCCTCATTTCCAACCTCTTACAAGAACATAAACACGGAAAGCATGTTATATGATAGAAGGAAACACTCAAACCATTAGTGCCGACAGTCTTCTTTTATCAGTGGGACAGACAAGGGGTACGAGCAACTCTTTAACCTAGCAAGAGGGGAGAATCCTCTCCCAAATGTTATGCTGAGGAATGTTTCTTTAAATGAGAAAGACCTTAAAATGAACAGATGATCACTATACACAGCATGAAGCATTCCATGGCTGTCCAAATCACCTCAAGGTAGAGCACCGGAGCACTGGGGAAGTTTCTTGGGTAGAGCACCCTTCCTACCATTTTTTGAGATTACTTAGACGAATTATCCTTTAGGATTCCTGTGAGGGCAGGGAGGACGTAGAGAATAAAAACTACTCTGGAAGAGGAAGAAAAAATGAGGTAAAAGTGCTTGTGAAATTATCCAAGTAAGTGCATGTAGGCTCAACGGCTTATCACCCTAGAGTTATTAGAACAGCCATGGAAATCACTCTTTCCTCACAATGGCTCTGAAGTTGTAAATCTATCCAAATTTGCTCCCCCTTGGATGGTTTTACTAGGGAAAGAAAGAACTAAAATGTGCAAGTATTGATAGAAAGTAAAAGATCTCTCCTTTAGCAATGAGGCCAAGTGAGAGGAGAACGAATTCTGATCCTAGAAACTAAGGCACGCTGAAGCTTTCCAAGATCCTATCATTTGAAACAGTCTTCCCAACCATCCGTGTCCTAGGCAAGTCATCTGGCTGCTAGTCCTTCAATATGGTGCTTAGGTTCACTCTCTGGAATCATTTCACATTCTACACAGCACCCTTTGTGTTAAGGCCGATTTTTACTCTGTCTGGACAAACCCATGGATGATCAAATAACTCTACCTCAAAACTACATTCACCCAAGGAGACTTTGTTCTGAGAGTAGCCCCTTTTCCAGCCCCATCAGATAGCGCTGTCTTATAGCATGATCTTCAGCAGATTTCTGAGATTCAGTTTGGTTCAACTAAAGAAACTTGAGCTGGTTAACTATAGATGTGAGAGAGAAAAATAAAGCCTCAACCACAAAAAGGAATGTTAGACAAATTCTATTCAAGAAATCCACCCAATATTATGTTAATCCTATCACATTTCACAGCGTTAAATACCCATCCAATGAAATCTGTCTGCAAAGAAACCTTTAAAGGTTACTTTTCATCATACAGGCAGAGCAGTTGTCTGAAACGTACACTAGTCCATAGTTACTTTACTGAAAACCATGCACAAGATAATATTCTCTTCTTGAGTCAGTCAGCCATTTACCCAGTAGAGTAAGTTTCAGCAAATCTTGCTCTTATATACTAAAATAAGACCAGAAAGTTCCCCTATTGGAGCCTTTAGTTCAACTCCTGCTTGTCAAATGTTAGGAATAGTCTAGCCTCTGATACAGAGCTAGATTTGACAAGACACTGAAGATTTTCAGTAAAGGCTTGGTGAAGCGGAAAGGAAACAATGGATATCTGTACCCAGTTCTAGAATCAAAGCCAAAGTAGTCCTCATACTGTGCTCAATGCAGTAACATTTGGAAATGTTTTACGAGCAAGGTGGGCCTGACCTTTCCTTTCCTTCAGCACATCAGAAACAGTGCCTGTGCACCTCAAGGTACATGGCGCATCCAACGTGAGCCACAGCAGAGCCACCTTCCCTCAGGTCAGCAACTCAGTGCTGAGACCGGATGCCACGAGGTCCTTTCTAAAAGCACTAGGCATTCTCACTAGCTCAAGAAGCTCCAGATCACAAGTCTTTGATGTAGATATTCACGAGACTGGCCTCTCAAGAGCAAGACCAACTTCTCAGACTCAGGAAACAATATTCCTACCCTACAGTGTCCCTGAGACTTCCTCTGACAGAGGGGACAAGGAAGCTTCAAGGCTTCGTTCCAACACCATAAAGTACAATATAGGAAAGATTTCTTTAACCGTGTGGTCTTTATTTCAGTGCCAGTGTTACAGATACAACACAAATGTTCCAGTTAGAAGAAGGAATTCAAACGGAATGCCAAGGTCCAAGCCAGGCTCAGGAAATAAAAAGGGAGGTTTGGAGTAATGGAGACGATGACTCCAATACGCTCGAGCGTGAGTCAGATACTCACTCTTCATATGGGCAAAGGTGCTTTTGTTGAGGAGTCTGTACTTTAGAAGTGGCAAACTCCTCTTTCCACCCATTTACCATAGTTCATCAGGCAAGTTATGGGTTTAGGAGAAACTTTAAAATTTGTGGCGGAAACAGGGGCATTAATAACTATTAATATATCTTTTAGAAGTTGTCCACTTTGCACTTTAAGGGGAATCAGTTTCGAAAATCATGGAGAGAACTCATGACTACAGCTAAAAGAATGGAGAGAAAGGGGAGCTGGAAGAGCCTTGGAAGTTTCTATTACAAATAGAGCACCATAACCTTCATGCCAAATCTCAACACAAGCTCTTCTTAACTGCATCTGTCCAGTGTTTACAAATAACCTCTCAAGGTCTGACCAGTCCTTGGTGACAAACATACATATACATGTGTGTGTCTGTGTGTATATACAGCAATGCACAGAAAAGGCTACCAGGAGCCTAATGCCTCTTTCAAACATCGGGGGAACCGGTAGAAAAAGGCATGGCTCCCTCATGTCCACTGTTACATTTCCATTCTGAATGCCAGATGTAAGAAGCGCCTGAAGATGGTAACCCTGCTAGTGAGGAGTTAAGTACCCCACCTTGCCCAGTCCATAGAGAAACATGGCAGAAAGAAGGGGCAACTCTTTGCTGCAGAGACAGAGTGTTTTCTTGTCATGGATTCCAGTCCTCTCCTCCAGACCAGCTGCTTATTTCCTCGGGGGCCCAGGGAATGTTGATTCTGGCTGTAAATGTAGGAGGGGTGGAGAAGTGCGGAAACTGGAGGAGAGGAGGAAGAGTGCAAAGTAGTCTCCAGAAGCAGCCGGCCTCAACAGTGGAGGAGAGGAGATTAGTCTTTAACAATGCTTCAAGGTCAGCAATAACTTTAGGAAAAATCCTCCTCAACAGTTCTCTTCAGTTCCTCATGCCCATGGTACAGTTGGGGGGGACTTGCCAGCAATCACAACCTCCTTCCCAGAGTTCCTTTGATTGAGTGGGATAAGAATGAGAATGGTGCTGGACCTTCATTGCCAGGACTGAGGGGGAAAGTTGTTCACCTCTGCTAGATCTTGCATTGCTGAGCCCTTGTGATTATATGTGAGCTTGATCCGCATTCGCAGCTGTTGCTGAAGAGAGGAAAAGAGAAAAAAAAAAATCACACACTGAAATAAAATCTCCAGAATCTGCAGTCTACAAATAAGACTTTTTCTTTTGTTTTGGCCACACTGGGTGGCATGTGGGATGTTAGTTCCCTGACTAGGAATCAAACCCGCATTCTTTGCAGTAGAAGCATGGAGTCTTAACCACTGGACCACCAGGGAAGTCCTACAGACTTCTGATCACAGAAAACACAAATTATTCTGAAGCACAATTGTCTCTCAAAAATGACACACAGGCAAACAACAACAACAACAACAACAACAAACACCTAGTACTGCAGCTACTGGCCAACGTCATGCAGTCAAGTAGAGAAAACGATCTCCAGAATGCAGTGTTGGCTTCGACCCTAGAATCACATTAACGGGACAAACCACTTGGGAGCATTTTCACAGTAACATCTGCTGAGAACTTTTCACAAGGATTCAACCCTTGTATCCAATTTTCTAGAAAAATGAGGTAAACATACTCATCTATTATACTCTACATTCAGATATACTGGATGTTTTGTCTGTAAAACTGACAGTAAATGTGAATATCAACTTGTTTTGTTCTCAAGGCATAAAAGAAAAAAAAAGTTAACCTATGATAACAGGCATATTTTAAGAGAATTCAGTTATACGTGCTGTTTGCTTTATAAGGCAGACTTCAAACATTAATACACTAAGAAAACTTTTACTCTTTGTATCAGATCATCACAAGAATTTGTACTTATGCCTTGGGCAGACAATCAAAATACAGTGGACAGCAGAGGCGAACCAAGGTGTTTTAAGAGGAGGAAATCATACTGGTATTTATGAGACACTACTAGAGATCTCTCAGAAGTCTCTAGAAATCCTCGGAACCATTTTCAAAAACTGCTGAGAACGGGTCAACTGATCAGTAAGTGGAGCCGATATACTTCTCTGAGAAGATGTAATAAAATATTGCTTAGTTTCAGGTGTTTGACGTTGTTTTTCATTTGGCTGCCTCATTAAAAATGTCTCTGCTTCTGCTGTGCATACTTGATTATTATCAGAGTAAATGTGAGTATCTGGTTCAACCAATGCTCTCAACTCCAGACAACTACTAGTATAAAGACTAAAATGTGTAAGCTTTCCACCCTCACCATGCAAAAAACTAGACCTTTAAGCCTCTCAATAGAGAAACATTTAAATGTGTATTTTAATAAGATGCCATTAAACCATTTCATGTGTCCAGGCTTCACTTTTTGTCTACAAAAGAACAAGGAGGTTAAGACCAGACATTTTAATAGATATCTTTTCTGCTATGAGTGGAAAAAAAAAACAACTTAAGAGAAACAAAGTAAATTTTATTTTAGGGAAACGCTTATGTCTTGCTCGGATACTCTTTGAATGTGGTACTCACCTTCTGTGGGTTCAGAACTTTAATGACCTGTGTGATGGTCCCCGTGTTAAATGCTGGGACGATGCTGCTGCTAGGAGACAGAAGCTGCAGCTGGAATGTCTGGGAGTAGGGTCGGGGGGAGACAAAGGGCACTCTTCAGAAAATACACTTAATACTATGTCAGCGATGTTAACAAGTCTAGTCAGACATCCAGATGATGCTTCAATTAACCGATATACCTACTACTAAATTCTACTTGTTTTCCAGATAATCAGCAATTCCCAGCATGTGGACTATCACTTCATGATATTTATAAAACGCTATTGTTTCTAGCAACGAGCTACCTTCTCCTTTCTGGTAGAAGCAACTTTAGCCAAGCACTTTTCAAAAGGTAAACAAATCTTGTTCTAGTAGCCTCACTGAATAGTAACTGATCAACTATGTAGGTGAAAAAACAAACAAAAAACCCGGGTGCCTGTGGCTAAAAAAAAACTAGAAAGAAATGAAAAGGATTCTAAAAATAGTAAACCAGCACACTAGTCACCAAAAACAAGCCTTCATGCTTTTGTGTATTTGGACGGTTGAGGTCAGGGACTTGAACTTTGTTCTCTAAAGCCTAATAATCTGGAATGTGTCAGGGGTCACTCCTACATGACGGAGGTGCAGGGGAGGCTGAAAAGAGCCAGCTTGTTCACACGGATGTGAAACACCTTAGGGTCTCCACACTGAAACACCACAAATCCTAGCAGAAAAATTACGTGCAGAACTAGCCTGTACAGTGAAAGACCTGAAAAAGCAAACACCATAATTTGTTGAGTAGTGGTAGATTTGTTTGTGTGTTTACAGGGAAGAGAGATAAAAGTGCTATGAGCAAGATAGGTAAGTCATAGTTAGCCCAGTAAAGTATATATGGTGATATATATATTTATGCCGCTAGTTTATAGACTAGGATTTTTTTTTTAATTTCCTAAAGTTTAGTCTCCTAAAATATTGCAAAGGAGAATGAGAGAGAGAGAAAGAGAGAGAAGAGGGGGAGAGAAAGAAGGGAATGGAGGGAGAGAAAAGTGAGAAGGGCAAAGGGGAAAGAAAGGGTGGGAGGGAGGAAAGAAAGAAGGGAGGAAGGTCCATGGTATACCTACACTGGGACTTATAAGTCTACTGTCAAGAATTACATAAACTGCCATTTGTTTGTTTACATTTAATTGATTAATATTAGATGCCATCAACTATAATCCACACCATTATTTTATACACCACTGAGAGAAAGGCTGCGAATGAAACTATGACAAGAGCATCATTCAAAATATACCCCATACTGATGAAAACTATCTGCAGGGCAGGGATGGCGATACCAATGTAGAGAACAAATCTGTGGACCCAGGGAGGCAAGAAGAGGGCGGGAAGCATTGAGAGAGCAGTACTGACATATATACACTACCATATATAAAGCAGACAGCTAGCGGCAAGCTGCTGAAGAGCACAGGGAGTTTCGCTTGGTGCTCTGTGATGACCTAGATGGGTGGAGTGAGGGGAGGGTGAGAGGGAAGCTCAAGACAGAGGGGATATATGCATACTTATAGCCAATTCACGTCCTTATACAGCAGAAACTAACGCAACACTGTAAAGCAATTATACTCCAATTAAAAAATTAAAAAAAAAAATAAAATGTACCTCAATCTCAGAAGTAACAAAAAGCAAAATCAGTATTAGTAGAATCTATGAAATACAATGTTTTGAAGTTCCACATACATCACAATATGCAAATAGGCATTGTATAGTACAGCACCAAGAATAAGGCCATGCTTTAAAGCAGAGGGGGTATGCGTTAAAGCGGCAGCCTAAAGTAATAATAAGTATAAAACCCTAATTTGTAGAAGCTAACAAACACATGAAAAGAGCTTAAGACAAGACAGTACCTGGCACATAAAACTCATTTATTCCTCAAAGTAACCCTATGAAGTAGATATCATGATGACCAGGCCCCCTTTGCAAATAAAGAAACTGAGGCATAATGATGAAGTATGCTGCTTAATGTCATACAATTAGTATTGAAACCACTAACTCTACTGCTTCTAAAACATCTACATTTTTCTAACTCCTAAAAATGGAAGTAAAGACAGATGCAAAGGCAGCAGTAACCACAAATAAAAGGTCTTCAATTTCCAAAACTGTGTTGTCTGAATGTCATACCTCACAAGTGACTGAAAAGATTCATTTAGGCTAATCTATCCCAGGGGTTAGTAAAATATGGTCCATGGGCCAAGAATGAACCCAAACCTGTTTTTGCAAGTGTTTCACTGGAACAGAGCCATGCGCCTTTATGTATCATCGCAGTACTGGCACTTCGACAGCATATAGCCTAAAATACTTACTATCTCATCGTTTACAGATAAATCTTGCCCACTCTTCATTCTGAATTCTCCTTTTTCAAAACTTTTCATAATTCAACAATGAACATAAACACTCCTTAAACTAAGAACTGGTATAAACAAAACTTCAATTTACAGAAGCAAGCAGTCATTGCATCAATAGTTAGCTAGATGTTAATGAAGGAGGAATGTTTCTCTCACACTATCAAGAGACAAAAGCTTTAAATTCTGATCCAGTGACTAGAAGAGAATACCAAATACATGAAGTCTCTCATCTTGATTGAACTTTAATTCCATGTTAGAATTTCTGTTTCTTAGGTCTTCACCACTGTATTACTGAAACCCAATCTATCCTCAATACCCTGAGCATTAATGAACCACCTTGTAGAATTCTACTCTCTAACTACTTTTAGACTGTACTTCCTTTATCCTATAATACTAATTGTAAGAATATTTATGACTAAGCAGAAGTATTCATTAAAAATGACATGCTCCAATGGATCATAACAGTTACATTACTGTTAGTTTGAGTTGAATCTGCAAATTTAATCTCTAGGCACTAAAATATATCCCTTACCAAAAGCATAAAAAAATAACCAACAATTTTTAATTCAAGGATAAAGGCCAAGAAGACCATTATAGTACCTTTGGTACTGCAGCCTGGAAAACAAAGTCCGTCATGTCCAGCTCTGTGCTGTTGGAGGCCTGTATCGTGATCACGGTGACACTGGGGTTGGTGTTGGACCGTTCAAAGGTGAACTCAATCTTCAAGCCGTTCTTGCTGTACGCTGTGATGGAGGGGATGCCTGGGAGAGCACAGGAACGTCAGTCGAGCTGCAGTCAGCCTAAGGCTTGCCAAATCACTACCTCCTTTCTTCAACAACTACTTCTCATAGGTCTAATGATGATAACACCAGTAACGGTACCTGTAGCAATGTCATTGAAGAGAGGCTGTGATGAAAGCCCATCCAACAAGAAGGGGGGCTGGGATATCTGTGGGACTGAGGCAGGGGCAGGAGCAGCAGCTGGAGCACCTAAATGACACATCCCACAGTTAAGTCAATCTTAGCTGACAAATCCCACCAAGAGAACACATAAGAAAATTACCACGATCTCAAATTAAGGGGAGGAGGCTTTAAACAATTTGCAATAAGCACGAACCATAAAAATAAAGAATTAAAAATTTCAAATACTTTAAAATGAGTAACTTCTGTTCACTAAAAAATATCATCAAAAAATGGACCAAAGGCAGAAGAAAGTGTATGCTACAAAATAACAAATGGATGAGTATCTAAAACTATAAATACCTTCTACAAGTCAATAAAGATAACCCAATTTAAAAGTGGTAAGAGAAATGTACAAGCAAAGAAAAAAAAGAGAAATGTACAAGCAATTCACAGAAGAAATATGAATGAAAAGGGAATATTACAAAAAGAGATGCTCAAATTTATGAGTAATGAGGAAAGGGAATTTACAACCACAATGAGGTGCTACTTCACATCCCCCCAGCGTGGTAAATATTTCAGTGTCTGATAACACCAGATACTGGTAAGACTATGGAGCAATGGGGAATTCTAATCTCTGCCATAGGGTTGTAAACTGGAGAACAATTTGGCAGCAGCAGAGTTGAATACAGGCTTTCCTGGTGGATCAGCAGTAAAAAATCCTCCTGCAACGCAGGTGATGTGGGTTGGATCCCTGAGTCAGGAAGATGCTCTGGAGAAGGAAATGGCAATTCACTCCAGTCTTCTTGCCTGAGAAATACTATGGACAGAGGAGCTACAGTCCATGGGGTCGCCAAAGAGTCAGACACAACTTGGCAACTAAACAACAACAGAGTTAAATACAAGTATACCCTTAAACTAAAGGTATCAACTGCAAAACTAACAAAATTTCAGGCTGGATAAGACTTTGCTGTGAGGGGCTATCTTGTGCACTGTAGGATTCAGCACTACTGGCATCCTCTCAGTTCTGACAACCGAAAGTATCTTCAGATACTACCAATCCCTGGTGGGCAAAATCTCCCCCAGTTGAGATCCACTGCCTTTCTTAGGAATGCTTTGATTCTTGCATATTTACACAGGGAGACATATACAGGAAGTGTGCAGGGCAAGATAATTTCTAACAATGAAACTCTAGAAACAATCAAAATGTTCACCATCAAAATAATGGGTAAGTAAATTGTGGTAGACTGACAAAAGAAGATACTATTCATTGTCTGTTGTTGTTTTTTAGTCATTAAGTCACGTCTTTGCAAAGAATCAAGTCTTTGCAACCCCATGAACTGTAGCCCACCAGGCTCCTCTGTCCATGGGATTTCCCAGGCAAGAATACCGGAGTGGGTTGCCATTTCCTTCTCCAATGCATGAAAGTGAAAAGTGACAGTGAAGTCGCTCAGTCATGTCCGACTCTTAGCGACCTCGTGGACTGCAGCCTACCAGGCTTCTCCGTCCATGGGATTTTCCAGGCACAAGTACTGGAGTGGGGTGCCATTGCCTTCTCCGTTTCAACTGTTAGGGTATTCTTAAAAATATGTAATATTTATGACTATACAGTGAAATTCATAGACATTGAGGAAAAGGTTAGTAACATTTACCAAGTGCCTACTATGTGTCATGCATGCACTACGTCACTATTCCTCACAAATACTCTATGATGATAAAAATCATTCTTATTTTAAACAGATTCAGAAAGAGTAAGCCTAACTTAACTGAGCCCAAGAATGTAAACCCAAAATAAATTTGGGCAAATATATGTAATAACAATATTTACTGAGGCATCAGTTATGATAAGAAAAATCTGGAAACAAGCAAAATGCCCAATAGTAAGGAACTGAATAAATAATAGTTAAACTTATCAAAATATTAGACAACCATTCAAAATTATAATAATTGTGAAGATTATACACTAACATGAAAATGCTAATATGTTAATAAGTAAAGCATATAATCTATACACTGTGCTTTGGTTTTTTGTTTGTTTGGCCTCGCTACACAGCCTGTGAGATCCTAGTTCCCTGACGAGGGATTGAACCCGGGCAGTGAAAGCACAAGAGTCCTAACCACGGGGCTGCCAGGAAGGTCCCCATACACTGTTTTAAACATGGGGCTGTGTTTGCTTTTCCATATATCCAGGACAGCTTTGGTATCCCAGAATTTGAAACTGACTGTGAATGGCCCTAAGCACATGACAAGCAATATTTTGAAATTTTGTTAAGACATAAATATAAACCATAAGTTCTGGGAGGCAGTTATGTTAGGAAAAAACTGTTAAGCCTGTGATAGCCAGTTTAGATAAGCACCCTACATCCTTAACCTATAGCCGTTTTCCATTCAAGGTCATGTATACTGTAACTCTCCATCCATTTCACTTTTAGAGAAGTCACTTAAGACAGAAACTATATGCTATAGTGATATCCTTGGATTCTCCTAATCTCCTATGTTTACAGTATCTCTGAATACACCAATTATAAATGTCTACTACATGCAAATAAAGATAAAATATCCCCAAATGAAAAGCTATGCTTAAATATTATAATCCTGGATAATTTTATCCTTCCATTGCTTTAACACAAAGGAGAAAGAAAGGGGGAGAGGGAAGGAGGAAAACAGGTTAAGATCTTTCCACTCTCCACAAATGGCCACGGCTCTTGGAAACTAACCATGAGTACAAAGAATCCTAAGAAAAATTAATGTATTTCTTGGGATATGCTTCTTTTCTAGCCTGAGACTGTCCTTTCTGTCTTAAAACACTGTGAGTAATTTACTCTCCAAAAATTAAAAATTAGACTTTGAGGAATCTCTGTGAATTACCTGTATAGTATTAGTATGGCAACATAGCCCAGATGTTGTGAAGATTCTTGCTTTTTTTCACTTACCCTCTCCCATCTTCAACTGTCTCATGTGCTAGACAGAAAGTCTACATTCAATGTAGTTTTTCCCTAAGGCCCTTATCCCTGGAAAAGCGAGAAATTAACTCTAGTCTGGCCTCACCTGTAAGGTTGATGTCTCCCAGCAAATCAAGAAGCTCTCCACCAGCAGAAGCTGGTTTGCTTGTAGGTGCAGTTGGAATAACAGGTGTTATGTCATTTCCTCCCAACAAATCCAATAAATCATTGGCCTAAACAAGGAAATAATATCTTATTCATTGTCACTGTCTAATCTGTCATCTAACACAAAGCCCTTTCAATACTTAAAAATACGGAACAGAATTATCAATCAACCCAGGAAGACTGAAGGGAATCACCTAAGAGATAGGATCTAAGCAACCAAAAGATCATGAGGATAAGCAAGGGAAAAGCTACCTGGCTGGTGGGCTGTGGCCCAGAGGGCGGTGGCTTTGTCTCTAGAGGAGTTGGGTCTGTCTCTCCGTTTGTCTGTACAATCTCAGTAGGGCCATTTGTGGTCACTTTCTCCATGACAGGCATTCTCTCAAGCAGGGCAGACCTGGAAGAATCTGAAGTGGTTAAATTCTAGGCAGTTAACCTAGATTCCCTACCCAAAACAATCACTGTTAACTATACTCCAGCCAAATGTGGAGAGACATCTCCCCTCCTCACATCCCAACACATATACTAAAATAGAAGCTGGATTACAAGAATACATGACCTACATTCCTGATTGGATTAAGGGCAGGCAGGAAACCCTGAATGGACAAACTGTCCATCCAAATCCCGAGAGCCTGAGAATTCTCAGTGACAGAGAAAATGGAATGAAAGAAAGGTAAACAAGTACATATTAGCAGTTTCCAATCAAGAAGATACTGCACAACAGAAAGGGGAAAAAAGATATACACAATGGTAATAGTAATGATATCTCAATGAGATTCTCCTGAGATAAAAAAACTCTCACTTCTTCACCAAATAAAATGGAAATGAATAAAACTTTCCTTACCAAGAGGAAGGGGAAAAGGGGACTAAAAGAACACAGTTCGCTTATTTCTTTAGAGGCTAGGCAGAACAGAAAACGAACAAAACACAATTAGCCAAGCAGTGAGAACTGAACAGGGTTGTGAAGTCCCACCAATAAAGCATGAGTGATGAAACTCCTTTACACGTTACCATGACAAAGTGTTCGGGAGGCTGAGAGGCACATGTACTGTTTCGTTTCTTTTACTTACCTCATATGGTCATATTTCTTAAAAAGTGCATTATATTCTACTGCCCTCTGCTGGAGTTCCACATCAATGCTGCTTCCATAGATGGAAACCACTTTCTTAATTCGGCTTTGGGATAAAATGACAAACAAATTCAAACATACAAAAGAAAATACATAAACAAGCAGAAAGAGTGTTTAAAACAGAGGTTTCTGGTTAAAATTTTGAAGTGTTCATCTTTTCTTAACGTACATAACTTTTCAAAAACAAAAGACCTTTCCTTTACAGTCATCTAACGGATCGCTCAAGACAATCAGAATTTATTCGAGTTCTAATGCTAGATTTTGTCTGTTGAATATCTCATACCCTAAAATTTGATAAACAAAAGTACCAATTGTTAATTTGCTACAAAACAATAAATTTATAGTGTTCATTCCCTTCTTTAATAACTTTACAGTAATAAGCTTTTATCAACAAAAGGGTCATAGCATCAGACTTTTATAAGCAAAGTGTCATTGCCTAACACCAAATTCTTATACTTCACAATTTAAACGGTAAAAATTATCATTCTTCATGAGGCTTTACACTAAAAACAAAAGCAGAAGGTCTGAGAGAACCAAGTTTGTATTAAACATGCTTGGCTGGGAGACTGACCCAAGAACTGAGTTTCATTCAAAACCGTGCTTTTAAAGAAAAAGCAAAGTTTAAAGATTTAAACACCAAAATTATTTTCTTCCAATTCAGATATCTCAAGATTATAATAAACCAGAACCCTTACATGGGAAAATAACTTCAGTACTTTAAAAAAGAAAACAGGCATCAGATACCTGATTTTAAAAACATTAGTTTTTACCTTCAAATTAAGCAGTGGTGGGATGAAGGGATGACAGGGAGCAAAGTATAGATATAATAAGGATTAACCATAAAGTGATGACTGTTATTGAGGAATAACAGGTATAGGCAGTTGATTTTACTATTCTACTTTTGCCTTTGCTTGAAATTTCCCAAAATAAAAGTTTTTAAAATGACAAAACATGTTCACCCTACTTTTTCTCCATACTCACTTTACAGTACAGGTGAATCGAGTAGAAAGCTTCATAATGGCAGTGAGGGCATAACCTCGTGTCACAGAGGTGGACATATTAGATATTAGGACACTTTCTAAAATATCCAACACTTCATCCTCTGTTACCTGGGGAGAAAAAATGGAAACATGACACTCTCACTTTTTAGCCAGAAGGCAAGAGAAACAATGTAAGTCAATATGATGGGGTGGGGAGAGGGTCCTAAAGGTGGTTTTCAAATCTCACAATGGCCCAGTAGGTTCCAACTGAAAAATGAACAAGTTTTCCAATGAATCTATAATTCTGCCATTGCTTCTTTAAAAGGTTTTCAAGGAACTGACTTCAACTCATTAAACACTACTCTTAAAACCAAAAACACTGTCTTCCCTTTTCTTAACAAAAGAGTGACAAAGGGTACCTGAATAGGCTCTTCCTCTTCACATTGGCCAGATACAAGAAGATCTCCATATTCACCTATACACCATGCAGCGACTTGCACCAAAGGTTGCTGTCAAAAGAAAGTCACAGTTGGTCAAAGATTTTTATCCTTTAAAGGATTAATACAAATCATAGGTCATCCAACCATAAAGGTCACAACTGAAGCACCTCTAAGAGTGACAGTAATAAGAACATATCAGAAAAATAAAGGCAATTTCCTCCCTTAAAGTAAAAGTACTTACCTGAGAATAATCACCAAGAATTGCTTTGTACAAGCGCTGGACAGTATAGGCATGCATCTCCACACTATTGGTTATTAACTGGATCAAGTTGGGAACGGCATCATCACGAACATAACTTCCTGCCTAAAAGGAAATGCAGACAGTTACCCCAAGAAACACACAGTAATAAGAAAAGTCAGCTAGTGTTGTTGTTGCTCAGAGGAGACTACTACAAAACACCCTCCAAGATAAAGTGGTTTCCAATTCTCATGTTGAGAAGCAGCTCAAATTTCAAAGTCGTATTTAAATGAATATTCTAAGTTCTAAGGTTTCATAAAAAGATAAAATCTTCCCTTTGTCCAAAGTAAAATTAAAATATAAAGGTTTAGAACTTCAAGAATGGCCCTTTCTACTCAAAATAGATAGTCTACTAATGCAAAACTGTAAGAAATACATTTACTGGGAACTTAATTACAACAACTTCTTCCTTCCCACAACTGCTCAACACAGGTGTTAAAAGGATACAAGCTGGCTATGGTAGTCACACTACTCTGGGGGAAGGAGAAAGGGCTGTATATTAACAGTTCAAAAAGGCTTAATAAAGTAAGATAAAACTGAAATAAACAGTAACTTTCTAAAAATCAGAATTTCTTTAAAACATAACAGTCCTTCAAAAACTAGAGTTTATAAATACAGAACCAATATGTAGCCCCAGGAACGGGAAGTATTTTTTATTTCATTATCCACACCTCAAAACAAAAACAAAAACAAAAATGATCTCTTTATTGTCCTGTTGACAAATGGAATCTGAGATTTACCACCATGGAGACAAAGTAAAGCTATTTAACCTATGAGGAAACTAAATTTTGGCCTCACAAGAGCATTATGGTAACCAAGCTGCAGGGGATATACAAACTGTGGAAGCTGTGCCCACCCTGGTCAACCTCCCATTATTGGATAGAAGAGTGGATCTGATTTACAGGACCAAGACCTGGCCTACACACGTGTACTTTGAAGATGAAACAGAAAAAGACAAAGAAAAAAATCCCAGATGGGTAGGATACCCACTCCTGTTAAGAAACACAAAGATGGAGGGAGAAGTTTGGGGAAACTGGCAGAAAGGAAAGGTAAGACACTAAAAAGCAGGTAATCAGTGGTGTGACTTAGATATTTATATTCTTCCCTAATGGGAAAAAGCTGAATGTTTTTATGAGAAATCTCCAACACGATCTAATTGACATTTACAGACCATGTCATAAACAACAGCATATATATTCTTCTCAAGCTCACATGGAGCATTCATCAAGACAGATCACATTCTGGGCCATTAAGAATATCTTAAATTTAAAAGAACAGAAATCATACAAAATTAAACTAGAAATAAGCAATACAAAGATAGCTGAAAAGTCCCCAAATATTTGGAGATTAAACAACACACTGCTAAATAATACAAGAGTCAAATAAAACACCAGGAACAGAAAACTACAGACCAGTATCTCATGAACACAGGTGCAAATATCCTTAAAATTTCAGCAAATCAAATCTAATAATGTATTCAAGAAAACTATACACCACAACCAATCCCATAAATCTGGGATTTATTCCAGATATGGAAGGCTGATTCAACATTCAAAATTCAATTAATGCAAGCCAACTAAACTTCAATTAAATAAATAATTTTTTAAAATCAATTAATGTAACCTAGCACATCAACAGGCTAACTAAGAAAAGGCATATAATTGTATAATAAGAGAATATAAACTGACTGGAAAAATGAAAAGTTGGAGCATTTTCTTAAAGAAAGGTTTTGACTTCCCTGGTGGCCCACTCGTTAAGACCCTGCGAATCCACTGCAGAGAGCACGGGTTCGATCCCTGATCTGGGAACTAAGATCCGGCATGCTACACAGTTCAGCCAAAACAAAACTAAACAGAACTTCCCAATGATTTCCCATCATATTCAAAATAAAATCCTAACTCCTGTGAGGTCTATAGAACCTAGGCCCTGCCTGAAACCACTCTCTGCCACTCTCAGTCTACTGGCTGCACCAGCCTTCTTGATGCTCTCCAAACACGTTAAGCTTGTTACCTACCCTCGTGCTTTGCAATACGAACTGTTCCCTCTGGTTTGTACACTCTTCTCCCAAATCTTTGCACAGCTCACCACTTTACCAAGTTCTCTACTCAAAGGTTACCTCCTCTGAGTGACCTGTCCTGACTATTCTACCCAAGAACCTGGCCCACTGCCCCATACCCCATTCTCCTCTGTCATCACTATAGTTCCTCATGATGCTCTAGTATTTTTCACAGCATTCCCCCCTGCCTGACAGGAGCATCCCTCTTTCCCCATGAATTTCCCATCTCCCCCACTAGAACATAAGCTGCATGAGAATAAGAGCTTTGTCTGTCTCATTAACTGATACATCCAGCACTTAGTACACACTTACCTAAAAAAACTACTTACCGTTGTCAGAACACGCATAATCGTGTCTATATGCCACCGTTTGGAAGGCGCATACCTGAGAAAATAATGGCACAGGTGAAATAACTGAACCTGTAAATTAAGCTCTGCTCAGTGACTTTCACGAAGAAGGAAATGGCAACCCACTCCAGTGTTCTTGCCTGGAGAATCCCATGGACAGAGAGGTCTGCCTGGAGAATCCCATGGACAGAGAGGTCTGGTGGGCTACAGTCTATGAGATTGCATTGGACATGACTAAGCAACACACACACACACACACACACACACATTGGACATGACTAAGCAACACACACACACACACACACACACACACACACACACACACACACAGTGACTTTCAAAACTCCTGTCCTATAGTCTCGAGGTTCACAGGTTAAGGGGCTGTTGTCTGGACACATTTCACCTTCAAAACTACCAGCAATTAAACTAGCACCAATTCCCATTTCAATGGGTGATGAAACAGTACATGGTCAAATTCAGATGTAAATACTGCAATAGAAGTTGCTGAGTTGAGAACTGAGGACTCTCTCTCCAGGTTTTTTCTTAGAAAACAAATCATAAAGTCAGGACAGGAGAGGACAGAGAAGAAAGAAGAAAGAGCACTGTTCCCAGACCCAGGTAACACCAGGACTAGGAACTTGCCTCCCCTTAAATTCACAGTGAAAAGAGAAGAAATAACCACACTATCAAAATCCTGAGGACTTCATTCCATAAAGTTTTACACAGAACCATAATTCAAATGTTATAACTTTTCTATTCTCTTCATTAAAAGGGAATCATAGAAGAGAAGTTAAAGAACAGATACAAGAGGAGATTTTATAAAAGTAGGATTATTTTGGTCTTAGTATAATGCTTAACATAAATACTGACTAGAATGACTTTCTCAAACCCAATTTCTAATGGGAAATGTTACATGTTTAAACATGTTTACATTTCCTTCATGTTTTAAAGATGCTTTCCAAAAAGTTCCAAGCATTTTTTACCAATGAATGTAAAAATTAAATCTTACTTTTCTGCAGCAAGGAAGATTCCAGATGCACAGTCTGCTTTAAATTCTGGCTCACATGAATCCAGAAAATAAAGTAACTCCTTCATCATGCCTCGAATATTATTCCCATTTACCAGGGCAAAACTCAATTCCATTGCACGCCTTCCATGGAGGGAGGGAAAAAAAGTTATGATATTTACAGCGGGAATGAAACAAAGACCCAGGTATGTTGTCCCTGAACACCAAGCACCAGTGAATGTACTGATGTCTTTGCATGATCTTGTAATCCCAATCTTTGCACACGAGATAACCAAAGTTAACAAAATTATTTTGAACTTTCATCAATGCTTTTCTTCAAAAATTCCCAAAAGATACACACTGCTAAAGACAGTTTGGATTCAACAGTTTATTCTATGAAGCTGGTATTTAGAATACCTAAAAGGCTCAAAAAGAGAAGCAAAGAAATTAATACTCAAAGATACTATCTCTCTGCATCAACAGTTAAAAATGTGATACATTGTCACCAAACTCTTTTACTACATCCACTTCAACCCAAAGATGATGTAACATACATCGAAAGGTATACAGGTGATTAGAATAAAAACAAACCCTGCAGGCTAAGTGAAATAAGTTAGAGAAAGACAAATATTGTCTGATATCACTTATATGTAGAAGCTAAAAAAGCTGAATGCATAGAAATACAACTAGAATGGTGGTTACCAAGGTCTGTGGGGTGGGAAAAATAGGGAGATACTGGTCAAAGAGCATGAACTTCCACATGTAAGATAAAACAGGTTTTGGAGATTTAATGTACAGCATAATGGCTATTGTTATAATGATATATTAATAAACTTGAAAGATGCTTAGAGAGTAGATTTTAAATATTTTCACTACAAAAAAGAAATGGTACTTTTGTGATATGCTGCAGGAACTAACTAACGCTAGTGTGAAAATCATTTTGCAATAATGTGACAAAGCAATGTGATGCACATCTTAGACTCATATAATTATAATTATATACCAATAAAGCTGGGAAGAAAAACTAAAAAAGACATCAGAGCCATGAAAAGGAAAAAAACGATATGCGCTATGAAAGCAAACAGGAGTTTCTATAATAGCACCACCATGACTTGAGTTTTAGAAAACTCCGGGAGACAGTGAAGGACAGGGGAGCCCAGGGTGTTGCAGTCCATGAGCTTGCAAAGAGCTGAACATGACTGAGCGACTGAACAACAATAACAAATAGCTGCCTATCAAATTTGGCAACCAAGGTAAATATGGATATGCTAGTTACTACAAGCATCTTTTCATATCTGGTCAATAATGTCAAACCATGGCATATAATTTACTTCCAAAAATACCAATTTAATAAGATGAAAATACTTTCATCTTAATCTACAAGCAACAAAAACTCAATCCTTACAGAAATGCAATAATAGCTAATTCTCATACAGTGCTTAAGTGCTTCACATATGTTACTCCAGTTAATCCTGCATAACCTTTGGAAGTGGGTGCTCCTGTATCTACACTGTTATGTGGAGACAACTGAAGCACAGAAAGACTAAGTAACCAGACCAAGTTTATTAACGGCAGAGCTAGGATTTGAAATGAGGCCTTCTGGCTCCAGAGTCTCAGCCGCTAGGCTATATAACCTGTCAAAAGACCCAGGTTTTACTTTTGAAATGCAAAGCCCAGTCAAGAGCTATAGAGAAACGACACAATAGGAGTCAGAAAGTCTGATTTCTATTCTGAGGTCTGCCTTGTCAAGGAATAAGCTTTAGAGTTCAGTCATTTGATTCCTCTGGGACTGTACTGTAACCTGTACAGGAGAGAAGTAATTGCCTAGTCTCTCTTACTGGTTTGCTCTGAGAACCAACTGAGAGGGTGCTTATAAATCCTTCACAAAGCTTTATATAAAAGTCATTACTACTGAGACCAGGTCTTATTTTTAGTTTGCCCAAGCACTTAACACCTGTTCTCTGCAAATAAAAGGAACTCAATTATCAATAAATGTTTGTTAAGTGAACAGTTTCAGAGATCAGTTCAAATTAAATTTTTTCTAGTTTGAATAGTAAACCAAAAGTTCACTGAAGCCTACTATAACTAGGCTTTACAAACACGTACAGTTATTCTAAGAAGAGGACCAGTGGAGGTAATTGATCAAGGGAAAAAATATATGCCTTTCAAAGTCCTATGATGAGTAAAGTAAGTGAGACAGAAAAGGAGAAATATCATATGACATTCCTTATATGCAGAATCTAAAAAGAAATGATACAAATAAACTTATTTACAAAACAGAAACAGACTTAAGAGAATGAACTTATGGTTGCCAGCAGAGAAGAAAATGGGGGAAGAGATAGGTAGTTTGGGATCGACATGTACACACTGCTGTTATTTTATTTTTTTTACTGCTGTTATTTTAAAATGGTAACCAGCAAGGTCCTACTGTATGCCACATCAATGTTATGTGGCAGCCTGGATGGCAGAGAGGTTTAGGGGAGAATGGATACATGTATATATATGGCTCAGTCTCTTTGCTGCTCACCTGAAACTATCAGAACAGTGTTAATCAGCTATACTCCAATATAAAAGTTTTTGTTTTTTTTTTAAAGTCCTATGTGCTGCCTAGAAGTCATTCCCAGATGCACTGTTTTAACAGGCTGCCTCTAATATCTTGGGGCATAAGTACCGCAAGAAAATGTGTGCTGTCAGCCATTCGAGTCTCAGCATAGTGACAGAACACTCAGCTGATGGATCACTCCTTATCTTCATCCTCCAGCACACAGAACACAGTACCTCTGATGAGTAAACGTATGCCCATCCTACTTGCACCTGTTTTATTTAACAAAGAACCAAGGGTAACTTCAGGGTGCATTTAAGTATTCCTTACTGGTCTCTTTCATTGATCTAAACTTCTCCCTTCCAATTCTTTTTGAAAAAAGGATTTACTTGGTCAAAATAATGACTAAATACATAAATGTCAACATTCTCCCAGTCAAAATTCTATTACAAAGTTATCAAATGGAGGATGGTGGGGCACAGAACTTTCAATGATCTGTTACCGTTTTATGGAGACATCCAAATCTTTTAGACAGTCCACAATTGTGCTTCTGTGTCTCTGTACTGCATTATGATCTGTCTGCACAGTTTTCAATAAAGATGTCAAAGCTACATATCTGGATGAAACAAAGTTGCAGAAGAACAGAATTAAAATGGGAAATTCAGGGTAGTTCTCTGTTTAATGACAAAGATGATATTCAATGACTACTGAAAACTACATGGTTAAATAAAACACACAACAGACTTAGTAAAATGGAAACGCTGTAAAGCCATAAACAACACTATAATCAAAAGCTGTGGCATCCAGAAGCCTGGGATTTAGATTTGCATTCATGGTCAAGTCCATTTAAACTTCTAAAAGTGACTGACTCGATTCTTCCAAACTCCTTCAAACAGTACAACAAAATAAGCATACAGTATGCCTTTTCAGGCTGCCTGAGTCCCAAAACGCAAGAGGAAATTATTTCAAGTTTACCATTTGTATTTTCTCTGCTTTTGATACCAGTACCAAAACTGCCCCTACAAAACTTTGAATTTACCATGCAAGTATAAAAAATTCTTCAGGACGGAGATGATGATTCAGGGTACCATAATGATTATTTCCACATTTTTTTTTCAATCATAACATGGTAAGAAAGAATAAAAAAAAAACCGATAAATTCATTCATTTTGTTAAAAGTAGCTGGAGTTTACAAACATCTTCTAGGTTTGGAACTGAAATGCTCTACTCTTAATTGAGAGCAGGGGTCAGCAAACTAAGCCTAGAACAGCCCTCTGCTGTCTGGTTTAGTAAACCAATTTTTATTGCAATACAGCCATATTCATCATTTACACAGTCTGTGGCTGCTTTCACACCAAGAGGCAGAGCGGAGTAGTTGCCAAAGAGACCCTAAGGCCCATGTAGTCTATAACACAGACCCTCTGTTCCTGGACAGAAAAAGTTTGCTTTTGCCTTAAGGGTAAAGCATAAATAGGACTAAAAGTTAACTCATTAGGCAAATCTTCAAATTCTTATCAAAACAGTTTTAAGATTAGATTAAAAATAAAAATCCTGAGTTGAAGTTCTAGATATGCCACTCTACATGTGTGATCTTGAGCAAAGTCACTCATGAATACACTGAGTTTATAATAGCCAGATACAAGATATTTTTCAGCTTACTTACCTGATATTCTTGTCATTGTTCAATAAGAAACGACCCAGGATATTTATGGCTAGGACCTACAGAAAAATATCATAGGTTAAGAATTTAAGAAAATCAAACATCTATATTGTTTAAGGACCACTTTCTGGACTCTGATGAGTGCAAACTATTTAAAGGTGGTAGTTCAGTCAGCACTTCTACAGATTGCTAGCAAAAAAAAAACCTCTGAAGGCAAATTCTTAAAACCATGTTCTATTTCAACAGTAAAAGCTGCAAGATTGTTTTCAAGTTTTTATATTGCTAGCAGGAAAATATTATTGGTACAGCTTCACTGGAGGGAGTTTTGGCAATAACCATAAATAATAAAAATAAGGAATTCACTGGAGAGTTAGGTTAGGACTCCGAGCACCCCTGCAGGGGGCACAAGTTCAATCCGTGCCTCATGACACAGTCAAAACAGTTAATAAACAACTAAAAACCACAAAATGAAAAGTTATCCCCTGCTTCAACAATTTCACTTCTAGGAATTCAGCTGACAAATACACTTGAACATATGCACAAAAACCTACTGCAACACAATCTGTAATCACAAATGATATGAGTGTTCATTAATAGCAATTTTCCTAAATGTACTGCGGCACATTCACACAATGGAATGTTATACAACCATTAAAAAGAATGAATCGTGACACATGCTATGACAGGTATATACCTTGAGAATATTATATTAAGTGAAATAAGTCATATGAAACACCCCATATTATATGATTCCATTTAGGTGAAACGTCCTGAATAGGCAAATCCAGAGAGACAAAGTAGAATGGTGGTTGCCAGGGGCTGGGGTCAGGGGATAACGGGGAGTTACTGCTCAAAGGGCACACAGTCTCAGTTTGGGAAACTAAAAAGTGCTGAAGGTGAACGGAGGGTGCTGGCTGCACAACAGTGTGAATGTACTTACTTAACGCCACTGAACTAGAGTTAGAGATGCTTAAAATGATAGAGTTTATGTTATGCATATTGTACCAATCTTTTTTAAAATGAGAATGGTCTCTATATGTGAATATAAACTAGCTCCAACATAATGTTTTCATCTAACATGATAAGCATAAGGTGCAGAATCACCCAGATGACCAAAAAACTGTACCCAAATACTGTAGTTAGTAAATTTGTTTCTCACAAAGCAATGGATTAGCAATTATTATATTAATAAATGGTTGAAAGAATGAATAAAACACTTGAGGGAGGGTTCTTTCTTACAGAAGAATTCCAATTATTTAAAGAAGAAAAAATGAGGGGAACAGAAAGGTATCATTAGAGCATCACCCAAAAAACTGTTAGAGACAAGATCCTCAGATGGATACTAAAATTGGTTGGCAAAAGTCTGAGAACAGGGTATCTGCATAGTGTCAAAAGTGTTTCCTCCAAAATATTTTTAATTACATAGGGGAAAATAACAATTATACAGTGGAGAGACACAGCAGACAGCACCTTAACCAAAAGATCAAGGTTCAAATCACCAGTAATGAGACAAATAGAGAGCATGTACCCCCTCATATGAAACTGTAAAGGGCACAACACTTCTGGAGCAGTCTCGCCAAAAAGCATAATTTCAAACTAATTATTATAAGAATATATCAGACTGTCAACTTCAGGGATACTCTGCAAAATAACTGATCAGTGCTCTTCAAAACTGTCACAGAAGACAAGGAAAGACGAAGGAAATGTCAAGACTGGAGGAGACTAAGGAGACATGACAATAAATGCAACATGGGATCAAGGATTGGTGCTGGAAAGGAAAAAGGACATCAGTAGAAAAACTGGTAAAGTCTGAATAAAATCTATAATTCAATTAATGGTATTGAACCAATATTGGTTTCTTAGTTTTGATAATTACACTATAGGTAAACAAGATGTTAACATTATGGGAGGCTGAGTGAATGGTATTGTGGGAACTCGGAAATATTTTTGAAACTTTTCTATAAGCCTACAATTATTTGAAATAAAAAGGTTTTAAAAGCAGAGAAGATAAGTAATACACATGTACAGATATGTTTAAATATGGATAGAATACCATCCCAAAAAGTATATTAGAAAATGGCAACCTTACTTCCGACTAGAAGAATTAAGTCTAAACATAATAGGCAGACATTTTCCTTCCTGTATATCATTTTGTTTGAAGTGGTCAAACAGGAGATGGCAAGAGTGAACATTGACATTTTAGGAATCAGTGAACTAAAATGGACTGGAATGGGCGAACTTAATTCAGATGACCATTATATCTACTACTGTGGGCCAGAATCCCTTAGAAGAAATGTACTAGCCCTCATCGTCAACAAAAGAGTCTGAAATGCTTGGGTACAATCTCAAAAATGACAGAATGATCTCTGTTTGTTTCCAAGGCAAACCATTCAATACCACAGTAATCCAAGTCTATGCCCCAACGAGTAATGCTGAAGAAGCTGAATGGTTCTATGAAGACCTACAAGACCTTCTAGAACTAACACCCAAAAAAGATGTCTTTTTCATCATAGCTGACTAGAATGCAAAAGTAGGAAGTCAAGAGATACCTGGAGTAACAGGCAAATTTGGCCTTGAAGTACAAAATGAAGCAGGGCAAAGGCGAACAGAGTTTCGCCAAGAGAACACACTGGTCATAGCAAATACCCTCTTCCAACAACACAAGAGAAGACTCTACACACAGACCTCCCCAGATGGTCAATACCAAAATCTGATTGATTGTATTCTTTGCAGCAGAAGATGGAGAAGCTCTATACAGTCAGCAAAACCAAGACCAGGAGCTGACTGTGGCTCAGATCATGAACTCCTTATTGTCAAATTCAGACTTAAATTGAAGCAAGTAGGGAAAATCACTAGACCATTCAGGTATGAGCTAAATCAAATCCCTTACAATTATACACTGGAAGTGACAAACAGATTCAAGGGATTAAATCTGATAGACAGAGTGCCTGAAGAACTATGGACAAAGGTTTGTGACACTGAACGGGAGGCAGTGATCAAGACCATCCCCAAGAAAAAGAATTGCAAAAAGGCAAAATGGTTGTCTGAGGAGGCCTTACAAATAACTGAGAAAAGAAGAGAAGCTAAAGGCAAAGGAGAAAAGGAAACATATACCCATTTGAATGAACAGTTCCAAAGAATAGCAAGGAGAGATTAGAAAGCCTTCCTCAGTGATCAGTGCAAAGAAATAGAGGAAAACAACAGAATGGAAAAGACTAGAGATCTCTTCAAGAAATTTAGAGACACCAAGGGAACATCTAATGCAAAGATGAGCAAAATAAAGGCCAGAAATGGTATGGACCTAATAGATGCAGAAGACATTAAGAAGAGATGGCAAGAATACACAAGAACTATACAAAAAAGATCTTCATGACCCAGATAACCATGATGGTGTGATCACTCACCTAGAGCCAGACATCCTGGAATGTGAAGTCAAGTGGGCTTTAGGAAGCATCACTATAAAGTTAGTGGAGCTGACAGAATTCCAGTTGAGCTATTTCAGATCCTACAAGATGATGCTGTGAAAGTGCTGCACTCAACATGCCAGCAAATTTGGAAAACTCAGCAGTGGCCACAGGACTGGAAAAGGACAGTTTTCATTCCAATGCCAAAGAATGCTCAAACTACTACACAACTGCACTCATCTCACATGCTAGCCAAGTAACGCTCAAATTCTCCAAGCCAGGTTTCAACAGTACATGAACCGTGAACTTCCAGATGTTCAAGCTGGATTTAGAAAAAGAAGAGGAAGCAGAGATTAAATTGCCAACATCCGCTGGATCATAGAAAAAGCAAGAGAATTCCAGAAAAACATCTGCTTTACTGGTTATGTCAAAGCCTTTGACTGTGTAGATCATAACAAACTGTGGAAAATTCTTCAAGAGATGGGAATACCAGACCACCTGACCTGTCTCCTGAGAAATCTGTATGCAGGTCAAGAAGCAACAGTTAGAACCGGACATGGAACAACAGACTGGTTATAAACTGGGAAAGGAGTACATCAAGGCTGTATATTGACACGCTGCTTACTTAACTTATATGCAGAGTATAACATGTGAAATGCCAGGCTGGATGAAGCACAAGCTGGAATCAAGACTGCTGGGAGAAATATCAATAATCTCAGATACCCTAACCCTTATGGCACAAAGTGAAGAAGAACTAAAGAGCCAACTGATGAAAGTGAAAGAGGAAAGTGAAAAAGTTGGCTTAAAACTCAACATTCAAAAAACCAACATCATGTCATCCGGTCCCATCATTTCATGGCAAATAGATGTAAAAACAATGGAAACAGTGAGATTTTATTTTTCTGGGCTCCAAAATCATTGCAGATGGTGACTGCAGCCATGAAATTAAAAGATGCTTGCTTGCTCCTTGGAAGAAGAGCTATGAGCAACCTAGATAGCATATTAAAAAGCAGAGACATTACTTTGCCAACAAAGGTCTGTCTAGTCAAAGCTATGGTTTTTCCAGTAGCCACGTTTGGATGTGAAAGTAGGACTAAAAAGAAAGCTGAGCGCCAAAGAATTGATGCTTTTGAACTGTGGTGTTGGAAAAGACTCCTGAGAGTCCCTTGGACAGAAGGGAGATCAAACCAGTCACTCCTAAAGGAAATCAGTCCTGAATATTCACTGGAAGGACCGATGCTGAAGCTGAAACTCCAATACTTTGACCACCTGATGCGAAGAGTTGACTCATTTGAAAAGACCTTGATGCTGGGAAAGATTGAAGGCAGGAGGAGAAGGGGACGACAGAGGATGAGATGGCTGGATGGTATCACCGGCTCAATGGACATGGGTTTGGGTGAACTCCGGGAGTTGGTGATGGACAGGGAAGCCTGGCATGCTGCAGTCCACGGCGTCGCAAAGAGTTGGACACGTCTGAGCGACTGAACTGAAACCATTCTGTATTGAATTTTTTTACTTTGTGTGTTCATTTTTTTAATAAAAATAAATATTTAAGAAAAATGGATTAACTCAAATATGTTGTCGTCTTGTGTGAAGTGAATGAGCCCCAACTCAAATCACGGCTCCAAATAAAGCTTATTCTGAAACGGTTCCTTCATTCAACATTGTCCATATATGTAGCCATACATAAAATCTTCCAACTTCTATTATAATCAATATTAATCCTTCATTGGAGAGAATGATACTTCAGATATCAAAACATACATTCTGCATCATTCTTTCCTAAAGTTAATTTCCAAAGTCCAAATCAATTATTTTAAAATAAAATGTTTAGAGTAAAGATTAAAAACTTACTCGCAGTCCACTCTCTGACTTAATATCCATGATAGTCAAAACCGTTTCATAAAGAATAGCATTTCCTACATTTTTACTAGTCTCCGTATTAGTGGCAACCTGAAAAGACACAGAAGGTGTTACATGACAAAACAATGCTTCCAAAAAACATCCAGAGGTAACAAGAGACATTTTGTGATTGTTTCCAGCCACCAATGAGAAAACACAAATAAAAACTGCTTCATATAATCACAACCATTCTGGCTCCCTGCTACACTGAGTGTTTACAAAAATGGAAGTTTTGTTCTACTCACCTGTGCTAATATATCATTCATAGCTTCACTTGAGTCATCATCATTTCGTCCTAAAATTCTTAATAACCGCAAAATTCGTACCTAATGTGCAAAACATGACAAACATCAACAAATTCTGTCTAGCACAAAGGAACTCTGCTTGATATGAAGTTCAAATAACTTAAATGAAGTCTTAGATCCCAATAGAAATGGTCAAAATTCAAACAGAAGAATTTTAAACATGATCTTTAGAGCAGTTATGTATGGTTCTATGTCTTAATGAAGCTGTTAGACAACCTACACTTCAGTCAAAGGATACCACCACCTGCAGAGCTATATCATATTGGAAAATCATGTTTCTATGTGGTGTATGATTTGACTATTACAAATATAATTTTACCCTATTAATCTAATACAGAATTGTGTCACTATTCATTTATTAATGTAAGGGGCTTAGTCAATTAACTATGAAAACTACCCAACACAAACATAAGAAGAAGGAAAAATTCACTCCAAAATATATCATTTATCCTAAACTTTCTTTCAAGCTCACCTGCAAAAAGGGGTCACTGATCCCAGAAACATCATGTTCTGGTGAATATCCGGACATGATGAGGTTCTTTAGAATACGAACTAATTGGGGCACAAGCTGCAGGGAAGAGATGCATCAAAAAACAGTGAACATCAAAGAATTTCTCAGGAATAGGCAGAGGTTAACTTGGCTTAGAAAAAAAAAGATTCAAGAGTCTGAGTCCAAGCAAATTCTACTAATAAAATTGTATACTGTTTGATGTTTCATAGACATAACTTGGAAGTATTCTGGCCCAGTACTCAAAAAAGAGTATGTATGTTATCTGAATTAAAACCAAACCAGACATTTTTACTCCAGAATTATAAATGCAAAGATACCACAAATAACAGTAGGTCAGAAAGCCTATGAGAACCTAGTAAAACAGATGCCTATGGGGACTTCTATGGGACTTGACACACCTAGGTTGCACAAACATGTTCAGTTTTTAATCTATCCAACACATATGGATATAAAATGCTACCACATCCAAAACTCTGGTAATTTTCTGAAAATTACAGTTTTAAAACAAACTATCTCAAATAGAGAAAAAAACTCTCTCCTCTTAATATATGTCTAGTTATATCCTTTCCCAATAAACAACAGGGAATACACGTCTCCAACACTGACCAAGTGGAAAAGACACATGAAAAACTGTCTCCTTCACCTAAGGAAGACAGCAAGGCCACGAATGCTGTTTCTGTCCTATTCTTAACTCATAGGATACAATTTTTGGTAAAATTTAATTTCAGCACCTAATCATACATTTGTTGCCTATCTTATCTTACAAATGAAACAATACATTCCTTCTGGTCAGAATGCCCTTCTTTTTTTAACTCTGTCCATTAGACTGACTGATGACACACAGTAGAGGCAATTTTATTGCCAAGCTGAACTTAAAAATGCTTTAAATACTATTATTTATTGCACTTCATTTATCAATCATTTAAGATTAAAATCCTATTTCAAAATGTCTGCCACAATAAGAACCTTTCCAGTCTCCAACTACAAATTCAATTTAGCTATATAAACAACTCTAATCACCTAACATCAAAAACCATCCAAAGCAAAATGAATCTTATCTGTCTCGGAGGCAATCAGAACAGCCCCAACTTTGCTGCAACTCAATTATCTTTTGCTCATTGAATCTGGATTCATCTCTAAGGGGATCAAGACTGAAACAAAAGCCAAGCTGGGCCCAAGGAATGCACTCAAAACACAACACTAAGTCTACTGCTGAATATAAGACAACATAATCTGTGTGAATAGGTTTGGCCATATCACTTCAGAATTAAGCACTTTGTAAGTCACCTAAACAAAAATCTAATTTGGGCAACTCCAGGATTCAAACAAATCTAAGCTTACAATGACCTGTAAATTCTAAACAGAATCCTCATTAAATCTGTCAACTCTGGACAGATTCAGTTAGAAGTCAGAATAATATAACTGTATAAACTGCTTTAGAATGTAATAAAACTGGGACCATCTAGTTACCAACCTCTGCACTAAAAAGTAGCTCACCCTGCATACTTCTCAATGGTCTACTTTTTTGTACTACACACATCCTTCATTATTTTTTTAAATTGGGTTTCTGTCTCGGAAAAGTTCTTTTTCCTTCAGCTACTAAGCTCATACCACATAAGAGCACCCTGGGACAAAAAGCACAAATATCTCTAAGTGTTCAACATACAAATTCTTGGAACCAAGCTTTATTTTTCAGACAAAAAAACAAGTTACTAAAACTGATGACAAGACAAACAAAATAAAAAGACAAAGGGAAAAGCTGCAGCCATGAAAATCAGTTGATGCCCACCCACTCTACCTCAAAAATCTTTTAACATTCCAAAACTTCAAGGCAAGATCTAGTGCAAGTCAGGAGGAAATTAAAGCTCTAAGTGTGAACTGAAAGTTCAGAAGTACGTACTGAGCTTCCCCCCCCCCCCCCCATACTGAGCTTTTTAAAGTATGAGGTTACCCAGACACGGTTCTAAAATGTATCTACTTCAAAAAGAAGGAGTGTTTGGTGTTTTGGTTCCAAATTGATCTGGACTGCCATCACCAATGCCACTGGGAAACTGCTCAAAGTTTCTCAGGTGAAGATAAAGGAAAGGCAGAGAAGGAGGCTTAAAAATCAGGAAAGGCCGCAACTGAAATCCAAGGCTGACTGTGGAGTCAGGAGTTTAAGTGACAAGACAAAATCTGGACTAAGGAGTTAGCCAAAAATGCTATGACAAATAACACAGTATTAAGCACATATTCAGCATTAGTATCTTTTTTTAAGCCACATTTGTGGATGGAGACACAAAAGCTACTAAGGACCTAATGCCAGCATGCACCATCTAAATGAGGGTTAATTCTTACCTTTTCATTCTAACATACAGCAGGATTCCAAACAGACAACAGGAACAAAACATACAAAGCAAGCATTAGGGACAGATACGGGCCTCATACTATTTTTATAATAATTTAATCAAGACATGACCATCTAAGGGAGGAAGAAAGCTCCTCCCACCACCAAAGAGCTGCTATTAGAGCTTAGTTAAATCTAAAGTACAAAGTAAACCCAATACTGACGTGGTCAGCATCCTATAAAAGGAAGTGAATGCATGTAATTACACAAAAAACAGTCTTTCTCGGAGTCCTGCTTACTAGTGCCTTCTGAAAGTAAGTGGAGAAAACAAAAATTTCCATTCTAGAATGCTCTAAGAAAGGGAGGGAGGGACTCCAGAAACCTTGAGACATCCACCACTGGAGTCACCAAAGCATAAAATGAACAGTGGGGGACCCTAAGTTAGGTAAAAGTAATGTCAAATCTCAGTTTGCAGTTTTCACCTAAGGGGGAAGAAAGAAAACAAGAAATCACCTGCCTTAAACACACACACACACACACACACACACACACACACACCCAATTCCTGCTTGTAATTCAACCTCAGATTACATTTCCTAACTTCAATATGAAAACAGTAGATAAAGCACAGGAGAGATCCATGTGTCTGCCAACGAGAAGACTTCCATTATGAAAGGGGAAACAATGTACTACTGCCAGTTCTTACATGCCTAAAGCTGACTTCCTACCACACAGAAGGGTTGGTTAAGTCCCTGACTCAGTTCCATACCTGTCTTTCAAAAGAAAATTCCTAAGTGAGAAAATCATGTACTTTAGGAAAATCATTTTCAGTTAAGAGAGGCTTAGATATAAAGAATGGCACCTACCTTTCTGAAATGTGCAAGCATGTCTGGGCTTCGCTCACACATTTCTGTGAGGAGGACTACAGAAGTGTGAAGGACACCTGAAAGAAAAGAGCCAATGAAAACTAAAAATGAGGCTGTATTCTTCAGCTTCATAGCACAGGGCTTTCAGTTCTGAAGGTCAATTCCAAAAAAGTAGCTGCTACTTTTGTTTTTTAATCTCCCAAGAATCTAAGCATTGAGGTGAATACAAAGAAGGTATTAATAGATACCTGCTGATTTAACCCAGATGATCTCAGTCAACTCAGAATATTCTAAAGTTACGTGGACAAAATAATTGCTTAAAAATGACATCCAATGCACAAGCCTCTCCATTTGAGAATAGTCATAAAGACATGCTCAGTCAACATAAACTGGCTATCACCTGCTCCAGATTTAGTAAGCTCTTGGCTGATTTTTGAAAGGTATTTCAAGAAGAAAAATCTTACTAAGGTTTTAAATTTCCAGACAAAATATAGTCATGAATAACAAAGTAAATTTGCTTGTTCAAGAGTGAGTGAAAAGAATCATATACTTTACACTAAGTATGTGCCCTAGATATTCATTTATTCAACAAGTATATTCTGAATCTTCTAGGCAGAGGACTGCATTGATCAAATTAAATACATGTTACCATTTTTTTCTCTTAGCATTTAGGACACAAGGATTTTCTTCACTCAGAATCTGTTACATTAAATTCAAAACAAGAATAAAATGTTCAGTAAAGAAGAGCCACATACATTCCATCTAACTCCTCAGAAGTTTTATATATCTGAGTACCCATTACAAATTCCTGTTACAAGTAACCTACAAAGAGTTTCACAAATTTTAAACTACAATGGCAAAGAGATAAAGAAATAAGCCAAGAAGTCAAAAGGTTTCACACATGAAAATCAAGGCTAGGATCATCTGCAATTACACTGAGTTTTAGTTAATATAGTATTTTTGATACAATAAAAGGGGACCAGAAATGAAAAACAAGCTTACTATAAAGGAATCAATCTCTAATTACAAAACTAGGATTTGAGAGTAGAAGAGATTCAACCCATTGGCCCTTCCTAGAAAAGGTGCTCAAACACAGCAGAAAGCTGAGTCCACTGTGTGAGACAGAGAGGCCAAGACTGCCTGAACTACTCTCTCTCCCCTTCTCCCTCAGTACTTCCTGAGCGCATCCAAATTGCATTACCATGGTTCTTTTCATTCAACAAATTTTTTGTTGCTGGTAAAAACATCTCCATAAGTTCAGGAACCTTCCTGATGACATGAACAGCACAAAGTGCTGCCTGCAAAAAAAACATAAAAAGGACAAAAGAAGATTTATTTCAATTAAAGTCAGGACAACCAATCTTACAAACAAAAGAACCTTGTCAACCAGTTCACCTACATGAAAAAAGAAAGGAGTTATAGATCTGATTATTATCAGATTTATTTAGTTATTAATTGGTTAGGGCTGTGCAATTTATACTACTGTATTAATGAGAACTTCTAACTCACCTGTCTCTTTGGTCATATATTACCAAATAAGTGGACAATAACTTTTTTCAACCAGACCATCTGTTAACACAAGCTTACCAATTGTGCTAAATATAATTTACCTGCAGCTTTGCAAAGTTAAAAAATAAAGACTCTGTGATCATCATTCTTCTGAGTAAGAAAACCAAAAGGTTTTATAAAAATACTATGCAGGTGAAAGATACATATATTGCAGATGCTTTAAATCTGCTGCTACTTTTAATAATACCTATACTTTCTCCATTCACCCTCTACTGAAATCAAGAAAATCATTTGAAAGTTATTTAGTATCTTAGTTAAGTCTCTCTGTTAGCCAGTCTCTACTAAAGAAAAGATGGCCCTAGCTTGTTCACAGGAAAGAAAAGGACATTCAAAGACTGATTTCAGTTACTCTCCCCCGACCCCCGAAAAGGAACCATAACTACTACTTGTTGGAATTGAATATCGTAATTTAGGTACATTAATAAGCAAAGATTTCAGCTAATTCTTCCCAAGCTACAGTTGAGGAAAACAATTTTTTCCTAATCTGCAGGGATATTTTAATATTTATATAATCTTTCTGAACAAGAGCAGCCCACACATTCTTTAAGAGAAAGGACTGACTTTGGCCTATAGCCATCATTAGCAGCACATGATCCTGGAAAACAGCTTGGCCCTTTTAACAGCTTTGTCTCACACCATTAAATGCAGAGGCATAGTCAATGACAATCAGATGATCTTATGTCATTCACTTCTAGACTCTTAAATTTTATACCGCTTGTTTATGAAGGCTTTAAGATTCAAGCATATTAGAAAGATGGTAACGATAACCCTATGTGCAAAACAGAAAAAGAGACTCCTATGTATAGAACAGACTTGTGGACTCTGGGAGAAGGCGAGGGTGGGATGTTTCAAGAGAACAGCATTGAAACACGTATATTATCTAGGGTGAAACAGTTCACCAGCCCAGGTTGGGTGCATGAGACAAGTGCTCGGGCCTGGTGCACTGGGAAGACCCAGAGGGATTGGGTGGAGAGGGAGGTGGGAGGGGGGACCGGGATGGGGAATACATGTAAAAAAAAAAAAGATACACTATGGTTGTGATAAAAAAAAATAAATAAATAAATTTTAAAAAAAAAAGAAAAAAAAAAAGATTCAAGCATAATAAAATAACAACAAAATATTTATACTAACAAATAAAAGCAGGTAAGAGAATATGATCGCTCTCTTCCATTACTATTCCACTTAGTTATACCAATTTTAGGAAGGAGGTTCTAAATCATTCCCTAATAATTATCTAGGTCCCAAGGAACTGCACTTCCAAGATTCAAAGGCCCTAATACAGAGGCATGGGCACTAAAATAAATTTGTAACCATCTGTTCATTATCACTTCGTTTAACACTGGTTAGAATCAGGTAACTTAGGAAGTAATCAGGTATGCCATCTATTTGTTGATAAATAATTTTCTTGAAAAGTGAGGAATTAAGAGAATTAAAGTGTTCATAATCACTTACCAACTGGAGAGTTAAATAGCAATAAAAAAAATCACCTCCAAAATAATATAAAAAATAGACTTTGAGTTATGAACAACTGATACATATACAGTCATTTAAAACACATTTAGTGCACAGAAAAAATTATATTATCGCTTGTGCTTTCAAAAATGAATAATGTGCCTTCTCTCCATAATACTCCCTAATCCAAACACAGACATTCCGTTTTATGAAAAGTTACCTTTTTTCTTAAGTAAGAGTTGGAGGTTTTCAGGAGTTTCTCTACCTCTCCTGCAAGATCTCTGCACATCTCTGAGGACCCCATGCAGCCGAGGGTACAAAGTGCTAGCCCTTGTACATACTGTGTGCTATGATTGAGATCACTGCAAAAGAAAGGCGGCAGAAATGAATATGCCCTGCCCAATGCTCCCAATGAAGAAGCTTCACAATCTAACGAGAAAGCTCTGAATGATTCATGATTTCTCTCATAAGGAAAATATTAGGATAATTTTTGCAAAAAAAAAATGCTTATTCTAACCTTATTATTAATACAAATTACAACACAGTAAACTGACCGACAGTTCGTTCTACACGTTTGCAACCCACCATTTCCAAACACCACGAGTAACAGAAACTGTACAACATGCTATCTGTGGGATGCCAGAAGAACTTTCTTTACTAGCAACAACAGAATATGAAGCACAACTGTATCTTTTAAGATTTTAATATGCTCTACTACTAACTACAAAAAAAGTAAGATATTAACCAAAATGTTAAAAAAAAAAATTTAGAAAACACAATCTCTACTGCTAGAGCATTTAAGATGACAAACATCACAACAGAAACACTCTAAAATCTTTGATCTTATGATATAGTATTAACCTTGATATTAATTTTTACTTTTATTTATTCAAAAGAAGAAAAACAATAACTAAAAAAAACAGCTAATTAAACCATCTTAAACTAAGGTAGATGTTACAGTAGGCTCAATATCTAGTACTACAGAGTCTAACAGGCATTGATTACTGCACAAAATTATTTCTAAACCATCCAGGAAGTATTTTCAGAAAAGTTGAAGTATTAAAAGTTTGACTAGTAAGTGCATTTATATATTATAATCAACTCTTACTATGCAGAAGCTAAATTCCTATATTTGAGTTATGCTACTTCTACCAGCTTTAAGAGTATTTTAAAATCCTTTAGTTTAGTGGTTCTCAAACAGTGATTAGAGAATCTCTGGAAGTTCCCAGGACTGTTTCAGAGGATCCATGAGATACAAACTACTTCCACAATACTAACTCATTATTTGTCAGCTTTATTGACATTTGCACTAATAGTGCAAATGGGAAAAAATAAGGCACAAATCAGGGAAAAGGCACCAAACTGTATTACCAGTCACTGAATTCAGTGCCACATACTTACAGTGAAAGAAGGGAGGGAGGGAGGGAGTTTCACTTAATACTCCCCATGTTGTTGTCTGCTGTTCAGTCACTCATGACAAAGCAGTAAAAATGACTAGCTTAATTATACCTTGACTTTTTTTCTTTTTTAAGCCATGCCATGCAGCTTGTAGGATCTCAGTTCCCTGATCAGGGATTGAACCTGGGTCACCTCAGTGAAAGGCCAGAATCCTAAAGCACTAGGCCACCAAGGAACTCCCTCATACCTTGACTCTTGACACATTTTTTAATATTCTGTGTGACAAGATGGAAAGTATGCATGAAGTACTTCTGATGCATAATGAAGTAAGTGACAATCTCAGAGAAAAGCACCTGTGTATGTTTCATTTGCAAGCTAAACTACAAACCAGCTGCTTTTAAAATGAACATCATTTTTATCTGAAAAATAACAATTATAATTATTAAGATGTGGTTATTTGGCAAACATTTTCTGGAAGAAGAGCCAAGTAAGCCTATCACTTCAAGGGCAACAAGTGACAATATTTGTTGCCAATGATAAATCTAAGCTTTGAAAGTGAAAATTAGAATTTTGGAATATTTGTATTGCCATCATGAACCTGACAGTCTATTAATACTTTAGAACTCAGTGAACCAATTTTCTCCAAAAGCCTTAAGCATGATGTTTAAAAACTATGCAAAAGAGTCAAACTGTATGAATGTGTTTCAATATAATAGAAAACCAAACTTCACTGATACGGTTTCAGATTCTACACTAACCTAATGAAACTACCACTTGTGGAGTTTGGCATGGTATCATGGAAGATTATCCATAGTTATCTGAAAAGTTATTAAAGCCCTCTTCCTTTTTCAAATGACATTATCTGTGAAAGGCTAGATCTTCATATATTTCAACCAAAACATAAGAAAATGAATGCAGAAGCAAATACAGGCATCTAACCTATTCTATTAGGTTAGATATTAAAGATATCTATAAAAGTGTAAAATAATGCCATTCTTCTATCTGAATTGTTTTTGTTCTGGAAAACAGCTTCTATTGCATAACAAAATGTATTGCTGTCAATACTGTAAAGGTTTCATTAATGATAATTTTGAATGAACCAATAAATGGTTTTTACCTTCCCTGAAGAAGAAGAAAGGAAAAGAAACAAAAGTAGTGTCAGTCAGGTTTGATACTTTCTACTAATTTGAATATTTAAAATAAAAATTACTAATAAAGTTTAACTTAATTATGGTTCTAGTTCCCAAAAACTTTCATTAGCTCTTCATTCATTTTTCAGTGATTAAGAATATCTGTATGATGCAAGCTCTTAAAATACTGTGTCTGATTTTTGAAGATTTAAGTCCAAGATCATTAATGTCTTAAAAGTTTTTCTGGACCAATGAACAATGAGGTAAACATGCCATCATTAAACAGAAAAACTGCTAGTACACTATGATGCCCTATATACAAACAAAAAGCAAGAAACCTCACAAATAAACAAAAAACCTATTCATTAAAAGATTTTAAAAAACTGAATGATCCAAAGTCCTTTGACTGAACTTAAACTGAAGTATCAGATCAATTCTCAACTATGAGCAGCTCTCTCCTAAATTCACTTGGGGCTTGGCTGGTCTCATTACACACCCAGATTCCTTCTTTGCCTATATGCCTCATTCTTCAATTTTAATCAAGCTACAAACCTATTCTTAAGTTTGCTCAAAACTTGCTGCTAGGCAGAACTGCCAAATTATCAGCATGTGATTAAAGGCTTGAGTAATAAAGGCAGCAGAGCATGTAAGAACAAAAATTAAAGAAACTTTCAGAGACTTGCCCAAAATAAGAGTATAAAGTCACGTTTAACATCCAGAATGTAACCTCCATGACACCAGAGATTTCTGCTCACTTTTTTCATTCTCCATCCTCAGCACTACAATAGCTCCTGGCATATAACAGGTATGCAATCAATGTTTGTTGAATAAATTAAGTGACTTAGTCTTTTCATTATTAATATTTCTTTCAAGGCCAAAAAGAACAAAATTTTCCCAAATTAAGCTGCAAAGTCAATCTATTTAAATGAGACACAATATTTTTACAAACAAATCATAACTCTCATTTTAAAATTTTTCATTACCAGGAAATTATAACATTTACCACAGCAAAATATATGAGTTCAATGTCTACAAACGGATCACCCTACTTCTGTCAAATACAGAAATACTGTAAATTAAACATGAAATCTAAAAAAGGAGATAAACTGGTAGACATACCAAAACCAAAACAAACCAAAAAGAACCTTAAATCAATAAGGCTGTGAGAACTTTCATAGCTTTTTAACAGAAATTTATTATAAGAGGGATACTGAAAAGAACTGCTAACTCCCTATTTGCAGGTCTTCTAATTTTTCTAGAATGGCAAGCATTCCTCAGCTTCTAAGGTAAACACACAACTGGACTAGTAAATCAGTAAAGCACCTGTTAGAGAAAAAAGGACTTATGTACAAAAGCTCACAGGCCAAATACAACTGCAGCAACTGAAATCTGGGATTAGACTGCTGACAAGCAAGACCTCTCTTTTTACCTTTAAATGGTATTCATTTTGAATATAATGGTAATTATTTAATAAATACGATGCCTCACAATTCATGGTATTCAAAATATTCTATGATAAGAAAGCTCAGATTTACCAATGCCTTTTCTATTCTATCAAAGTCCAAATGCTTATTCATTGCTAAATAGTTGCTATGACTCAAGATATACAACAATACTTTCATTTAAATTATCCCCTACAGTTTTACTTTTTTTCTACAGAAGTTTTAATCCTTTGCTTAGCCTCTTTATATATAAGCTCCAGAACCAAAAGCAACTCAATTATATTCTAGACAGCAAATATAAAATCAATAAACAGAAGCCTTTGATGTCATATTATTAAAAAGACCTAAAAGAACAAAGCAGTTACTAGAAGAAAGAAATTAAGACTCACTTCTTGATACAGTTGGTCATGAGAAGATGGACATCTTGTCTTTCGTCTAACAGCAGCATTGCCCCTAAATAGCCAATGCGTTTGTCTGTGAACTTTTGAGAGGCGATAAGCTTGAGGCACTCCAACTACAAATTTTAAAAAAAAAAAAAAAACAAGAAGTTAAGAAACTGCTACCACGATCAGGAAAGCAATGTTTTTAACCCAGAGTCAATGGATAACTAAAGTACATAGGTATAACCTATATCATCAAAGCACCTAAATAAAAGGCAAAGACTTAAGATCTTTCAGTATCTTAATGATAATAATCAAGCTCTGGAATAGAGTATCTAGTCAAGGCCCCAGCGTACTTGCCATCCAAATAATCTGTGAAGTTTATGTTAGATCTAAATATTCGTACAAAATAAATAAATAAATATTCGTACAGACTACAGGAATGTTATAAGGTTTTAATAAACCTTATTCTTAATTTAACTCCTAGGGTACATTAAATAAGCATCTAGCACATGTGTGTATTTAATGTCTGGTTCCTATTCTGAATATCAAAAGCTCAGTAACAAGTGTCAAACAGTCCTAAACATCATGAAGGTACAATTAAAAAAGAAGGACAATTAACTAACTTTAACATTATGTGGAAAAGTGCTACATTTGAGGCTTGAACTATGAAGAGGAGAGGTTTTAGGAATCAAACAGAAGTAAACAACAACAAAAAGCCACAGGAAAACTCAGTAATAGAATTAACCTAAAATATTTTATACGATTTCTTTCTTTACACAACCCTCAGAGCTTAAGAATCCATGAAGTTATTTACAATAGCCAAGATACAGAAACAACCCATATGCCCATTAAGAGATGATTGGTTTAAGTTGTGGGAGGGGGGCGGGTGTGCGTGGGGGTGTGGGTGTGGGTGTGTGTCTGTAAAACAGAGTATTAAAGAATGAAGTACTACCATTAGCAGCCACATGGATGGACCTAGAGAGTATCGCATTAAGTGAAGTGAAAGGCAAATGGTACATGATATCACTTACATGTGGAATCTAAGAAGTAATACAAATCAATCTACTTACAAAATAGAAACAGATCAAGGGAGAAAACTTACGGTTACTGAGGGGAAGAGAGAGAGAGGGATAAATTAGGAGCAATTAACAGATACAAACTACTATATATAAAATAGATAAGCAACAATCATTTACTGTACAGCAGAGTGAACTATATTCAGTATCTTAGCATAATGAAAACTAATCTGAAATATATACTCACACACACACATACGTATAACTCAATCACTTCACTGTACACTGGAAATACAGACAATACTGTAAATCAAAAATACGTCAATAAAAAAAGTCTTTGTAATTAGTTTGCCTCTCTACTCAGACTTTCTTGAACATCATAATCACTGATACATAGTTTATCATCTCATCCTGACTAACAAGGAAGCAGCCAAACATTCCCTCTAGGGCAGTGGTTTTCAAAGGGTGTACACAAGTTAAAACTCTTTAAGAGGAGTTTTTCAAACTATGCTCCCATTTAGAATCACTGCATTCCAAGGAAAGGGGCTCAGATGCAGACCAGTGTACACAGCAATGTGAGATCTCATGAGACTCTTCCACATGAATCTGCCTGTAAGTATGAAAGTCAAATTGAGGAAAGTAAAGAGTTTACAAATAAATCCGTCTTGAGCTATTTAAAAACTGCTCTCTCAAAGTACCTACATTAAAAACACCAAAAGGTTGTAGGATGACTATAGCATCATGAGCCAGTCAAAGAAGCCTCTAAGAGAGAATAACCAGGATCCCAAGGAAAACTGAAATGCCTCTGAGATCAACAAAGATTATTTAACAACACTTTCTTTCTGTCTACACAATTTAAATTTAAAGGAACAATTTCTGAAGTAGATGATTATAGTCATTCTTAAATGTCAGCAGAAAATAACCGTTGAGGTGAATGAGAAAATCACAAGTTAAAATGTTGTTAGAAAAATCCTTCTCTTTTTCAAACTGAAGGCTTTTAAATCTTCTCACTTAATCATTCTATAAATAAATATTTTAACAGTGAAAGAAAATGTTTTAAGAATCAAGATATCACCGAAATGTTTATCATCCTTACCGAATCACGCTTTTGACAAACACAGAGCATTAAACAAATAAACTATCCAAAATTTTTTTATTAAGATGAATTAATGAGGACATTTTTAAGCATTAATATTACTTCATATTTTTAAAGGCCAAGTTTAAGAGAGTGTGTGGGGGTGTGTGGACGCACACACATGTTGCGCGCTCAGTTGCATCTGACTCTGTGCAACCCTATCGACTTACAGCCCACCAGGCTTCTTTGTCCAAATAATTTTCCAGGCAACAATACAGGAGTGGGTTGCCATTTCATCCTGCAGGGGAGCTTCCCAAAACAGGAATCAAACCCGTATCTCCTGTGGCTCCTGCATTGGCAGGTGGATTCTTCACCACTGAGCCACCTCGGAAGCCTAGTTTTAAGATAGACCAAAATTCATCAATGACTACTGAGTACAATTTGCCGTTTTTGTGACAGCTGTTAACACTACTAACTGAATACCAAAAGAAAAGGTAAACTTAAAGGGACAAATACTAAATTCTTTCTTTTAAATATTCTTCATTGGTATAGTGACTTTGCTTCATTAATGAGCTGCTTTTTTTTTTTTTGAAGGTGACAAATTTGAGGGGAAAATATAAGATTATATACTGGAAACGGTCTCTGAAATACATCTTCAGGTGAAGGATTGACTCTGATCACACTTCACACTTACGTGGCAGTGGCCAGCAACTGAACTCATAATGTACCACGTGTCATTATGAAGACTGTTACAAAGTTTTCAAATATTGAAAAAGAAAATGACTGAAGCAGAACACAATTCGATGTGGGTAGTGAGGAGAGGGTATTCATTTTTGAGCAGCCCTCACTAAAAACACAACTCAACACAAAAGTTACCGAAGAAGAGTAGTGACCAATTAAATGTATCCATTCCTTAGACAACAACCACAACTTCATCCCAGTACTTCTCCTCATTTATAGCTACCTAAAATTTCCACCTGAAACATAGCTAACCCACATATTTACCTTTAAATCCACCATAAACAGTCCACCATCAAGATAAAAGAAAGCTTTTGCTTTTACCCCAAACTCCATGAACAAAGTAAAAACAAATGACAAACTTAGAAAAACTACTTGCAACCAGACATGAAATCCTATACAACAGGATTCTATACTTTCAAAAAAGACCGACAAAGAATATACAGACAAAGAATATGAAGAGGCAGTTCAAATTTAAAAAAATAATTTAAGTACAAAAGAAGCTCAATCTCCTCACAAAACAAATGCAAAACCAATTAGGAAAATTTACTAAAAAAAAAGGGGGGGCCTGTAAACCTGAAAAGGGTGAGTTATATGATATATACTATTCAGTGAAGTTATTAGAAAAGAAAAAGAAATGCAAATCAAAACCATACTGAGATATCACATTTTAACCTATTATATTAATAAAGATTTTTTTTAAGTGCTATTGTAACAGTGCAAGGACATTAGTAATGAGAGTATAAACTGGCACAAGACGTAGTGAGAAAGATTATATCTATCTACATTACAAACACACATACCCTTCTGACTCAACAAATCCACTTTTAGGAACTGACAAAGCATTTATATTCACACATGAGCACGATAATGGATATTATTCCACTCTACTATTACTTTAAACAGTAAGATTGCAAATAAGCATCCATTAATAAGACATCAGTTTAATAAATTATGACTCGTACATAAACAGAATACCATGCTGGATTTACTACCATGAACATGTCAACAAAGCTGGAAAAAAAAATATGTACAAGGAAGCTCTTTCTATACTGGTATGGACTAATCTTCAAGACGGATCAGTAAGTGGACGGTGCAAACAGTATGTTACAATATAATTTTGGAAGAGGCAAGAATATATATGTCCATTGCCTGGAGATGTATAAAGTATCTCTGGAAATATAGTCAAGAAGTGAATATCACAAGTCACCTGTAAGGAGGGAAATTAAGTGACTAAAAAAGGATGGAAAGCAGAGTTTTCATCATATATCCTTTCATATCTTTTAAATTTTGCATCAGTGAACCATCATTATTTATTTCAAAGATGAATAATATTGGGCTGGGAGGAAAAAAATTGCAGGACAAAGAGAACTTATGGTTAAAAAAGTTAATACAATAATATTATAATTAAACAGGGGGACAAAAAAACAGATGAAATCATTTGTTCTCCCTACAAAGTTAAACAACGTATGTTTCAAAAAAGCATTTAAATCTTGGAATCATTTCATGAAAAAGCCTTTAAAAATTTAAGACCAGAACCCTATGCAAATATAACTCAGTAAATGGAAGCAATCAGCCTTTTAAAGATAACTTAAAATCATAATGAGCAATTACTGTTCTATTCTATTTTATCTGTGATGCTATTGTCAGAGCCTGTTAAGTACACTCCTTTCTTACCTCTATACTCCACGAAGGCTATGCTTTTTCTGCTGAGTTATTTTGTATTCTTCATCTACTATCAATTTCTCCCTTAACAACACTCTCAATATACCTGCTTATCCATAGCAATCTTCTCCATGTCTCCCCAACTATCATCCCAAAGGGCTGATTGTGACAACTCTTTGCTACTAACTGATTTTTTTTTTATATTTACTTTCCAAGTGTTCTGAGTCACTGGCGGTTTTGCTTTAATTTGGTAAGTTCCTGCTGTGCCCAAACCAATGTGCCAGTCATTCTCACTGATACTGTTAGAAGGACACAGAAAAGAAAACCAGCATTTGAATATTTATCAGAAAATATGATATATATACCATGACAGTCATGCACAAGCTACTGTGAAAACAGGGTAGGAAGGACACCAAATTTAGGTTAGAAATTGAAAGAAAACATTCGAGAAAAGTTTCTATCTCTGTACATAACACAGAATGGAAGAGAAAGAAATCAATTAGAGTTAGAAGCTGAGTCTAAGACTGGTTCTAGCTAAGAGACCTAAGCCAGCTGTTTCACCAATCTGGGTCTAGTTTCTCATCACTAACGTAACAGCCACATCAAGGAAGACAGCACTCTAAAAGTTGTCCTACAT